GAGTTATAGACCGAATGACCCAAATGACCGACCGGAGTACCGGGCCGCGTGGTGAAGAGAGGAAACTCGAAACCTTATAACTACCCTACATTGGAATGATTCGCCACGGAACGCGATAGAATCCAAGAAGAAACGCACTTCGAAGGTCCACTCAAGCGTGGAACAGCCGTGGGATGATAAAATTTTGCTTAAAACTCAGGAAAAGCTGAGAGGTTTCGGGAAATACGGGGCGGCATGGCATGCACGTTGCGACCTGTTGACCCTGTTGTCTCGGGCGACGCGCGGCGCGCACGGCCCACGGCGCAAGGTTGATTAAAAGGAGGTTGGTACAATCACCCGATTCGGCGCCATGTTGATGACGTACTAGTGGGACCTCGAGTAGCGCGAAGTTTGAATTGAGACGTCTCGCGCGAGTTGCGCGCAAGCAGACCGATGCTATTAATAACAATTTCTTATGCACACATTATTTATTGTAACAGAATATAAAAATATACATTAATTGAGCACATTTTATTACTATCACGATATTTTACTTGTACAGGGTGATCCGGGATTATACGGCCAGACTGCTGGAACGTGTTCTTTGGGTCAAAATAAGACTTGTTTATTGTATAAAGTTTTTTTCAAAAGTGCACTTGGAACTTCGCCCCCCCCCCCCACTCAAAAAAATGTCGCCGAAAAAATCGTTTTCTCTGAATTTTGGCGACGGTTGTGAACCAAATCTCAAGAAATTTGCACTCCCGTGTAATTTTATGCCCTGAAATAATAAACGATCTAAAAAAAAAATCGAATTATCACTTCACAGTAGAAACGTCACATATTGACCAATAGAACGAGCTCCTGCAGTCTGACCGTTTAACCCTGGATCCTCGATCACCCTGTATTTGGAAGAGAATCATTAGTGTTGGCTGGATTTAGTTCATTTTAGTTCATTTTAGACGTACGCACCCTTTATAGACCTCTTGAGAGACCTTTAAACATATTTTAAAAGTTAAAAAAGAGGCCCAAATATATAGAGGCCCCCCCAAGACAATCGCAAACATGTCGCAAACAAACACAATATGTTAATAGAAGAAGCGAAAGGATTAGCGTTAACGACGGCGCAGAGATACAACTATTCGTACTTGATGGACGTCCTGGCTGCATCTGAAAAATTGAAGGCGCTATGACGCGAAGCGTGAGCTCTCAACGCTTTGCTACATGCTGTCAATGAGGTGTCGCTCAGATTCGGGAGAAAAATTTAAAAAGAGGCCAGAACATATTTCTCTTACCTTTGGCTGTGTTACTCACGTAGTGCTTGAAGCACCATTACGAATAAGACAAACACAAACAAACCCAATGTGGAAATAAAGCAAGGGAAAGGATGCGCGTTTACGACGGCGCAGAGATACAACTATATGTACTTAATGGACGTCCGGGCTGCATCTGAAAAATTGAAGGCGCTATGACGCGAAGCGTGAGCTCTCAACGCTTTGCTACATGCTGTCAATGAGGTGTCACTCAGATTCGGGAGAAAAGTTAAAAAATAGGCCCGAAAATATTTCTCTTACCTTTGGCTGTGTTACTCACGTAGTGCTTGAAGCACCTTTACGAATAAGACAAACGCAAACAAACACATTATAGAAATATGTAAAGGGAGGGAAAGGATGAGCGTTTACGACGGCGCGGCGCAGAAATACAGCTATTCGTACTTGATGGACGTCCGTGCTGCATCTGGAAAATGAAGTCTGTTGGTTACTTCAGTGCGTTTAATGAACTTTGAACCTGAAAATAGCGTGAACTTATGCCGCTTTGCTAAAATTTTCTGAACCCCTCTCCACGAAGGAGATGCCCTAGCAGGAAATATCACATTGCGCCGCCTTAACCAGCCAAGGAAGGGTCTACGCCCTCAGATGCGAACCAGTCCGACCCTGTGGCTGATGCAGAGGCAACTGTAAAAATAAAATAACACAGATTCGGCAAAATCGAAACCCTGACGCTAATGTCTAAGCGTTCTTTTAGAAACTCAGAAAGTTTCAAAGGATTTAAAAGTAGAAATTTCAATGATTCGTTTATAAAAATGGACATGAAACATGACAATGGAAAGGAGCTAGGATAATAGGGAACGTCTCCTCCCAAAAATTTCGATAAGATTAAAATTTTCAGCTCTAAGGAGTATCGGTACAAGACTGAGGGGGAGAATTTTTAGCTCAAGCAGATGCAATGGAATATTATCCCCCCCCCCCCCTAAGTTGTAGGCACTGATACTCGTTAGAGCTCAAAATTTTGACTATAATTTTTGTGGACTTTTTGGCTTGTTTTCTCCGCAAAATATTGTGGACCAAGCACTATTTTACCACGTTGTTACCAATGAAGAACTTGAGGCCGTCTTCAATCAAAACTAATCGTGCGAAATAGATAAGCGTTCTTTGAATAAGTGCTCGCCTGTAGGTTGTTGTCTATCCGGCGGTATTGAAGGCGAATAGCAAGCTCTCGAGAGAGTCACACACTGTTCACTGACTCAATTAAAGCTTACTATTTAAGCAAGATAAATGGATGCTCTTTGAATACAACTATTCGTGCTCTCCGGTAGGTTTGCTGCCTATGCGGCAAATTGAAGGCGAACTCTCAGGTGGACAATATCTAGGTACTAATGATTAGAGAATCATTCACCTAAGGGCTCATTATCCCGATCCAAACTTATTGAGAGAGATAAATTGAAGCTCCCTGGTAGGTTTATTGCCTATGCGGTGAAATTGAGGGCGAACAGCAAGTGAACGGTATTTATCGCGAGAATTACACATTACTCATCGACTCAGGAATCAAAGCATACCGAGAGAGATTAATGGTTGTTCTCTGACTACAACTATTCGAACTCCCTGGTAGGTCTGCAGCCTATGCTGCAAAATTGAAGGCAAACTCTTAGGATGACAGTATCTACTAATAATGAGAGATCATGCACATATGGGTTCGTTGTCTCGATCAAAACTTATTGAGCGAGATAAATGAACGCTCTACATCAAACTCCCCGCGGTAGGCTCATTGCCCATGCGGTGAGATCAAAGGAAAACCTCAAGTGAATGGCATCAGGGTGCCTATACGGAAACTGACTGGCAAAAAATCAGTACTTTTACAGTGATTTTCCAGATGTATCCTAAAAACTTCACTACCTCCTCATCTTTCACTTCCATCAAATGACAAAATAAAAACATTTCGAAAATTCGAGCTGAAGGAGCTAAGAATGGTTGCGATGATCGGCAGCCGAGTAGTTGAAGTTTAAAGTAAGGAAGGCTCACGGCTTGTCCCTTTGACCTTAGTTGAAAGTCCGCTCCTATCTCGATTCTCCATACATTATTTTAGCTCCGTGATGTCTAGATTGCATACCCGACAAAATGAAGGGACTGTTAGAGATTGTGGTGATCTGCGGCTAGGCAGCCAAACGAGTACCCAAACACGTATCCCTATTTCTGGAGACTTAAACGCAGAGTGAGAAAAGTAGATAAATGCACTTAGGCGAATCTAAGGGAGGGGGCGTAGGACGCGTACGCCCCCGCCCCCTCCGGCCAGTTTGTTCGAAACAATGGAGAAAGAAGAAAAGAAAGAAGAGAGGAATTAAGAAACGGAGGTAAGAAGAAGGAGAAACGCTTATATTTGGTTACCAAATTAGTAATATTAAAATATATAAATATATTAGTGTATAATATTATAAATTGCTAAGTTTACAAATCTCCAATGACAGTTGCCTACTTAGGTTTTTTTTTTTTTTTTCCAAAGAAAGCTAAGTTATTGATTTATGTCCATAAGATTTTCAGTGAATCTTTCCGAATGAGTGAGTTTTTCTCACAGAAAATTTTAAGGTTTACTGCTGGTTAGTCTCCATCTAGTAAAATAAAACATAAGTGAAGGCATGCAACGTTGCAAACCAAGATATACGATTTTTCCGAATTTGAACATGGTCTTCGATTTTCGAAATTAATCGAGGCACATTCTGCGTACGAAGCTCTCATTTTCTGCTCCGCCAAAAAATATTTCGGTGGGGGGAGGGGGGGCATTTTTACATAACTGAAAAAAGCCCCTCCAACCTCACATCAGCGAGAGTCCGAGGGGTTTCAGGACCGTCAAATTCGGAATATGGGGGATCGATTATCCAAAGAGGCACCTTTTTCCCGGGCCCCCATGTCAATTTTGGAGGCTCTCAGGTCTCTCAACTTCAGAGGCCAATATTTTTGGACAAGGATGAGCCGATTTTGGACTTATTCTTATCGATGTAGGTCAAAGTTCTCCGTGCTAATTTGCTTTCGATTAAATACAAATTCAAAATTGTGACGGGATTCCCGACTTAGAGTACCCGAGTTTAAAAGACAGCAGGACCCGTCTTATGTTGTCCCTAAGAAATCCGGGAGGGGGGGGGGTGTGGGTTAAGAGGCTTCAGGATGGTGAAATCCGGATTCCTTGAGGTCGATTCCCATTTTTTTCAAATTTGACAATATTCCTAAAATTTAAAAAAGTACAAACGTAATTTTTTGAATGATAGGGAGATGGCTTCGCGATGCCCAACCTCCGAGGCGCTTCGCGGCCGCTCAAGCGTTATGCATTACGCGTTACTCGTTACTCGCATGACTTTATATTAAAGAGTAAGGTAGGATTTATGACAGCATGTTCAGGATATGCATTCAATGACACGTTATAAAATGTTCAAAACTAACTTTCGAAACATTTTTGCGTTGTTATTTTCATTTCAAACATTATTCTGACTCTGCTGTCTACTATTTTGACAATATTTTAAAAGTATCAGTAAAACCTAGCTGATTCTTGAGATAAGGAACGAGCAACAGGAAATGCAATATGCGAAAAAAAGATGTGAGAAACGAAAAAAGCATCGCAACTACATAACTTTAAACGATTCTGAACGTCTGTGGTATGGTGAGGAGTAGAATTGCACGCAAATTTGATTTTCCCGCCTCCCGCCGTAGACTTCCGAGTTTCAGTCGCAACATTTTTTTATCAACAACAATCAAAATCAACAAGAGTTATTATCAGCCTTTGGCTTTTCTCCCACTTTTATCTGAACATGGGATTTTACGGTGTTCGTTCTCAGTTTTTAATTTTCCTGTTTATTTTGTGACACAATCGAACTGTTTAATTCGTTTAGTCTTGCGATTTTCTCAACAATTCGCCAAGTGGCCCCCGTCAATGACTAATGACCCAATTCTGTGCCTCTATGGTTGCAGTCATCAGCGACTGAACGTTTCACGCGGCGTCTGAAAACCACCTGTTGCATTGTCAGTTTTTACGAATACAAGTTAAATGACACAATAATGGATGTAGTATTTATAGGTAAGCAGTTTTTCCATAATTGTACTTGGAAAAATTCAATCCTCAGCTTAGCAAACAAGTCTTCGACTTGAATTGAAGGTTATAACATTATGATAATGTTTATATCTCATACGGGTTCTCATTCTTCTGTCACGAATATTTGGCACTAAAATTTATCTGGAATTCTCTCTATCCAAATCTATCATACTTTTAATCGTCTTGTTTGCAATAAATTTGTAAACTACGATTCCTTCTATGCGAGTAAAACTTTGCCATGGGCACTACCTACGCAAAGTACGATCTTTTTTTACCTCATGAATGTCCCTTGAATTTGAAAGTACCAACTTTAATCCAAAGTACCTTATGGATAATTGCAGTAGCTGCTATTATGGTGCTCTCAAGAAACGAATAATTGAAAATAGTGCACCTTGGTGGTAACATCAAAGTAGATACTGTGTAAAAATAATTTTCTTCATAAAGATGTTGAAGACTTGATGAGAAAGGCTGCTGTGATCTCCTTCAAAACAGTGCTGCCTTTTTATTAGATGAGATCATAGCTGTTAGTTCAAATCGTAGGAACCCAGTGATTTTGAGACATTGCAATGGAAGTATCTGGTTACGCACTTTGGTCATCGAAGTTTTATAAGGAGTCAAACAACAAAAATTCAGCAATGCTGTTTAGGATGTGGAAAGTGAAGGACCCTCTGTCTGCACAGTTACACATCAGCACTAAAGATATACACATCCTAAACATTTTTTCACTCTTTTCCAGACGAACGGGAGGATGTGCAGAAGAAGACGTTCACGAAGTGGATTAATTCACAACTCGTCAAGGTAGATAAGCTCTTAAATGTTTAATATCCTTCTAAAGATGCTACAATGGTTTTTTTTTTTGTTTTGCGTGAAATGCTCTCTCTGGAAGCCATTGAAAATTTCCCTTACCATTCTATTGCTCAAGTACATGGAAGTTTACATGTTCAATGGTTAATAATATATCAATCGCTAAACTTGGAAACAACGTTTCTCGGTTCATGACTGGAGACTTTTTGTCATGCCTATCCTATTTTTCAATTGTATAATTAAGGAAACGTTGCAATTTCTTGAATACCTTTGCAATCAGTCTTGTCACGTTCAAAGAATATTCTGTATAAAAGTCAAACATACCTACAAATTGGCCTCTTTCCCTTCGGAAATATAAAACAGGAGTGAAAATTTTGAAATGCTGCAATCAAGACGTTTGGTATTTCTAGGTAAATGATCAGTATGCTGATGAAAAAACTTGATCTATGATATTTGATCTGCCATGATGTGTAGAAGAGGTCATTATGAAAAAAGAGAACATATCTTTACTCTTAATATGATTACCAGAAGTTTTTTACGTCAAACTACATGAGACCAGCCATGGAAATAAATTCGTTGCTCTTTCAAAAGCAATAAAAGAGTACCCAACAGTATGACAATGCAACATAGCTAGATTTTCTGTCGATTTTTAAGTTTCGCACAGAAGTACCCTTTTGATCGTTTGTGATGTTATGGCAAATTTACTTATCCAAAAAAGTTGGTTAAAACTTTAGAATAATTTCATGGTGAGGTATCAAGAAAATTCTACTTGTCAGTAACAATTACATGAAATGTCAATTCATAATTACTCTGTTTGTTTCTTGTGACTGAATCAGAAGTTCGCATGTCTGATGAATTATTGTTTAATTTCATGTAACTCCCCACGTATTCTGGTTCAGCTTTTTTCCCTCCTTCCTGTGTTTATAATCTATGAATTTACTGAATTATGTGTTTCTCTCTTCTAGTGCAACCATTCCCCCATTAATGATCTGTTCAAGGATCTACATGATGGATCTCGACTCTTGGCTCTCTTGGAAGTTCTCACTGGGAGACAGTTTGTAAGCAGCCACTTACTGATTAATTTTCTTCTCATGGTGTCAACAATTATTTTTGTTGCATGCACAGAAATAACTGTAGAGCTTATTCGATTAACTTAAAACTTTTTTGAAAACCGATTATATAGCACTTACTTTCTTATTGTTCTCTACGCACTATGGCCATTTCGAGCTGGCAGGCCGCCCATCCTCAGCGCTCGAAATGGCCATAGTGGTTAGAGATTAATAAGAAAGTAAGTGCTATATAATCGGTTTTCAAAAAAGTTTTAAGTTAATCAAATAATTTGTGCAGTGCCAATAAAATTTTAAAAAAATGTGCAATATGCAACAACATAGTGATAACTGTAGAGCTGCCGGTCCCTCGTAACGTGATCGTGGGTTTTTGTAAATTTTTCAAGGTTTTGCACAGAAAACTGGTTTTGATATGTAGAGTAAAGCCATTTTTAAAAACCGTGTACCAAATGGTTGGTTCATGATTACTTTAATAATATACATCAAATATTTGTATGCTTATCATCATGGAATTTACAAGGAAAATGAAGATCATAGGCAGTATCTGAAAAGTATCAGATGTATTGCATTGGTAGCATTTTTCAAATTTAAACTCAAATATGTTTATTTCACTTCAAGTAGGTATGAATATCACAGGCAATTTTAACAAGATTTTACAAAAATAAAAATAAATACATCCCACCACCCTCTAAGTAAGACTTGTGGTGGGTGGTGCAACCAAGGAAAAACAACACAACCAAAATAATGTAACTTAAATCATAGACTCAACTACAAAATTTTAACAGAAATAAACGATTAAAAAAACAAATTTAGATGATATTTAATTTAAGCAACAATAATGAAAATGTTTACGAATATGAATGAAAGGTGTGAAGGAAATTTAGATAATTTAGAAAAATTTTAAAAATTTAGAAGAAAGTACAATTTTTAGAAGAATTTACAATTTTAGAAGAATTTACATTGCCCCAGATTTGATAGAGTCAGGGATGAAGAAACTTCTGTTGTGTACATGAGCCAAAACATACCGATTTTACCGCTCACTGCAATTACTCTACCATCTTTCTCTGCAAAGGATACCCACCCAAATAATTGAAGGGGTAATCTGCTAATTGTTTGGTAAATCAACAATGATGACTTATTTTCAATATCTTATCTCCTCCTCGACTCTGTCAGAAACACTGACATCAAGCTCCACTTGGTGCTCCATAATTTAAAGGTATTCCTTCACTTTTACAATATGTGCGCAAATTTTATTCTCACTCTCATATTGTATTTTTGAAATTGTCGGCTTCCAACTAACGGTTTATTATTGTTTTCTTACAGAAACAAGAGAAGGGGCGGATGCGAGTTCACCATATAAACAATGTCAACAAGGCACTGCAAATTCTACAACAGAATAATGTAAGTCTTGTGATTTCACAATCAATGTCCAATTTTATTTTTATTTTTTTTCAATACTCCTCCAGTCTCAGTATATTTAACTTTTAAAAAGGCTGGCAACTTTTTTTTTGCCTTAGTTCTCAGAGAGTGTCTTGCTGATTTCATTTGTTTCTTCATTTAAACTTCTGGAGCTGTAGGCATGCAGGCAGCTCTTAATTGTTTAATTTCCTCATCTGATGTTGCCAAATCTCTGGGAAAACCACATTTAGAGCATTTGGCTTGGAGAGGAGTGGGGTATTCCCTTAGTTAAGCCTAAAAAAGTCTTGATTTACTTTTATCATAGGCATGGATGGATAGAACAATTGCTTGGAGAATCACAATCACTTTTTACTAGTTATCAGGCAATGAATTATGCTCTTGTATCAGCACTTAACCATCTCTTGTTTATCCTAGCCTCATCATCAATTAGCGTCATGTTATCTGGATTGAGAGATTGTTTAATCACTCAATAACGATCTCATCTTTTCAGTTCAACTTATGAGTGTTTCTTTTCTTTTATTTCTTTATTTTTTTGTTCTATCTGTACTGACTTACAACTATCAACATACTTGTGTTGTGCCCTCTTGACATTAACTTTTTGACCAAGTATGACTCATTTCTTCATTGAATTAAAGACGCTAATTGCCATTCGTGTGAGATAGAATCAAAGCTATTGGGGGGGGGGGGGTTTCCAGGGGCCTTAACTTCCCCTTCTCCACTCTGACTCAACATTTCTTTATAAGAAAACAAATGTAATAAAACCATAAATGCCATCGTTTGTAGGTACAATAGGGGATATTTTAATCTGTGCTCCCTCACAGATAAATTTTTAATCCCTTCTCCCCCCCTCTTTACCTCTTGCTCGTATGAAATGTCTTCGGAAGTGTCTACACTGAGAGATTTCCTATCTTGGTTTTCTCCCAGTGAATTTAATTTAACATACATTTCATACCACTACATGGTGATGAAAACATAACCAGTATTTTCTCAAAGTTAGTGGTATGATTGGTATGATACTTCGAAGGACTCTGAGCATATTATTTCGTGGACAGAGACGTTAACATCGCATCATAGCTATCAGTGCTTGTTTCTGTAGTAAAAAAATGAATTATAAGTTTACTTTGTACTAATTTTACTTGCTTTATTTAAATTCATTTTTCATTTTTGAGAAAAGCACACTATTTAACGAGTGAAATTTCTTAAAAAGTCCAAAAAATAGAAAAACAAATGCGGAATACTGATCTCATTGAAATCCAACCAATAGCAGCTCTACAATTTTCTTTTTCTTCCAGGTGAAATTGGTAAATATAAGTAGTAATGACATTGTAGATGGAAATCCAAAATTAACATTAGGCCTAGTATGGAGCATCATTCTGCATTGGCAGGTTTGTATTGCATCTTTTATAATACTCTTAGTCCCTCTAAATAATTTTTGCTCTAAGTTATGTTAACAAAAAAACTCATTCAGCTACTAAAATTTCAGTTTTTCAAGTTAGTTAACATTTAGCGAGGAGACAAAAGAGGTGTTTATTAAAGCTATGTTTGTATGACTCAGATATTTGTCAGATTTTCCTCAGATTTTGCATGCAGACGAAAGACAAGTCTCAGATCATACATGTATCAAAAGATTAATGAAAGTGATCTCATTAAGAGAAGATTGGCTTTTACGGTTTTTGTTTTTCCTAAAATCTCAGAAACAAGCTGCTCTTTAAAGAATTTAAAATCTGATTTGTAGCAATTTTTGTATTAAGATAGCAGATCATTCAGTTTTTGTCTGGAACTTTCGATTCTGGAACTTTTTATCCATGAAGCATCAGACTATTTTTCTAGTTCAATTAAGTATTCTTCGTATGTAATATTATAATATTCATAAATCATAAATAATATTATTTATTAATAATATTCATATTATTACAATGTTCACAATTTTTGTGATGCCTGTATATTCCACATTTTCTCTCTCAAATCCAGAGTGATTTTTCTCCATCTTTTCTTCACCTTACAAAATTTTAAACACAGATCCAAGGCAAGTTTTCATGGCACATGCAAATATCCTATACCTCATACATGATAGTTTACAGGTAAAGTTATAAGGCTCAACTTGATAGCATTATTGGAAAGAACTTGAACCTATTTATGAAAACACCTAATGCATGACTTGAGCATTAAACATGATTTATCTGGGAATAACAAGAACAAACAATGTTTTTCAATTTTCTTTCTCTGTCCTTAAGCATATTTTTTATTTATACCTCCTGATTCTAATGAACATGTTTTCATTTTAGGTGCATTATCACTTGAAAGATTTAATGTCAGAGCTTCAACAGACAAATCTTGAAAAAACTCTCTTGGCTTGGTGTCGCTTGAATTGTGCGGTAAGTGTGTTTTATTAAAATTATTTATTTATAAAATGAAAAGTTCAAAGTTATTTTTTCAGTCAGAAAAAGTTAAATAATTTTAATTACAGTCAAGCCCAACCATATAAGACTCAAGGAGAGACAAAAGAGGCTTTACTGTATCCAAAATTTCATCTTACGCAAAGTCAGCTATTAAATCACTATTATAACCTTGTTTTTTATTTTTTTTCTTTCTGTCTTTCCTTTTTTTCTCAGTAAAATGATAACTTGATGATGAAAATGTGTGCAGTATGTCCAAATGAATCAACTTGTTTATAATGGAAGGAGCTAAATTTTTAGCTATAAATATCGGCAGATTTTTCACCTTTTTTGGCCTTGTAGAGATTTTAAGTAGTCAGTAGGTACTTGCAGTCAAATATTGCTAATTTTTATTATCTCTCAGGATTATACTGGGGTTGACATTCGAAATTTTACAACCAGTTGGTCTGATGGGCTCGCTTTCAACGCTCTTTTACATAAATTCCGGCCAGAACTTTTTGATTATGACAGTATCTCTCGAAAGTTGCCTCATGCCAGACTAGAGCACGCTTTTCGAATGGCTGAAAAGAATTTGGGAATAGACCGATTATTAGATCCTGAAGGTGAGTATTGTATTATCAATTTTTATTACATTATGAAGCTATTAAGCCTTTTAAACTAATTCAAGAAAATCACAATAAATTTTTTGTATTTCCTCAAATAAAGAGGCTTAAAATACTGTCCAACTTTGAGAATACAAGAGGAACATTCCGTACTTATTACATAACTGTAACTTGCAAATTATTAGAGTTCCGACAAAAAAGGAAAAAAGTCAGAGGTTATAACTTTTCCTTCCTGTGGGATCGTTGAAGAAAAAATAACCGAAGTTTTTCCTTTTAGAAACCTAAAAAACCACAAAATTTGAAGGAAATGCTCTAAAATTGGAAATATTTGTATTGTTCAGAATCTTGAAGTAAAAAAATATATATTTATATCCAGAGGGGTTTTTTTTTCTGCTGTTCTTAATGTGACCCATAAGCTGGCATCTCTACATCTCTAGAAAAAAGATGGCAAAGAGTCAGACTGCCCATTAACCTCAAAAGTCAATGCTCTAGCTACTTCAAATAGTTGGAACATTAGAGGAACAAAAATATTCTGCGCAAAGTCTTCTTATCATATCAAAGCCAATGAATGTCTCGCATTCAAGCTGAATTTAAATTAAACAGGTAATTTACATTACCTTAATGTTGGTCGGCAGTTTCTTGATATTTACTGATTTTCTCTCTTTTTTGACCCCTACTTATAGATGTAAATACTTCCGTTCCTGACAAAAAGTCTATAATGACGTATGTAATGTGCTTATTCCAATCACTGCCACACGAGGGACTAGCTGATGCATCGATAGACTTCACGCAAAGTCCTCTTGCCTCACCAGTATCAGAAGTGCCGGTAAGTTAAAATAGCTGTTCAACACGTGATCACTTCCTGTTTTTTTTGTTTTTTTCATTCCTGTTCGAGGCATTGTGAATCTTAGGATCAATCTTCAGTTCTTATTTTTCATAAAATTTTCAATTCAGATGCTCTGCTGATTTTTGATACGGATGCATGTCTAAATGTAATCGGTGGTATTTTTCTCAAGGCAAGATATATATTCTACAATTTTACAAAGCTTCTGCAAAATTCTGCATTTGTTCACGACCATGCATTGTTGCCGCAATCTTTAATTATAAGCTATCTGTAGTGAAAGCTAACCTAAAGAAACCATCGAAACCAACAATCTTACCAACTGTTGCACATCTTTCTAACAAATTATTTTAATTGATTTAAAGCATTTTTTATTTTATTTTTCAGTAAAAAGAAATATGGAAAGAACAAATGCTTTTAAACAATTGAAACCATATGTGGGAAAAATTTTGAAAGATTGTTAGGTTTCTCTCCCTACAGCATATCTGATTGACAGAGGCTCACAAAAAAGTGCTTGCAAATGTGATGAAGGAGGGGTATCGATTACGGCCGTTTTAAGGTCCAGCCAGAATTTCCTCAACTCCACAATTTTTCGCTGATTGAAGGTCTATATCTTATAGAATACATCATGATTTGGTCATTTTCAGTCTGCCTAATGCTGGCTTAAATTTGGGTTGGAAGGTTGGAAGGCCAATTTTGGCGAAAATTGCGCGTTTTCTTGGTTCGCAGTCGAATGCCAAAATTTCCCCTTTTTTGCTAAAATTGGCTCTCAGACCCATGTGTAGACCCTGCATTAGACCTGCAAAGAGGCCGGAAATGATCAAATCATGATGCATTCCATAAATTCTGATTCAATGAGCAAAAAATCGTAGAGATGAAAAAAATTAGTCAGGGTGGGCCCAAAACCAGTCCTTATCGATACCTCTCTTTTGATAATGTGTAATGTGGTATCTAATGTGGCAAATTATCCATTAAGGAATGGATTTTACACATTTTTGATATGTTCAACTTTATTTTTGCACAATTTTACCATTCAAAAGAAAACTCAGCCTCGACTGTATCTCTCATGCGTTATAGACCCATTGGACGCCTTAAGGCACTTGGTATTTCAATCGCTTGTCTTAAAACTTTTTGCCACTCATGGGACTTCAATTATTATTGATTTTTCAGAGTGAAGGTATCATACCTGGTGCACTAAGATCAAGACCTCTCAGTCTTGCAACTAATGTCTCAGTGGAGCTCGGCGGTTATCAAGTGGCTTTGGAAGAAGTATTAACATGGCTTCTAGAAGCAGAAGATAAGTTGACTTCATCATCAGTCACTCCTGGAGATTTGGACAATGTCAAGCAGCAGTTTTATGCCCATGAAGTAAGTAGCTCTCTTTGATTTCATTCCTTATCATTTACTTAATTTGCTTTAGTTTTCGTATGTTCACTGTTGCAATTTTGGAGCCCTTGAATTGGTGCTGGTTTTGTCCACATTAAATATTGCAACAGATCCAATTTTTTTCCTTAGCTTCTGCTTTTGTCTTCTTGCCACGTGCAGCATTTATTTTTGGCATACCTTTCATTCCTATTTTCGGCTGATCAAACGGTGAAAATAATATTGATGTTGAAAACATATTGCTATGCAAGATTCAAAATTTTTCATTTATTTTATTTTTTTAAATAAAACCAATGATTATACTTCTATAAAATTTGTTAAGACTATTTTCAGATACTTTTATACGGAGAATGGTCAGAAATTCCACGTAAAAAAACCGTTTGTATTTACTTTTGCCTAATTTCAAAGTCAGTTTCAGCAATTTTTTCTTCCTTTTAAATATATGTTTCTACAATTTCCCCCTTTGACAAAAGAGGAAATGATGGAGAAGGGAATAAGCACTGTGAGCCTAGCTATCAGTTCAGTTGGGGAATTTTCAATATTGCAAACATTATCTACAAGTTGCAGGAATTTAGAGAGTATTCTTTTGTTTTAAAGGAATTTCTATTGGAGTTATCTGGCCATCAAGAGGGCGTTGGCGCTGTACTCGAAGAAGGAGCTAGAATGCTTTCTGAAGGTGGTCTTTCGCAAGAAGAAGAAGACGAAGTCCGTGTTCAAATGAAACTCCTAAACTCTCGGTGGGAAGAATTGCGAGTGAATGCAATGGAAAAACAGACTCGTATCCACGAGATTCTAATGAAACAGCAACAGAAAGAACTTGAAAACTTGCGAGTTTGGCTCACAGGAACGGAGGATAGGATCTCCCGTTTGAGTGGAGACTGCGGGATGGACTTGCCAGCGCTGCTGGATGAAGTCTCTAGATTGAAACAGGATTTACAAAATCAACAAAAAGTTGTTGATGCATTGGCGAATTTAGTCGTTGTAGTCGATGAGACAACAGGAGATAGTGATACTGGTAAGTAATGGAGAGTCAAGAAATTCTCATTTTTTCCATGGTTGGAAGCATTTTTATGTTAGATTTGTTTAAGAATTATCATAAACTTTTATTTTCTGAATGATTTTTTAGCGTCGAACAGCTAGATTTAAAACAGGGTAAAAATTATGTGATGCAGTGCTTGAACTGTTATCCTATCATGTAGTCTGGTGGAAGTAAGTTTTTGACCACCTGTCAGTCTGTATCGAAGCAGTCGAAGTCTATCAGTTTTTTGACCTGCTGCCCATCAAACTGGTCATTGTTTGCGCAGAGGGCCGATTATTGAAATTGATAGACAAAGCTTTAGACCAAGAAGACAAAAGGGATATGGAGGGATCCTATTGGTGCAAGTGGGCGGTGAATATGGACATAGGAGGTAGATAATAGACTCACTGACGGCAACCGATGAGAAATCATATAGTTAGTCCATCATTTTCTCTCTTAGTCTACAGAAACCACCCATTTCAACCAATACAATTGTTCTGTACTTCTTCTATCTTTTTTGTTATCTGCGCTGTCTATAAACTTTAATAATTAGCTTGGAGGAAGCCATGGTGCTACCTGTTGTGTTGAAGGTTTGCCCATGATTTAAATCCTGAAGGAGAGGAGACAAAGAAAAAGGAGAGTAAAAATTCACTATGCATGTAATACTTAAGAATATCTTCTTACTTACATTGGATGTACACATTCACAGCATACAGTCACATGGAAGACCAGCTGAGTGCGTTAGGCGAAAGATGGGCGCATGTTTGCCAATGGGCTGAGGAAAAAGGTAACCGATTAGGTTCACTCCTGACCCTGAGGGACAGGATGCGTCGAGAAGCAAAATGGCTCCAAGGTTGGATGGATGAAAAAGAGGTCGCTCTTAAGTTAATGGAAGCCGATCCTGTTGCAGAGAAGGGCGCAGTCCTTCAGAGAGTCAAACAATTACAGGTAATTGATTTTTTAACCACAAGGAAAAATGCTTTGATTCGTAAATTGGCTTTTTGATCTTTGCCGCAATATCCAGTCTCCAAATCTTCCAACTGCAAAATGACTTCCAACTTCTAAGTATGGTCTCGAAAATTGATTTAAGATTTTGGATTTTTTTAAATTATTTTCAAACGTTTTTATGAGTTTAAAATCCGAACCAGATGCGCATGATATGAGGAGCCTTAACTCTTTTAAAAGTTTTTGGATACATGCCAAGCTTTACTATAACCAGATTTTGGTGTTCACAGTTTGCAGCCAGCACTTTTCCAAATTCTTTCTCTCGTCAAAAACAATAACTGGACTGTTGTCAGTATAGAGGTATTGAAGAGTGACGGCTCAAAAAATGATGAAAAAACAACAATAGACCTAAAGGTTGAAAGTGAATTGTACCGAGGGACCAATGGTAGAAATGATAGGAAAGAAAGAAAAGATGGAATAGGATATGAGGTATTGAAGCGAGACAAGTGAAGAACCGCAGCAACCCCCCAATTTGCCTTGGCTCGGAAAATGAGAGTGGGAAGAGAAAGATTTGAGGTGACTGCAAGATTGATTTAGTGATCTGGAAGAGATCCTACTTGGAGTTTTGAGTTTTACCAGACTCAGAGTGAATCGGCTACTATCCGTGGATAGGAAACCTGAAGGGTTACCAGGCGTATAGTACACCGGCTACTGCAGTGAGCAGGAAAACCAGAAAGGTTTGAATATTGAGAGCTGTGTGCTATTGCACTTATTATTAATTCCAGATTCCGAAGAATTGGCTTCTCCAAGTTGGAGGTGGTATACAAACTGTATGAGTCCGAAATAGAGATGACTTGAATGTGAATAATTTTGAATGCTTGAAAAGATGAATTTGCTTCGTTCTGTGTAATGATGACCGCTAATGCTTGACCTTGGTGCCAATATAACGGGAAACTGAACTTCGGTCTTGATCCATAAAACGCCAATTTCTTGCTGAGCTCCTTAGGATGTTTCTTCAGCTGCTTGCCTGGCTTGATTTGACTTGATCCTTGTTGAGAGCTTGAGAGTGAGGGGCTTCTTGGTCGACTGCTGCATTCAGAGTGACTTAATTATCGATTTGCGGGTATATTTATATGCAGATTTCCTTTGTGTGCGAATGCGGGAAACCAACTTGCTTGTGATTGGTCGATTGGCGAAGCAAGAGTGATTGAGCGGGAAAACGGCCGCTGAATTTGTATTGCTCGGGCTCAGTTGTCGCGAAGTTCAAATATCGCGCGCCGCGGTGACTCGTGATTGGCTGAGACGGCTACGGCGAATTCGCGCTGACTCGTCATTGGTTGCGGCGCTTGCGTGGCTGAACAAAGGATCTCATTACTGCGCGGTTGAAAGTTGACGTCTAGTGCAGAGTTGTTCGCCCGATCACCAAGGTTAAGCTACATTGATCGTAATGCTTGAAATGGAGACCGTTTGGGAACATCGCAATTTTACATCATTTTACACGTTTTAATTTTGTGAATTGGTCTGAAATGAGTTGAGAATGCTGAGAAGTTGATTTCTAGAATTTATTATAATTATTATTATTTTTTATAAAGGGGAAATCAGACAGGTATGAAGTAGTGCTGGCTGGATACAATTACCCCTTATATATCTTTCGTAAGACAGAATTTGATGACTTTATCTGAAATTTTGTCTTTGTTTGGACAACTTTCCTTTTCTCAAGAAAATGTGATTACCTTTGCCCTTCATGCTTTCAATAAGATCATTCAATGGTGTCACAGATTTTTGGTATTGTTTTAATATTATAAGTGATGAATGGTTGCTTGTTTTCTTATAATAGTAAGGAAGTAAATTTTTTTAGGGCAAGAATTGCAATACATATCTAGAATAGAATTGTGTTTACTTGTTTTTAATTGGCGTATAAATAATATCACCAGATTATTTCTTGGACGGAGAATCCATTTCTTTATCAAAAAGTTGATTACTGTAAAGAAGTAATACTGTGCATGTACCTGAACCAAAAATTCAGTGCATGTACCATTTTCTCAGCTCATTCTATTTTTGATTCAAATTCTCGGCAGATTTTGAGGCATCAGATCAATGCTCAACAAAATCGACTCGCAAGACTTCAAGAAATAGTGCAAGAAATAGACGCTGAAGTGAATTCATCGGAGAGTGCTAAAGAAGCAATTCAAATTGAAACCCTTGCTGATCGATGGGAGGCCCTTGTTCAGATCACGGATGTCCAAGCTCAGAGAGTAAGTTGTGTATCGAAATGATGATCGATTAAGGGAGTATTGATGCTCTGGGAGAAGTGTGGTTGCAGTTCCTTCTTTGTTTCGTTAGAAATTAGAAAAAAATACAAATGCATCTACCAGATAAAAAAATTAATAAAAAATCATTTTATTACAAAAAAAATATTTTTAAATTAAAATATGCAGATAATAAAGGAAATAACACCAGCAATAATCTAACAGGAAATTCATAATCTTGACATAAATAGTAATGAATTACAATTCACTTAATTGAAAATACACCAAAAGGAGGATATCCTGGAATTGTCAGCCCTTACAAAAACAATACTAGGTCATCGACTTTACAAATTATTTTTTATGTGTAGGTATGTTATGTAGTATTGATAGTGGTCAGTATCCTAACAAATAATTGTGTTTACATTTTTGTAGATTGCCGATTCAGGTTTGGAGTGCAATTTGAGCTTAGAGTTAGCGATAGTTCCTCGAGAAGAACCACCACCTTCACCAACAACTTCCAGTCCTATGGTAAGTCAAAATAATCGTTTCTTTGTGTTGATCTAGAAAGCTCTTGAATTGGTTGTTTTTTTCTTGCAGACCAGTTGATTTTAAAATATCACTGAACTAACAACTACCATATTGTTTAGTCAGGAAATGTCCACTCTTTTTGTACCAACTCTTGTTTAATCCAAGATGACGCAATAAATTTCTAATGTGAAAAACCAATGCTACATTATATTGCATTTTACTGGTTGCAGTCAAGTAAGGGCTGGGCCGCTGAGGGTGGAGCTCATTTCAAAAAGATGCACAATGATTGACCTGTGTGGATTGATCTTAGTTTAATCATCGGCAGTTTGTGATTTTTTGTAGCATTATTTTAATTAGAATTTAATTATTTACTCTTGAGTATTGTTTTATTTCAGGTTGATCAAAGGAAACGGCGAAGAATGAAAAATTCCCAACAAACAGAAATAGAATCCAGCTGTGAAGAAATCAACTCTTGGCTGGAAGAAACAGAAGAGTATTTACATTCAACAGGTCTTAACGCAGCTTCAATCAATCAGATCGAAAGTGTAGTCCAAGAAAAGCAGAAAGTAATCGTCAAGTTGGACGATTTAGTCAGCCAACTTTTGCAAGAGCAAGAATTACCAGTTGAAGAGAAAGAGATGGTTGCCAAGCTGAAACGTCGCCTCAATAATGTTGAGGAAATTTTATCAAATTTTGCCTGCAAGGAGAAAAGTGAGCCGTACAAACAGTATGAAGCATCTAAAAGTGAATTCATCAAGTGGATCAGTGAAGCCGAGAACCTCTTACGATCTGATGAAAGCATTGTTTTGGAAATCCCAGAATTGAGGAAACAACTCCAGCAAATAAAAGTAACTTAGTCTTACTAATTATCTAATATAAATACTAATAATCTCATATCTATCTGCTTTATTCCTCTGTGTGTGAAAGATTTCAGAGTGTAAAACAGTTTGAGTAATTTTTTATTTTTATTTTATTTATTTAGTTTTATTTCATAATTTTTCGGGCAAGCCCATTAACATTTTTATTAATTTTGTTAGTCAACTTGTTTTTTCTTCTTCTTTTTCAGAAGGTATGATTCTTAAGTAATCGGAATATGTTTGTTAAAAAAGAAAAAAAGTTTTTTTTGGAGACTTCAATGTCAGAATCACATTGACGAAGTCATTATTTGTTTCCACAAATAGTTTGCTACATGCCACCTGTGATATTTATCCATCTCTATCAATACTTTGTTCATGATCAATACATTGTAATAAAATTTCCCGTAAAAGTTGGAGGAAGTTTTAGAAACTCATCGAAATAATACGTGGAATTTTTAGGGACTCATTCACGATTTTCTTTCTTAACTGAAGTGAAATATAGAATAAAATCTCTTTTTTTCAAGTTTAATTCAAACCTTTTTGTATGTAACATCAAAGAGAATTTTGATCAAAGGCTCAGCGTTTCTCTGCAAGAATGATGGGCATTTCCTTTGTTTAAATATCAGTGAAGAAACGAAAAATATTTATTGTTCTTTGATGTCTTCACAGGATATTCAGGAAGGTCTAGCTCAACATGAAAACGAATTTCGTGAAGTCAAACTTTGCGGGAACATTTTAATGGAAAATGCTGGGGGAAATGTTGCAATTCAAGTTCAAACAGAATTGAGTGACCTTGAAAAGAGGTGGACTGAACTCTTGGCAAACATAGGTGAACGGGTGCAAAACATAGAAGCTTGTAAGTAGAAATACATTTTTATTTTCAATTTCTTTTTAAATATATACAAACGGTGAAAATTAGTAGATATACAAGAAAGGTAAAGGTCTTTTGAAAACAAATTTTTCATAATCTTATTTACTATCCCTCAGGAAAGCCACGACTAGATTCTTTTTTGTGCCTTAGCCAGAAAACTTGCCGAATTATTGCAAAATTGCAATTTATTCTCTAAGTTCTAAAAATCAGTTAAAGAGACCAGTTTCAAAAAAAAATTCCTCGAGGTCCTTATGTGTGGTTTTTTCAACTAGACTCATCCCAATTCATGTAGTTCGAAGATGTCTATTGGAAGAATGTTAAATTTTCAAAACTCAACATTTGATGCGAAATGATCAGCTCCTACTTTTATAATGAGCATTAGCGACCGTCAGTCCAACTTTTGATCTTTATTTTTGCGCTCAGTTTCGAAGCAAATACCAAGATGACAGATCTTCTGTTACCTTCTAGCAATTGATGTAGTAAGTTAAAAACTCCAAGAAATTTTGAATGAAGCCTTGTATGTGAGTGTCGTCATAAATCTTAGCTGTTCAAAAGTTTATGAGTTTTTTAAAGTTCCTGTGTAGTATTTTAGTTTATGTTACCATGAAAGCTTCGTTTGTTTAGATATTGTGAGGGTAGAAAATATGGCAAGTGACATCAGTACAATGGAGGCCTGGTTGGATGAAGTGAATTCCCTTATTTTTGTGAACGTAGATGAATCTGTTGGTAATTTGGAGGCATCTGCCACACATGTTCTTGAGTCAAAGGTTAGTTGTAATTTTTGTGTAGTATTCTTTGCACTGATCCTTTCTTTATTCTGGCTTTGTTTCCATTTCATATTGTTCTGTTCTAAAGGACAACGAACTGTATAAAACGTATAGCCTATCTTGATCAGATTTTAAAATATTTTATTGGTATTGATACTATCCATCAAATTTTATTTGCATTTTCTAATTTTTCAAATTTTATTTCTCTTACATAAGTTTTATTCTGATGAGAATATCCCTCAATTTTTTGTGGCTCAGACAGAAGTTCTCAGCCAAAATTGCTCAATTAATTTTTAAATAAAAACTTTAAACTCTTAGCTTTGAGTTCCAATATGATTTAAAGTAAGGCATAGGTTATCAAATGATTAGTGGTAGAGGCATACATATATCAGCTATCAAAAACACTAGACAGTTAAATAAGCGCAAAAAACTCAGAAATAATAGAGAAAACTGTAGAAACTTTAAATTTATGTACTTGATAATCAGTTTCATGACATCATCACTAAATTCGTGTGTTTTTTTTTGTTAAGGCTGTTCTAGACAACATTGCTGAAATGAAAGAAAATGAGATAAAAATTGAGGACTCAATGAAAAAATTGATGAGCGACTCTTTCAAGACTTCCTTCACTGTGAAACTGATGGAACAAGCATTGGCGTTGCATGATAGGTGGAATATGACAGAATCTGCCGCTAAGCAGCACAACGAAAGAATGGAACAGCTGCATGAAAACAACAAAACGGTATTGCTTGGCGTTGAATATAATTTTACTGTAGAAGGAACAAATCCCTAACCAAAAATAATGACACAAGCAGGAATTTTTTCGGTGATATGATTCAAATTAGTCTTCAAGGAGATGACAAGGGTCTTCAAGCTGTGGTAACAGGGAAAAGTGAAAAATAATTTTTTTGGTGATATGATTCAAATTAGTCTTCAAGAAGCTGACAAGGGTCTTCAAGCTGTGGTAACAGGAAAAAGTGAAAAACATTTTAGGAGAAAATTAACTTAATAAATATCTGAGAAAACTGGAAAATTTATGGACAAAATTAGCATTTTGCTACGCATGTTATGTACTTCATTTCTTCATATTCTGAGAAAAAGATTCTGGAGAATTATGACCAACTTTACTGGAAAAATTGAGAACTTAAAGGTTACTTATCAAGTAAACAATAAGTATCACTCAATTTGTCTTATTCCTGCTTATATATGGTTGATGATAAAAGGTATGAGCCTCATACTGTTAGTTTCACTATAGTTAAAAAAAAAAGGGTGCATAAAACCCAATTTTAGTCAAATAATTTTTTTTCTCCCCAATTTTTCTCATTAAATAGCCTATGAAATAGGAAAAATCATCGCTTTTTATATTTGTCAAAGGTCTTAACTGGTATTGAAGAGCTGAGTGCCTGGCTAGATGATCTTGAAGAATCTTTGAGTCCATCGAACACTGAAATTGTCAATGCCAAAGTGCGATATCAACAGCTGAAGCAGAATATTCATGATAAGTCTCAACTGTTTCGCACCATCAATGATCTTGGTCAGTAGTTTTTATTCTTGTCATTCATTTTTTCTGATTTTCGATAGTGTACCACTTTTGATTTAATCAAGAGTGATAAAAATAATCAAGAAGCACGCAATAGGATTGCATGATGTTCTTCAAAAGCTTAATTTTTGAAAGAAAAAAAAAGGAACTGAAAAAAATGGTAGTGGTTAGTGTGTTCTGTAATATTTTTTTAATTTCATTCTCAAGGATGCAAGCACCCATTTATTCTTTGATTCTTCTTATTGGGCCAAGGGGCTGTTCATAAAATACGTACATGATGCTCTAGAGGAAAGAGAGGGTTGAGGATAGTGTTACGCCATTTTTTTTCATGTTTCGAAGGACAGGATCCTACATCTTTAAAGGGTTACAAGGGGGGTTGAAAAATTCAAAGTTTAGATATATGGTTCTTATACTTGATCCCTAATGAATTTTAAGCTTTGGCAATGTTTGTGAGTGCTGATGGGTTCTCGTGGGTGTCAGCAGTATAAATAGACACCTTTTTTTCTAATTATTACCTTCTTCCCTTTGTAATACAATCATTGGTTCTTGACTGCAGCCATTATCAGTTCTTTCTCTCTGTATTCAAATAGGAAACTCAATGGTCGCAAAGTCTGAAGGAGGTGATCTCCGCCAGAAATTAACGCAGCTTAACACTCGATGGAACGAGATGACTAATGACGTATTTGAAAAGCACAAAGCCCTCCAATCAGCCTCTGAACAGTATGGTGAATTTAGAGGTACGTTCTTTTTTTTTATGTATCAATGCGTTTTTCTTCTAAATCATTGAAAGACATAGCAAAGGAAGGCAACAGAGTTTTATTTGCACAGAGAAGAAAAATGTTCAAAAATTCAGAAGCAAGTTTTCAAAAATTGCCATTGAGTGGTTCCCCATTTAAAAAATAAAGTATGACAAGAAGTCTGCAAGAAGACAAACCAAGATACAGGGTCTGGCAGTTTCACCGTTGATATAGTTCTTCTTGATTTAAATACATTCAATTGTTCCAAGGAACAAGTCTTTTGGCGCTTATAGCCTTTTTTGGTGATCCATCCATCGCTTCTCCTTTCTTTGAGTATTAAAACAGGCTACAGTATTTTTGACAGAATTTTCCTTTAATATTTAGTCTGAGAGTTTGCCCAACTGTAGAATTTTTAAAAATATTTTCTCCTATCAAATTGTGATAACATGTATGTATATTATTGTTTTCTAATTTTCTACAAACAATTTTACCTTCATCTCATCACCTGTTTAAATAGTTGCCCCTAGTTAAATTTTTCTCTCCGTTCCAGCTCTTGTTGCCAAAGAAAAAGATTGGCTCGACAAGTTGGAAAAACTGCTCATCAAAAAGTCACCTAACACAGCTGCCGATGCTGAAGAACTCTCTGAAGAATTGGATGTAAGCAACAATTGATTTTTGTCTAATTAAGCTTTGAGTTTAAGTTTAAAATTTTCTCTATGTAATACTTCGCACCCAGCCTGTTCTTCAAGGGTAAAATATCATATTGCTCGATATTAGATCCGAGTTAATGACTGTCATCAGAGAATTGCTCCAAAATTGCAAGATTAGGATATGATAGTATTTTAGATTCATCCGCGAACATTACTTTTTCATTGGTTTAAAACTTACACAAAAATTAAAGAAACTGAATAGGTTAAAATCATGGTTATGCCTAAAAGATTCTAGAAAGAGATACTTATACATAGGGGTCAACTGAGAGCAACTGAGATAACCATTGGAAGGATCCCGCAGTTACTTACCATTTTGTCACTCTGACCGCCATTTATTTATGGCACCAGCAGTGTTCTTTAACTTTTATGGTTCATGACTAAACAAATCCACGAACGGGAAAAATTTTAAGGTTTTTATAAATACTAATCCTGTAAAATAGTTCCAATAAAGATCCACTTTATCAGGTAGATTTCGCAGTTCTGAACTTACAATATAGAAATGTATGCAAGTCTTCAAATTTTCATAGCGAGTGAAGCTAATTGATTTTTTAACCACTGTTTATCTTTCAGGATCTGGAAAATTTCATCAGGAACCACTCTGAGAACAGTATTGCAAGAATCCAAGATATCGGGCAGCATTTAATGAGCAATCAAGTAGTCACGGATAATATTGAAACTGAAATAAATAATATTTCTGACCGGTTCACAAGTCTCAGCAAAAAGGTCAGTCTGCCCCAGTTGCTTTTATTCAATAATCTTATCAATATGCTCAGAATATTGCATTTCATCAATGACGAATGTAAAGGCAAAGTGATCACTTGAGTGGCAAATAAGTCTTATTGTAGCTAAGACTGATTCTTCATACAGCGAGAAAACTCTAATACTTAGAATGCATGTAATTTCAAATTATTGGCTTAAAAATAAACTAAATTGCTCGCATTGATCATCCAAATTCCAATTTTTTGAGTGGGTATGGCAAAAATGGCTCCTCTGAAAACTTGACATCCATGCAATAATTTCCCTTTTCGTTTCACTGTTGCAATCATATGTAAGCAGAATATCAAGTAAGGTAGGAGGAGTGCTAGACCTCCTTTAAGAGAAAGTTGCGTTTCTTTACGAGGTTGTTGATTGTTTTGTAAAATTTTCAGGCCCAAGATCGTGCCCAAGTTCTAGAAGTTTGCGTAGCAGAAGCCCAAGAATGCGAAAGTCATGTTAATGTCCTGCAAAGTTGGCTCGAAAACGTCAACATTCAGCTGACTGAACGTCTCCAAAATGACCTGACTGCCGATGACCTTCCTCAAGATGTGCAACGACTGTCTGAAGAATTCGAAGTCTACACTAAAAAACTCTTGGAGATTGAGGAGAAAGTGTGCCTCTATGAGGAAGCAGGGAAACAGGAAGCATCAACAAGGCTGAAGGAGCAGCTCTCTTTAGTCAATGAGAAGTTCAAATCAGTCTCAGAGAAGTTTGAGCAGTTCAAGTCTCCAGAAAAGTATGCGCTGAAGTTGCACCGAGCGTTGCGCGAGCTGCGAAGCATTGAGGAAGCTGTTTGTCTTCTGGAATTGACTTCTGATGACCCGGAAGATATTCAGGGTCAACTCAATCATTGCATGGTACACTTTTCTTGAATTTTCTCATTCTTTAATTTTAAATTTAAGAAGTTTTGCGCAAGAAGTTTCAGAAAGAAGCAAAAAAATACCATTTTTTTTTGCTGTCATAGAGAGAGATTAATATTAAAAATCAAACAATTTTTGCTCCTCTGCAATGCCATGAAAAGAATCTTTTGCAAGTAAACAATCTGTAACGTGTAAATAGAGAAGAGAAATTTAAAAAGTTGAAATTTCAGTTTTAGAAACGAACTTCCGAAAATTTAAAAAATGTTCGGCACTGACCTTTTTCTACTTTTTTGCAGAGGTTCTACAACACACTAAGTGATGTCAAATCAGAGATTGAACTGGTTCTCCAAGAAGGTCGCAAAGCTGTAGAAGAGGGTAGAACAGAGAATCCAGAAGAGCTGACGAAACATTTAGATGATTTGAAAGATCTTTACAATAAGGTGAGTAGTTTTAATATTTTGTTAATGGATATTAATTAAGAGGATTTTTAGTGTTGCTCAGAGGAAATAAATCTGATGAAATGCTGAAACTTAATTTATACCTGAAGTCAGAAAGCACTATAAAATTACACAAATACTATTTTTGACCTGGAATCTTTGTAGTCAGCCAAAGAATATTAGTCTTTAAAAATCTTTTTGCGGAACCGTAATGTTAAAGCCAGAACTACATAGACTCAAAGTTCAGTGTTCAATATAACTAATGAAATGTAACACAATGCTTGTGGATAATTATAGCCTCAAATCAGGGTTTTTGAAAGAGATTTCTTGGTAACTGACGGCTGCAGTGTGATCTTTCATTTGATCATTTAGTTTTTTTTGGTTTATAAACCTTCATTAAAAGAGTTTTACGACAAAATTTTCGACACCTCCATGTTCATTAACCTTTATTAACCGTTGGTATATGCTCTTTTTATTCATTTACTGCTCCTGTGTTGCATATTTACACCAAAAGCAATAATCTTACATTGGCAGTCCTTAGCCATGTTAAAGCTTGTGACATACATCATGGAGTCTCTCTTTTGCCTGTGGTTTGTTTTTGTGAACTTGATCTTTTTAGCAGTGTAGTCTTAAGCATTACAGTTGAATCTTCTCTGTTCAGCTTGGTGTACAAGTTTCGGAATCTAAAAATTGCCTAGAAACAGCTCTTGAACTTTCGAAAGTCTTACACGAAGAGCTACCAGCACTGCTAGCATGGGTTCATGGCCTCGAGCAGGAGCTAGATCAAGTTGAATCTACTCCTGTGTCTCATCGATACTTGGATGCTGAATACAGCTTCATAAAGGTAGACTTTTATTCATTATCTCAAACATGAAAACACAATTAAATGATGTCAATTTCTTTAAGAAATCGTATAATTGTATGCATTACTAACCCATTTGTGTAGAAGCATTTTTTGCCAGTTTTTGCGCCTTTGCATTTCAATGATGTTGTCTGTCAGCTTATATTCTCCTCAAATGCATTGCATTGTTCTTGAATGATCCTTAGAACTTTTCTTCAGCCAGAGTGGATGTGTTAATATAGTTGGCTAATGATGCAAAGAAAAAAAAGGAAGAAGGGAACGTGTAAACCTGCTGCTGCCCTAGGCATTTATCTTTGCAATATATAAATTGCTCGTGTCTTTTTTTGTTTTATTTTTTTAAAGAAAAACTAATCAGCAGTTTCCACTTAAAATATTTGTGAATATTCCTCACTCATTGTAAAAAAGTCACACAAAATTTCAAGGAAGCGTTTTGATTAGGTTTTTTTTTTTTTTTTTTTTTTTTTGAAGAAAAATAAAATATAATTGACTAGTTTTAAACATTGCAATTGAGATCTACATTTTTTATAGACATATTCTACCTTGTGATAAATTTTAGAAATTTGAGAATATTGAAAGATTAAAGTCTAAAAATTTATCACACTGACTTTTACTTATTTATTGTTCATGAAATATGTCTCACTTTTATTTTATTTTGAGTTTACTATTTAATCAATGTGTGTATCTTTTGATGTATACAGGAAACCCTCGAAGTTGATTGCGAAAAATGGGGTCAAGTCAAAGATAATGTCCGCGCCAAATTCCGTCAGTTTTCGAGCTTGTGTTCAGATCCAGTGTACCTGGAAGTGCTCCGCGATAGAGTTAGCGATTGTGTACGCAAATGGGATCGAATCAAGGAGAGATTGATTGAAGCCAAAGAACAGTTGGAGGTATGTATCATTTTCTCTATTTCATTTTTTACAGTATTTATAATAGCTCATAATTCTTGAACCCTGTAGTTGATAAAACTGCAAAATGTTCTGCACAAGCCGTATTTCTAGCTTTATCTACTGGATTTTCTTAGCAACTGAATGTAACTCACCCTTAAGACTAGCAATTCTTTTTTTTTACCCAAAAATTATTACTCGCATAGCTGTCTATGATTGTTTGCAAATGCCAGGGGTGCTCAATATGTTTTATCTCAACCACTGCCCAGAAATGTCCCGAAAATTTTGGATTTTGAGAGGAAAGTAGAATTATAATAATAAAAGGAAATAACAAAAAAAAAAATTCTGACTCTGGGTAAAGCAGAATTTTAAGCGACTAGAAAAAACAGAGACTTTTATCTTAACAACGAAACCATGATAAATGAAGAAAATCTGAAAAAATCTGGGAAAACACGTAAAATGTTCAAGTTTCGTTGTCCTAAAATTTTCCGAAAGGATGCAAAAGATAAATGCTCAATGGCAAAGAGCAGTCAGTGCCTAGGAATTGTCTGCACCCTTGGTAAGTGCTGGTTATCATCAGCGATACCACTCTTCACAAGCCCTTTCAATGGTGGGTGCAACACTGTAAAAGACAGAATGAAATGAAAGGAAGGAAGAAAGGTAGGTAAGAGGAAAAAAATAAGAAAATTTAACGCACTTTTTTCACTAACCACTAACACTTTTTGGTTGTTACACTGTGGTTATACTAAAGAAGTAGGCAGCTGAAGCTAATGGACATGGGTTTATAATATTCATCATTATTTAAATGTTTGTCCAGTTTTATACTCTTTGCAAATGTCTTTTTTTGGAGTACCTCATCGAAATTTTCTGTGAAAAGAGCTCCCTGCTCAGCTTACCTTAAGGACATTAATTAGTTTATAATGTAAGACAAAATTGTACAAATTTCATCTCGAAGTCGTCCAATCAATGTCTCCAATGGGTAAAAAAATTTAAGTGAAATTGATGTATTATCACTATTTTGCATGGCATCTGAAACTGAAAAGATGAATGGTTCAATTTTTTTGTCGTAACAATCAACCTCATTCTGGGTTCTTTACATTTTCCTTTTTAGTGCTGGAGCAAAGGTAGAACAGTTGTGAATGCAGTGCAATTCTGCTTTGCCACTGTACCTTTTACAGCAAATCTAAAACTCTGTTTCAAGCCCATTTCTCTCCTATTTTAACTCAGGAATTAAGTTTTAGCTCCTGTCAGTTGCATCACTCACCATTCGTAAAAATGTGACATGCTTTTTGACCTTAAGCAATCAAGATTTTGTCTTGCGACTTTCAAGTCTTCTGATTGGTCACAGGTCTTGATTAGTTAGAACCCAGGATTCTTCTACCTAATTTTCACAGTGATGACGTTGATACATTCTTTTCAATCAGAAGCCAGAATTTTTATGTATGACTTCTTCGAGGTGTCATCCTAGTTTTCTATCATTTCTAGACGTAAAGGAGAGTGTCATCAGCTTTTTTTAAATTCAATGACAGTAATGAAAGCAATAAAAAGTAGACAAAGAATGTACATAAAGAGTTTAGTTTCAATGATCATAAAATCAACCCTTATTTTAACGTATGTAACCCTATTTAATTAAGCTATCGTCAGAAAATAATGTTTCAGGTACTTTTGCACGAAAAGAAAAATGCACATTTTAATTTTTGAAGATCAGAATCGTTTAATCTAAGTGTTTTGGCCTAGAAATTCTCTCTAACTGTCGTTTCTTCTTTAGTCAGCATCCTAGGGATTTTCAACTCATCTCATTTTTACTCATGCTCGTTTGTTCAGACTTCAACAAGAAGATATAAATTATTTTCACACTTTTCCTCTATTCTCCATCGATTCTTCCTCACGGTGTTCCTCTTGCTCTGCCTGGCCATTGGTCTCATATTCTTCTTGTTTTTGCATCATAATCAATAATAATCATTTTCTCAATCCATCTTCTGCTTATTATCTGCACAGTCTTTAATTATTTGACTCGGTATGCTTGGTAGACATCCACTGCGGAGTTCCTCATTCACTAGATCAAAAAGTTTTACAATTTCATACACTCAGCCACTTTAAGAATCTCCTCTCGAAGTCGCATTGTCCTCTTGGTGGCTGGAAGCTTTCAAACCTTAACCACTCATCCGTGCACCTCATTTAACTCTATGTATGACTTCATATCCAATTTGACATGGGAGGATTCCGGAATGTCTTACCTGACAGCGCGGCTTCAAGAGCTCTGTCCTATGAGGAGACCAAGAGCATGGGCAGGATGCATGTTTTGTAGTAACGGTGGTGGAGATGTTTCCAAGTGTCGTAACATTGTTTTCAAAGGTTGATGGAGTCATAATCAAGCTTTTGGTGGAAGTTCAGCCTCTTTTATTCCCTGGATTGCGGATAAGGGTTGCCCCACTCGTCTGAGCTGTGAATAAAGTCTATTGATGTCTCTTTCAGGAGTTGACAGACACCGCTGAACCCATCAGAACTGTCTCCAAGCCTCCGTCCAAAGGTGGGAAATCTGTCAGGATTGAAGAGCCTGAATCTAGCAGATTTTTGCCAACGAAAAAGGATGCAATTGGTAGACAAGAAACGATTGCTTTAAAAAGACAATCTTCCGAGTCAGATTCAGAAAATCACCCAAGGGGTGATGGCTCACCGAAAGTCATGAAAACTGAAACAGAGAATAGTGAATCGATCAGTGTGGGTTCGAGGAAGGGTGAAAATCGCCTAAGCGTCTATGAAAACGTAGAAACGCAGAATTCAGAACCGCTAACAACCAAGCTAAAAACAGATGATACTGATGAAACGAAAGGATGTCAAATGGTCGAGGTCAAGGCAAGTGAGATAGTCAAGTCCTCTGTTGAGCCTGTAGAGCATGTCGTTTTACCAGAGGCAGCAACGCATTCTAGTCCCATGACTGTGGAAATGGTCGAAATTCTGGAAGACACAGAAGAGTCTGCCACGGAAACAGATCCAGACGAAAAAGTGCCCTCGCCTGCCTTCGAGCGCAAGATGGATCGGAGAAGCAACCACAAAATTCACCTTGGACCCAGTGAAACGCTCATTAAAAGACAGAAACTGATCTCTGACGAAGCTCTGAGAAATAAAAAAGCTTTGTCTCTTGATGCAGTCTCTAAAGAGACATCAGAGAGTGAAGTTCCAAGAAAGTCACATACTTCCTCAGATTTTATGGAGTGTGATAATGAAGGATCAGTGAAATTTGGCTCAGGTCCTCACAAAGTTCAGGATCCTACAAACGGAAATATGAGAAGTGAGGCGGAGATTACAAGGTCCCAGCAGTCAAGTGGCAGAATTAGTTCTCACAGCAGTAAAAAACGTGTTGAAGGTGACGCGAAAGTGTCTATTGATGATAGTGATAGCTTCTATGGGAGTGACAAGGAGATAGATGAACCGCTAATATTCTCAGGGGATGAGGGGAAAACAGATGATCCTGAAGACAGCTCCAGCTCAGATGATGAGAACTTTCGGGGTACCATCAGACACAGATTTGATGCAAAGGTGAAGTATTATTTTTTCTCCTACAAGCAATTGATTCCCCAGTGTTGTAATTTTATGTGGTATGTACCATACCAGCCTCCGACTGTTTAATTTTTCCAAATATCGACTGAAAGTTTCACTCTCAATGTAGGTGCTTTTTCTTGTTTTATATGTACGCCTCAGTATCTTATTCTTTTCTTTTTAACTTTTATCTCCTTCAAGTAACAAATCAGATGCTTATTCGTCTTATGCTCCTTCCTTAGAGTCAGTAATTTTATCAAAATTCATCGTAAATTTTACTCGTGCTTACTGATTGTTGCCCAAGCGCAATTTAAAAACCTTCTAGTAAAGAAAAGAAAATCTAATTTGATTTTTTTTTTTTTTTTTTTTTTTTTTTTTTAAGAAAAAAAAAGTCAAGCATATTCAAGATTCTTAAACGTTTCCACAAAAACCAGTATCGGTTTCTTTAGTCATTGATATCACATCTATCAAAGTCAGCAGATGAGATAATAAATAATCAGGTTGCAGTTGATCAGGTGATAAAATTCAGTTGAGTAGATTGCAAAATTGTGGCACCATAATAATTGGAATCGTTTAAATAAGAGGAGTCTATCTTTATTGAGAGTTTTGGAAAAAGACATACATTTACGCAAACGCACATATGATTTTAATAGGCGTAGGCAACTCCTTTGTTAAGGCAAATAAGAAAATATTGGGGAAAACCACTCAATAATCTATCAAAAGTCAGGGGCTCTCCGGGAGACTTCTTTTCCATAATGTAATTCTTATTTGGAACAGTTTTATGCAAAATGAGTCCGCGTGCATGAGAAATTTCAGAATGACCCTCGCTCTGCTCCTGGCCAAGTCGAGTCTTTTCAACAGCTTAATCGATGGTATCATCTATGGTAGTTTTCGAGCATCAAATTCAGAATGAACCAGCCTCCAAGCTCCAATTCATTCCCTTATCAGATAGGTTCCTTCTGAAACCTCCCTCTGCTGAAATAGGCTTCTCTTGCATAAATGTGCCCAACTTCGATACAACAATTTATCAACATCCCTCCTTCTTCAAAAAGAAAATAAGGTAGGATTTGGGTTATAAATTATTTATGTAACTGTCTAATTAGACAATCATATCTGATAAGTATAATTAAAGATTGATTTATGTCAATAACTTTTTCTGAAATGACTGTTCAAAAGCCACTAATTACTGCATTTGCTAAAGCCTGTGTGTTTTTTCCTTTGCATTTCAAGATGTTTCTTTCCTTTTCTTTTCTTCTCTCTTGCAGTCAAACAAACTTCATCAAATCTCTTTCTCTTTTTCTGTGGTTGATAAGCCTTTCATCATATTCCTGCGGTCTCATTCAGCCTTTCTCATCAAACGTCGATAGTCTTTTCTATGACGATTGTTCCTATTCATGCTGTGGTCAAACTTTAAGAGATTTCGAATTTTTTAGAAGCTTTGTCTTTTCTCAAGAATGTTTAAACACTTCTATTCGTCGGTAAGGCTTTGCTTTTTTGTCATTTTTTTCATTGTCTCTGTTAGTTTTTCTCTCTCGCGGAGTGCACTGTTGCGGCTTTCAAACTTTCAAGGATTTAGTAGGACTATAAGCCTCAGCTTCTGTAAAAGACTATCTCATTTCTCTCATATTAAGACCATCCTTGATTCTCGTTGCAGAATAAGTTATGGGTGGTGACTAAAATATACAAGTCTCAAATTGAAAATAAATTGATGTACCTCACTCATTCTTCCATAATAATTTGCCAAAGACTCGGAGATATTATTAGGAAAAGTATTCTGGAAGGTATATTCTTGCAACTGTCTTGTTTGTATTTCTCTGTTAATATTAGGTGTAGCTTCTGCTTTAGTCATGACTCTTGAAATCAATCTAAAAAATGGGAATATGATCAAGAGGTAGTAAATATTTTTTTCAAAATCCTTTATTATTTACAAAGTCGAGGAGCATCTTTCCTGGTATTTGTCAAAAGAAAAAGAAAAGGTATTCTCAATTTACATATGTTTCTCTCTGAATTTGAAGTAATCTAGATTTCCCTGTTATGCAACAAAATATTACACCATAACATTCACAACTCAGCAAATTTTAATTCGAAAAAATTACTCAATTTTGCATGAAATTCTACATACCTAATGGGAAGACTTTGAAGTGAAATCGAAAAGGCTAAAGAATTAAATCCGGAATTGGGAGAAAGTTAATTAAAATCTACGTGCTTTAATCAGAAAATGCTCCAAAAAAAAAAAAGGGTATCTTAATTCGTAATTATCAATAATTTTATTACGTAATATTCAATTTTTCTCAAAATGAGAGTTTCTCTTGACTATTTTCTCAGTTTATTGATTTTTCTTAGTATCACTGCAACAGTAGTTAGTGTAATTCATCAAAGAATACCAAATTGAGCTTGCTCAGTTAAGTGCAAATATTTCAATTAGGTTCACTTGGCATCAAGAAACAGCTTGAACAAGTCTGCCAAGAATTGAATCAGTCGGAAGCCAAACACTGCAGCACCAATAACCCTTCCAGCCTTCACACTGATTAATGAGAAAATATTCATAAACCGAAAATTTGGACCACTAATGACTAAATATTTAGCACTGTAGGGACCACAAACAGAAGGTGAGCTGGGAGGATTAATTGGTAATGGCATTCATTCACTGTTAGGTAATGATAGGCTTGTTCACCTTGAGCAATATTGTTGACAAAACAGAGAAAGTGAATCCACTTGATCCATGTGAGATTCATAGTGCTCACTCTCAACTGGTTATTGCCATGTATCGCCATGCTTCTCAAGTATGCTTTGATGGTATGTGAGGATATTTAGTGTTTACCCCCCTTTTCACTCCTTCCCCTCCCCTCTCCTCCTGCTTGTTCCAAATCGGGGTATTTAGTGTTTTTTTATTTATTTTGTTTCTTAAATTTTTTTCATTGATCCCTCCTCCTATCCTCCTCCTGCAATAATTTTTAAGAAGTTCAAGGATGTGTTTACACTTTATAGTAAGACTGATTAGTGTCATAAACAAATTGATCAATAAATATAAATAAAATAAATTCACTGACATTGATTTATTACTCAGTTTGAATAAAAAATTGATGTCTCTCTCTATTTCTCAACAGAACATTAATGCTATCTCTACAAATGGAGGAACTATGATAATTCTTGTTTGTCTCATCTGCTGAAATTTCATTGAAAACAAACAAACATAGTTGCTGAATTTCCTTTTTATACTTTTGAAGTATCCTCTAGTTCTGAGGCTTGCCTTAAAAGCAAAACGTTGGTCAGATTCTATTGACTGAACTGATTTCATAGAATCAAATAATTAAAACTTGTGTTTCCTGTATCTTTGAATACAAAAAAAGGAAAAATGAGTATTTTCAGGTGTTTTATTAAGTCCATATTCTTCATTGCCGTTTAAAAAGTGGAAAATTCTCTCCAAAATAAGCCATTTTGAATCTCTTTCTCCTTCATCCATCTATTGTCTTCTTTAAAATGTCATTCCTTCTGCTTCCACTTCACTCTCCTCCTTCTTTAATTTATCTCTCTGTAATAACTAAGCCTTGTGCTGTCTGTAATCACTCTCCTTCGTAACTTTTTCTTTCTTTTCGGTCAAACTCAAAAAGTTGCTTCTCTTGGTTTGATCCGTAATACAAGAACCAGAGGAGATCTACGGGTATTTTCCGATATTTCTAGATAAGGAGGCATGGATTCTTTACTCTTCCGATCCTGCCCACTATCACTAAGTATAAGGTGCCACTTTTATGCAAGGCAAATATTTGAGTAGTTATCGTTAAAAACGAGGGAGAGAGGGGCTTTTGTTCAATGTACCCGCGTCAAATCTGAGTTATGAATTATATTTAGAACTTCGGAGAAAATTGGATCAACTGGAAGTGGATAGTTATCTCAAAAGTCCATTATCAAATTTTAGGATCAACATTTTCCGAAAGTAAAAGTTGAGGTGTGGTAGGTATATGCTTTTGGTATTAATCAACGCACTTTCCTCTGCCGCTGGTACTTTGACTCAAACATTTGATCTTATACCTTTGAGAAAAGTACTCACTTACATTGGGTGCCCAATTGGTTCTCAGGAAGCTTTTTAAAAGGTTTTTTTTTTTTTTTTTTAGGAAGTGCAATGACTATAGGACCGTTACCGATAACAATTTTAAATTTTGAAGGTGACAAGAATGGCTTTTGCCATCCATAATTAGTTCGGGGCCGTTCATAAATCATGCAATGCTCAAAGAGGTGACGGGAGGTGAAGAGCATGTCACATTATTTTATTTTTATGTGTTAAAGAATATGGACCAATTTCACAGAAGCGTTACAAGCGGGGAGGGGGGGGGGCAAAAATGCTAAAAATTTGCATTCTTTAATTTATGAACGGCCCTTTTACTATCTGTAAAACTGAAAAGTTCAACATAGGAAGCAACAACGCGCAGGCTGGGAGCTTAGGCAGATTTGATAAAGTTTGCCAATTCAATTTATATTGGAAAAATGCCTGTATTCGACTCAAGATCCAATATAAATAATTCTCAACCCTGTTCTCCTCCACCTTTTTTCATACCTCCAGTGTAATACACTCAGATTCAAACCTGTGTATCTCAACCATCTTCAATTGTCATTTCTGTCACTCATGGTTAATTGAAATCTTTCAGGTCACCAAAAGTTCTTCTGCACCAGCCAATGCTACCACTCAGCGATCGTCAAACAATGAAGAGCCCTATGAGAAGAAACAGCGGGAAAATCTATCATCAGTTGATAGCGACATTCGTGAGTTCAGTCTGAACACGGATGAAATGCTGAAGAGAATGAACGAAATGCTAGTCACAATCCAGGGTCTGAATGATGAGCAAGATCCTGGAAAACGATTAGAGGTAGGACCTTTGTCAAATATTTTTTGTAGTTGAAATACATGGTGTATAGTTATATAATCAATTTATCTTTTACAATGGCAGAAAATGTTTGCGGTTCAATTATTTAGATATTACAAGGAACATATTGCCCATGTATCCAATTGTACTGTGAGTACTGAAGTTTTGCTTCGTTTTGCAGAAATGAGAAATATACTATTCCTCAATGAATGTTTGCAGTAATAATTACTTTTAAACTCTATATGATACTTCTGTTTATTGAAAATTCCATGAATGTTACAGGTGCTGGAGAGAGAAGTAAGCAGTATAGCCCCGGATGCTGCCTCTCTAATCAGTCGAGGAGATGGCCTCGTTTTAGCGGTACACTCGAAAAATCCTGCTCTTGGGTTGCATCTAACCAACACGTCTCTGGATTCATTAAGAGCAAAGTGGAGCCAATTAATGTCAGAAGTTGAGGTAAGGGTAATACAAATACTGTAGCATCTTAGAAAATTATGTGGCTTCTTCAAAAGTAATATGAAAAAGCGTATAGATCGAAAAATAAAAGTGCGCCATCCAGACAAAGCGTTCATGTTTTAAATACTTTCCAATCTTGTCCTTCACTATGAGTAAATATCAATCCTTTTTCTGTTTCAACTTTTCCTCTAAAGCTTAAAGAAAGATTTAGACAGAAGGTTGGTAATGTAGCCAACGGCCGTTACATTTCAGTAAAGTGAATCCTCAATGGCTACATCACCAACGCTCTGTCTAAACGAATTGTGCGCTTCCGCAGTCAATTTGTAAAGATTTAGAGTGAAAAAAATTCATCCAAAGATGTCCTTTAGCAATGAGCCATATCGAAAAAATGTACACTTAAAGCTGAACCAAGAATGATAAGTGCATTTTGCTCTGGACACTCTCAGTTCAAGGTTCCATTTGTTCCAGTCTTCTACAGAACAAAGAAAATTCAGGTATTGATCTTCATCTTTAAATCTTGAACCCCAAAGGAACAAGTCAAATTCAAAGCAGCTAGAACAAGCTGAAAGAATGAATTGAAAGAAGAAGATATTTCAGGGTTTTTGTGAGGAAGGATTAGTATCTCAACCCACTCCTGCAACTAATATGTGGTTGAATTCGATTGGATTGCATATCTAGGTATTTGGTTTGCTGGATTTACTTTATCCTGGTAACAGTATGACCGTGACCAAAAAAACATAAAACTGGTACAAAAATGTTGGTTCATTTTTGTAGGGTTCAGAGGAAGCGGACACTTTATGATGTTTCACTTGATGCATTTTTGGAGTGCCCTTGTTTGATTTGTAATAAAAAAAGGCAGATTAATCTGTAACTTGCATGATAGTAGCCCAAGTAATTGTCAAGTTTTATTTTTTTCCCATGCTCCATTGCTTTGTTTCTTCTTGCAGTTACGAAAACTTCAAGCCCAACAAGCAGAAAAAATGATCAAAGAAAAGAGTGAGTTGCTTTTAGTGATCAAAGAATGGCTGAAGAAAATGAACCAGGAGTTGGAATTAGCAAATAATGATGAAAACAAACTAAAAGTAAGGCCTAAATGATTTACTTTACCTTCTGTAGATGCAGATAAGTGATGGTTGTTATAGTTAGGAACAGCCATGAAGAAAAGAGCAAAAAAAACTCGAACGGAAGTTTTTAGTATGAATGCTTAGAGGAATCTTTCATGGAAATGTGGACCTAAAAAACGTCAAATCAAACTGGAGTTATAATAGCTGGAACTTTGCAGCTCAAAAACTGTAGTTGAAAAAAAAAATACTGTTTTAATTTATAATTTTCTGTGTTCACGTTTAAAACTGTCACATTATAATACAACTTCATGCCTTCTAAATGAACAAAAATGAACTGAACAGCTCCCAACTTAATCCTTGAATGAGAGATATTGAAGAGGGGTCTGTGTCAAAAACTTAAATCCTAAATTTTTGACCCATCTTCATTTATTTATTTACACCATCTACTGAAAAATTCCCATTAGTGTACAAAAACTGTAGAAAAACAATTAAGATTAAAAGTTAAACAAATCAAATTGTTCTTAATAGTGACCTGACGTAAAGGGAAAAAATTACAGACGTATCCTGTAAATTGTCTCAGAAAAAAAGAAGTGGATAGAAATCTTCATTTTTGCTCACATTGCCTATAAGTTGGCAGAAATACTGTTCATTTTTCACAAATTTTTTCTCAACCATGGCACTGTTTTTCAACTTTTAATATTTTGTATTATTGTGGTTTTGTCATCATCAGTTTTGTTCCTCCAAAATATGTTTATAACAATTCTATCCACGGCGTTGGGCAAGTGATTAAATCATTAATCATCTCTTCTTTTTCTGTTAATAACCTCAGCTGCTTTGCAAGGACTTCGAGTCTAAAGAGAAGGAAGTTGATCGGTTGAAAGAAATAAACTCAGAACTGCAAATTCAACAAATCAATGATAAACTCATGATCAGTGACACCATTAAAAGCTGGGACTCCTTCCAACAAAAACTCCAGTCTTTACATAAAAATACAACAATCAAAAACTTGAAGCAAATGGTAAGTTTAAAAACACGTCGGACTGTATTGAGATCATTTTTTTGTCAGTATGTAAGTATTACACTTCAATCAAACCTTTTATATAAAGTAATCTCATCAATTTAATAATACTTAATTGGAAATACTGGTACATTAAGACATCGCAAGATTCATTAAAGTCTATGGACAAAACTTAAGATTTAACAATGTATGATTTGAATGAATTAGAAACTATCATAGTTACAGTGCCTTTCAAAAGTTCCATCATTTTCATTTGAAACTTAGAGACAAAGAAAAGAGTTTTTTTTCCTCACCAAAAAAATTCTAAATTTGTGTATGAGATAAGTACTTGATGTTAGTAGGTATCTCCTTCTTAAACCAAGTGATCTTATAACCCTCTTGGTCCTAAAGCTTAGTACTTCTTTTTCTAATATGGTTACATGTAAAATTTCTTTTTCTCCCTTTCTAGGAAAAAACTAATGAAAAAGCAGAAGTGATATCAAAAATAAACAGGACGAGGGAAGAAATTTCTCAAATTTCTCGACGATTGAACTCTCATTCTTTTCGCTGTTATGACAATCATGCTGCACCGCAACAGGAAGCTGCGTTTAAGGTCTATAATTGTTTTCTAACTGTTTAATTGCTTCTGATCTATCCTGATTCTTTTACTTCCGTAATTTTACAGAAAACATCATTGACTGTCTAAGTTTTATTTCTTACCTTAAAAAATTTTATTACACATTCTTCATATAGAAACGCTCCTTCAGATTTGCATTTTGTACTCTATGATATCGATTATGATTGAGCATTTCAGGCGCAAACATTTAATCTTAAAAAATGTTCCCGCCATTTAATGTAAATGAATAAAGAGATATTGGAAAAAAAAATAAAATTAAAGAAAAATTAGAATAAAATATATTCTGAAAAATGTCTGGGAATCTCACTTATGAATGAGGAATCTATGCCTCTTTCTTGATTTTCTCCCTGCTCCAAAATTTCACAACTTGCAGAAAATTATAACAAAAAGATTCAAGAACTTGATCCCATAGATTCGTACTAAACTAGAGTAGGACTGATTTTTTTTAAAACAGAAGAAAAATCAAGCAAAAGAAAGAAATTAACATCTCAAAGAAAAATAGGTAACTTTTTGTCAATGTCAAAATCAATGGCAGAAAGTAGCCCTTTGTTCATTTATTTGGTTAAATTTTTTCTTGAAAAGCTTTCAATTTTCATCACTGTGATTCAGGGAAAGCTGTGCAAATCAGGAAACACACCCCAGTTCCCCAAGAGCTGCAAGTAGTCACCGAACATGCATGAGTGCTAAATAATACAAACTGTGCTTTTTTTAAGTTTTCCTTTTTTCATTGTGTTTTTTGGAAATTATTTCAGGCAATAAAAGAAGAAATCTCTAAGTGTAAACCTCAAGTCGAAGAGCTAGATCAAGATCATAAGAAACTAGATGGTTGTGGAGAGCAAGCAAAAAGAGTTGCGGCAAAACTTAAAGATGAATGGAGCCACTTGAATAAGAATTTCAGTGATAAATACAGGTAGTTTCAATCAGTCTAAAAGTTGAATTGTCTGCTCAAGTAATATTGTTCTCTCTTTCTCCCTCTTTCTCTCTTTTTGAACTTATAAGCATCAAAGCAGTAAAGAAGAGAAGAAATAATTTTCAGAAAGAAATTAGAGAAGTAAAAGAATAAAATGTTTACAAAATATTTCTATTTTTCAATTAATTTCTTCAAAATAATGTCTCCTTTTCTCTCTTCTTGTTTCAAACCTCCCAGGAACTTAAGAGGCAGTAAGTATTTGTCAGATTTGTTATCTCAACTTGTCCGAGGTCTGTTCCTTTTTTTCGACTAAAAAGTCCAAAAATGTATTTTCTCCTCAAAAGTCTAGAGAAACCTTGTCGATTATGCGATTTTTTCACATGCAACAAGCTCAGAGCTCCCACTAAGGGTGTTGACCACCGAACTTTTGAAAGTCTGATATTTTTCCTATTTTTTGTGTTTTAAAAACGTATGATGCGTCAAAACCAGGCAACCGGTTTGGTATGGACACGTGCGGAAAATGGCAGATAGTAGGTTGCCCAGAAAGGTATTTGATTGGGTTCCTCCCGGAAGAAGGCAGCATGGACGTCCAGTAAAAGGTTGGCGGGAGGGAGTGGAGGGGGAGATCAGACGGTGTAATCTGCTCGATGAATTGTGGGAGGATCGATTCTCATGGCGATTTGAAGTCGCAGAGCGCTCTAGTGTGCTGAGGTAGCGGCTTGATATGTATGATGGCTTGAACAGTTCCGTGTGGAAATGTGATGGAAATTCTTTCCAATTTCTTCATCCAGTAAAAGTCAATTTATTCTAATTCAATTTCTTTTTTAAATGTATGTTAGGCAATGGCAGTCTGCACACATGGCTTGGGAAGACCTTCAACGAGATTGCAAAGTGATTGAAGACTGGCTCAGCGGTGCTGAAACGCAAGTGAAAAGTTGGTCATCTCCAACTACTAATATACTTCTTGACATGGGAGTAAGAGTCACTGATCTCGAAAAGCAGCTGATTGGCAAAAGAAGGTTAGACGTTTTTCGATTTGTCTCGTTAATTACAAAATATGAAAACCGAAAAGTACTGGTAGTTCAGTCCTTACTTGACCTTTTTCTTAACCACCGTACAGATTGGAATAAATACTTTAAGTTTCATACTTTCTCTATGATTGGGTAAAAATTTCAATCATTACTGAAAGGATTTTTGATGAATTAGTTGAGGTCCAGAACAGCAAGCGGTATGCAATTTGTATAAAATAGAATCAGTAAGTGGTATGTTTTATTTGACCAACAAGAAATAATTCTAATGTCTGGATGATGAGTTCATTTAAGAAATTTTCCATCTCCTGAAACGTTTGTCACACAAATCTAATGTTAGGACAAGTAACTCATAGAGAAAAAAAAGGAGGTGTTTGCATTTCGGGCATCTTGGAATTTTTTGATGACTTAATGATGTAGGTGGGTACAGCGACGTTTAGCGTGAAGGGGACGTTGCTGTACCCACCTACGTCATCAAGTCATCAAAAAATTCCAAGATACCCGAAATGCAAACACCTCCTTTTTTTTTTCTCTATGCAAGTACTAAATGCTCAAGTCCCGACCCGTATGTCTAATGCATTAACTTTTTTCCATCACGCTGTGATAGACAAGAGATGGATTTTTGTCCTTCAATTTGAAATCTCTGGAGACTAGACATTGACAACATCTTTACCAGATAGAAAAGTGGAATAATGAAAAATACCTGCTGAAAGATGAATGTATAAGTGTGAGCTAAAGCTCACATGAAGAGACGTATGCAATTTCTTTCTGTAGGTTTCAAAAACAATACTGGCACCATTTAGAACTTGATAGTAAGGAGATTTTATTTTTTTCATAAGTACAAACGGTATGTGATCCATAATATCATAATTTAATTACTTTCTTTCTTCTCAGTAGAGAAGTTACATGCTAAATTATTTTTCTAATACTTTAACTCCTCTAATACTTCTTTTCTTTACTTTTTATTATTATTTTTTTCATAATGTAACACAATTTGGCATTGAATTTTTTTTCCAGAGTAATTAGTACATTGAATGAATTACTCAGTAGTGCGGGAGTCATTGATGCAAAAAATCGTCTCAGCGGTCTGCAGGAGAGATGGCAGCAACTTTATGAAATTGTTTTAAAATACAAATCCAAGTAAGTTCCTTTTTTTCTCTCTTTATCACACCATTTGCCTCTCAAGATTAACATTGTATCAATGAATGTTTCATCCCATGAGGATATATCTGTATCTCTAACTTTTGATATTTAGAGCAATCTTGTGGAATATGGAGCTCGATGATGAATGTTAAAAATGAGGTCTCATTTGACAGTTTTTATTTCTGCTGTTAAAAGCCTTGTCCAAAATTCAGAACAAAAAAGTAAATATGAGTGAATGGGAAAAAGAAGAGAATGGGCAATTAAAATTTTTTTTTTTTTAAAAATGCTACATAGGTATGACGAGAAGCTGTCTTGGTCTGAAAGTTATAATCAGGGAGAATCAGGAGAATTAAGGAGACAGAAAATTCAAAAGTCAGGGAAAACCTGAAAAGTCAGGGAGAAGTAAAAGAGAATATTCCCAGAAACCGTGTAAGAGTGTCATCAGAATTAGAGGTCTTTCAGTCAGGTGGCAGTTTTAAAATATCGCACGCCTGAAGAATAATTGAAGAATAAAAGGAGACAGGAAGGCAATCAGATACGGTGATTACATTGTCTTTTTTGTGTCTCTGTGTCCCCTTGCCTCCTCCATCCGAGACAGACTCACACGGTTTGTTTATGTTTATATTTGAGACCTGATGATTGTCATATTTTAGTCAAGCAGACTATTTTTAGATACTATCACCTCATTGCTTACCTCTCCCAGTCTTGCTTGTTGTTTAGTCCATGTCAGACATGTGACTCTCTTTCCTGCTTTATCTGCTCCGATCTGAACCCTCTGCATGGATCCCTTGATCTTCTCTGGCCTTTTCTTGCGCATTTTAACATCCTCTCAGCCGACTGTTTATCTCTTTGAAAAGTGTGAGGTAATGGTGAAGAATGAAAACCACTCCCCGAGTAGGAGACTACAGTTTTTAAACTTATGTATTTATTCTACATTTTTCTATTTCCAATTTTTTTGTTTGTTTGTTTGTTTTTTTTTTTTTTTGGCTGAGCAATTTTTTTTCAATATCACTCTTTTTTTTTGTGTGTGTGTGTGCACACTAAATAATTTGTGGCAATCCAAAAAATTATGTAAACCTGGCAAATTTTGTGTTAGTAATTTTAAGTACCTTTTCTTCCTCCTCCCATCAATTTATTTTTCTTTTTGGGTTTATTCTATTTTGTTACTTATTTTGTTTGTCTGGGACTCATAGATCCTATTTGTTTTTAATTTGATTTTATTCCAAAACTTTTTTGCTCCAATTCAATCTCTCATATTTTTATAGTGCAAGAAGACAGCATTGATTTCTCAAGCTCTTTTGAGGGGGAGTGGGTAGGAGGAGGAAGAGGTTAGGTGGGATATCAGATCCTGTGTTGGGTCTCGCAATCATTCAAACACAATTAGCCCTCCCTCTCGCGTCCTCCCTAAAAAGAAACACATTTCTACCGAAAAAAAAAAAAAAATTATGCCCAAGTTATTACTGATTTTGTGCTCTCTGTGTCCACTGAAAAGTCTTTAGATAATGAGACTTCCATTTAGATCTCTATCTAAAAAAAGATGTATTATTAGGGTGAAAATTACTTTTAAAAGATATGGGCTCCCTTTTTAACATTTTTTGGGGGTTTTCTCTTTTTGCCTTGTTCCGTTTTCTTTTTCATTTCTGTCACATTTTTATTCTCTATATTCATTTATTTTTTTTTTTCATCAGGTTGTCTGTAATGGAAAGTAGTCAACAGTGCTTAGACCATGTAAACGCTCTTCTAGACACTAATGCCAATCCATCAGATGACACCTCTCTCTCTGTACGGCTGAGCATGGTCAAGGTAAGCCATCAAAAATCATCACGGTAGTAAGTCTCTGCATGTAACGGTTTTGCTCAGTTTTTAATTCACATTTGAAGCTCTAAAATCTCTTTTTCCTGTAACTAAATTCAAGCCAAAAATTTGCCGTACTCGATCAGCTAAATGATCTAATGATAAAGATCAATTCCAGATCTTAACTGCAGTTTATAGTCCCTTTTCATAGTGTATAACACGTGCATGATTATGAACTGCAATGTGGCTCAGAGGATTACTTTTTGAAGGGAGGTAAAACAAAGGAGATTACCTAACATTGTAAAGAGGATGCACATCAACTGTGATCCTAATTTTTATTTTTCGGAAAACAGTGTGATTTTGTATTATTTTATGACTATTTTTACCTTTGAACCTACAAACTAACCCCCTTTTCTTCCCACAGACATATAGTGAAAAATTATCAGCCTTATCACTGCAATCAAACCTAATTGTAGGTTTTTTAGGTAGTTAATAATCAACTATTTCCGTTTCTCCATCTACTGCTCCTGAAAGAGTTTGTATAATGCAAAGGTAAATGACTTTGTGGGTTATTGATAAGAGGGCCCTAACACATGAGACATTCCTTAACTCGCACGATCTGAAATGGGTCTATTTTCTCACTCTGAGATTCTGGATCTGGCAAGGAGCCAAGTGGGTTGTGTGTTTATATTTGATCTTGCATTTTGGTTTAATATTTTTTACGTGACATTGTCTGTGTGCACTGAAGTAATTTACATATCTGATCTCTTAATAGGGGTTCCCTTCTATTTTCATACAGGGTATTCAAGAAAATACTTCCCTTCCCCCCTCTCCCTCTTTGGTGTCAGAGGAACGGATGAAATAACAGGATTATAATGAAATAGGTTTCCAACCTTTTCAAAGGAGATATTTTTTAGGAGTTCTCATTTTTTGGTCACGGAAAATGTCGAAAATAAATTTTTACTATTCATAGGGTAAAGTTGAATTTGGTGCTAAAAAGCATCTGAAATGTGTAAACATTGAAATTATGAATTCGGTTCCAGTGTTTGGCTGTATATTGAGTGCAATTAAAAAGACAGAAGTTTTACAAGATATTCATGAAGTTAAAAATATTTGAATCAATTTCTGTGCGCTAAGAGGGAACCAAGAAATAAATTGAATATGCCTTTAGATTTGAATTTTGAAATTAATGCAATTACGAATACCCATCGTAGCACTCAGTGAATAGGAAAGGAGACACAAGAAATCCAGTTTCGGGAAATATCTTCCAAAATACTTTCCCCTTATTCGTGTTGAATGCATATGAAATAAGATACAATAATATTTAGCCATAAAAATTTAGGGACTTTCCGTTAAATTAATCTGGAGCTACCTGAAAAAGTTGGGAAATTTTCCTCTTTTTGTAGACACTTTGATTTTCTATTAAAATTTTTGTCATACAGAAATTATTTTCTGCTGTTTTGTCATTTTTTTTTTTTTTTTTGGACTAACTCAAGAGGTTATTGTCAAATTCATCCTTGTGTCCTTTTTTGCATGCAAAATTTTGACAAGGAAATTCTTTTATCTATAAACTAATCCATCCTTGTTCATTTTACTCTCATCGCATCGTTTTCTCTCGCAAGCACTCTGTTGTCTGCATCACTGTCGGGCCCATGCCAGGAGTAGACTGAGCAGAGTAAATGATGACAGATGTGCATGTGCAAAGCTACATTACTCAAGCCACAGGCTCTGTTGCTGCTCATGAGGCATGACTTAATAAATTGGCCAAATGTGCAGCTATTTTCATCGCTTTCTTATTGAGATCCACTCCACCTTCATAACCTCTTTCTCACAATTTCGTTTAGTTTCTCTCCTTTTCGTGAAGTCCCCTTTACCTCCCAATTCTCATTTTGTTAACCTCCTTTCCTCTACCATATTTTCCTTTTTAATTTTGTGCATTATTTTCTTTTTTAGCTTTTTCCTCCTCTTCTTTTTCTCCCTTTTCATTGATGCACCTATCATTTGGACCGCGCTTTACAGAAAGGAACCAAGCCACATCAGCTATTGCCAATTTTAACTTGGCAATTTAATTTTTTACGCGAAAACGTTTGTGCGGATCCCTTTGGAAATGTTAAGGAAATTGCTTTGTACTATGGAGAAAATTCACTGAAATTTGCACGAAAATCCGCACAACTGTTTTCATGTAAAAAATTAAATTAGCCAATTAAATTCGGCAATAGCTGATGTGGCTTCGTTTCTTTTTGTCTAGCGCGGTCCATTTTATGGAGGCAGTTAAGAAGAAGATGGTGCTAATATCAGCCAGCTGCCGTCCCCCCCCCACCCCTTTATTAAATTTTATTTTTCTAAAATCCCTACAAGTCATGCTCCATTTGAAACTTGCAAGTTTTAAAGTAAATCTTTTGTTAAGTAGGAGGTCCCAAAGGAGGTGAAAAGTAAAGGTTTCAAAGATCAATTTACCGTAAAAACTGAAGGCTTCAACAACTGGAATTAGAGCCTCACAAATTTCGAAGTTTTCAAAAATTTAACAGACTGTTATTCTGAAATGAAGCTTGACTTTCGAATTAATGGTCAAGAATTTAATTTTTTATGTTTGCTTTAAAAATGTACCTCACAATTTCAAAAACTGTTTAAAAGTTTTAAGTTTCTCCCTCTCTTGGATCCCTCCGAGAAACTTGACAGTAAAGCATTTTCTAAATTATCAGCTCCTCAACTTTTAATAAACGGCAGTCGAAATCAGAGCCTTTCTATTACTTCCTTATAATGTTTTGCACTTTTTCATTCATTTTTTTTTGCTCCTCCTATTTACTCCCCCTTTTTTATGTGTCGTTTTTGTATGTTTTTAAATCCATTTTACTGCTCCTAATTGCCTCTTAATTGGACCGCATTTAACAGAAAGGAATCAAGCCACATCGGCTGTTGCCACATTTAACAGAGGTATTTCATTTTCTACAAAAGAACGTTTGTGCGAATTTTTTTGAAAATTTTAGGGGAACATGCAGAAAATTCACTGAAATTTTCAAACAAATCCGCTTCACCGTTTTTATATGATAAATTACATTGCACAGTTAAATTTGGCAATGGCTGATGTGGCTTGGTTCCTTTCTGCTTAACGCGGTCCAATTATTTTTCCTCTGACCCATAATTTTCCTATTTTTTTCTTGCCGTAATTTTAATCTGTATCGTTTTCCTACCCAAATTTACTTTCAGTCTCTCCTTCCTTTCTGCGACTCCCCTATTAAATGACTTTTATTTCTTAGTTTTTCTGCATTTTTTAACAAAAAATTGGATCATATTAAATATAATTCATAAGTACTCATCGTCGAAGTCTTGTGTTTTGATAATTTAATTTCTTTTCTAGGCTCGAGAAGAAGAAGTAGCGCTTAAAAAGGAAGAGCTAGAATTAGTCAAAGCTAAAGAAACAGGAGAACAAGCTCTTAACATCGATTCAACTTTGACTGTCTTAACTAAGGTAATGAAATATGCTTTATTTTATCCCACTAAAATTTTCACTAAAAGAAGTGCAAAGCTCGCATTACAAAGAAGGCGCATTGTATAAGCATTCAGATATTGTCTGCTGCTTTTGACTTAAATTTTTCTTTATGATAAACCAAAATATGAAATTAATGTTTGCTTTGCATATGAAAGCTATGAATATCTTCCTCAGAGATTTCCAGGTAAATTAGTTTAAACTACAAGTTAAATTTCCCGTTAACTTTGTAAGACAAATACTAAGAGTATTTAAAAAAAAGAAAACAAAATTATGTTATCAAAGAAAATTTGGCAATTTGAAACCGTTCATTCTTGCAGCATTTTTCTGCACATGGTTGAAATAGCAAGAAGGCATTTAAGGAGTAGGGTGGTGGTAAATCTTGAGCCTCAATTTTGAAGTGTCCTGCAGGTTTGAAGGAAAGTTCCCACTTAGGAAATGGAATATTTTAAAGACTGCTAAAGTAAAGTTGTGAAAATTTGCTTTCTTGTGAGAAATGTTAAAAACTTTCCTAGATATTACGATTATCATGCAAAGATCAACTTTTTCTGTAATTTGCTTGAACATTTGAAGTAATTGGGTAGCCAATTATTGCCCTAAAATATTGAATCATTAGGTGATAATCAAGGAGCTCTCCGGAAAAAGGGCACATAGGAAAAACTTGCGTTTGAGAGAAATGCATTTGAAGTTTTGATCATTACTCTATGGCCATTGACAGTGATTTTCGTTTGAAAGCGGGAGTCCAAGCTGCGATGAAAGGTATCATCAGTGGCCAGAAATTAATGATGGAAGCTTAAAATGCATTTTTCTCAAACGCTATTTTTTGCTTTGTGCCCTTTTTCCGGAAAGCTCCTCAATTGTGAAATGATCAGTCTAGTAAGATGTAGGACGTTTTAAAAATAGTTTATAATTCATCATTGTGCCTTGAGAGGTTCATTTTTTTAAAAGGCTTATTTTGGTGAAATTATATCCTTTCATTTTAATGTTCCGGCTCCTCCTTGCTATTTGCTATTGATGTATCCTGGATCTTGTTCCGTTTGTATTTTTGCCATTGCTCTGATTTCGGGCTGTAACAATATATTTTATTTCTAGGCTGGTGCTAAATTAGCAGAACACAGAGAGTACATTCTTTGCAAATTGTCGTCATTGAAGAAGCTAATTTCAAGAATTGACAATGTATCATCATGGGTTGCCAGCATAAAAGCTCGCGTCTCTCTCAGTCATAGTTTACATGACGCAGAAAAGAAGAAAATGCAAGAGAGCATATCTGTAAGTTGAAAGAAGATTTTTTTATCTTCCCTATCATAAGCAAATACTTAATTCTTCGTATTTTTCTCTTATGAGCTTCTACATGGAAGTACATATTCACACTGATAGTAATGTCCTTCTTTTCACTGGTGTCACAAGAAATCTTTTCAACTTTGGGGTTTCTCTGGATGTCAGTCACTTTCAGGTGAATTTCAAGTGCACTGTTTGTACATTAATTTACCTCTCGGACTTTAAGGAAAAACATTTTCTGCGATGAGAGGCCTCAAAAATTTGTCAAGAGGTTGATTAAAAGCTTTGAATTTTGTTTTGTACAAACATGAAATCTATTATTGAAAGGCATTAAAACAGTTAGCATAGAGTCTAAATGTTTTTTCCAAAATTTCTCTTAAAGATGGAACGTATCTCAAACATTTTATTGTTGAATATTTATTTAAATTTTTCAGGCCTGTGTCAAAGACTGTGAAACGGAAGTCAAAGAAGTTTTAGAAAACGTTATTAACTTAGAAAAAGAATGTCAAGGTGCTAAACAACCGATCTCATCTCAGTTAAAGGTAATTGCTCATTTTTTTCAGCTTTTCTAATATCAGTGGCTTATTAGCAAAAAATTGACCTAACTGCTTGAAAAATGAAAAGAAAGATGTTGGTACCAAAAAAAAAAAAAATAAATAAAAACAAGGTTGAGCTCATTTTAGTTCTCCAGCGGTTACGTTGTTTCTTTCCAAACCTCTATCTTTCGGAACCTCATTTTTGGTAGATCTTCTGTGTTGAATGATATCTAGTATGAACCTATTTTGATAGATATTCATGTTTCTTACCTTATGGTACGTAATTGATCAAAACGCTCGGATATGTACATTGTGTGGGCATATGACTCCTCATTAGGTCTTATTTCTTGCGGAGAAAGTTGTTTCTGTATTGCATGATTTATTCGTCTCCAGTAAGACGAAATCCTTCTCTAAAAAAACCCAACATTTAGGCAGCTTCATTACTATCACTATATCCTCATATGGCCTGAAATATCTCAATTGATCAACTTTTTTTCCCCAGGAAAAAGTCAAGAAACTACGTGAAGACTGGATGTTTGTCAAGAGTGGTGGAGATCCAAAATTCTCATCGCCTGAGCCAATTTACTCTTCTACCAGCAAAGGTAAGATTTCATTTTTAGTTTTTTGGATTGGTGGATGGGTATATTCGTCCTTATAGTCTGCAATTGGAGCTGTTGTAAATGGAGGAGATCAGTCATCATTTTATGGTTTTGTTTAAAAATTGAAAGAGTCGTAAGGCTCATAAAAAGTAAAAACCAATTGCACCAAGTCGGAAAATTGGGTCAATTTTTATTTGACTTTTTCTACAAAGCTGATTTTGAACAACTTTAGTTCAAGATTAGCAATAGCTTATTTTTCTAAAAAAATCTCACTTATCTCTTCCGTTCAATGAAACCCTCAAATGAACCAATTATTTTCCAGATGACTCCAGGGCCAAAACTAAATAAAATTGAGTTTAAATGGATTATTATTGCCTAGATCAAGATGCATCTTACAGAGGAATGATGTTTAATAATTAAAAAACTCTTTGGTCCTCTAAAAGTTGCTGAATTCTTGGTTTTTACCGGCTGATAACTGTTGATTAATGCAGTTTTTCTCAAAATTGTGCCTTCGACGCTTATGTAATTTATTAAATAATCGGTTCAATTGCCAATGTAGCTTCCTGAATAACATTTGTAAATACTGCATGATAGTAGCGTAAGAAGTTTTCTAATTTTATAGGAATTGCCCTCGGACAGTCAAAAATTCCACCATACAAACGGCCTTGAAACAGTATTAAACCCCCCCCCCCTCCCCCATTTTTTGCATCATTACTTATTTTACAGGAAAAGTCGTAGAGTTATAGAGGCACTCGAAAGTTCTTGCATAGTGATACTCGGACTCCAATGTTGGAAAATTTCAAGTTTACTTTCGCGTCTTTTCATCTTCATAGCAGAAATACAAAATACGGCACATGATTTTGAGGTAGGGGATTTAGTTTTCTCTCTTTTCTCTATTTGAGGCGTGTTTGTAGGTTTTTCCCCCCCACATCAAATTTTTGTCACCATCTGTATTTCGACATTTCTTCACGATAGGATACTCACAAAAATTGAACTGCATTCCTTTTTCATCTTCATCTTAGAAAATTATTCTTGCTCATGTGTGAAGTAAGCAGGCTTTTAACTTCCCCTATTCTTCTATTTGTCGACTCATTCTGGCACAAAGAGTGTCCTGTGTGCACAACAAAGTGTGGCAGGGATTTTAGAAATACAATTTTATGTAGGTAACCCAAGTTCTCATTGTAAATTGTGAGTTTTGTCTCTTGTATGTACTCAAAAATCTGGGAATGTCCTTGAAAGTTTTTGTATTTCTCGTTGAAGGCCCATGAAATACTTGCTAAGTTCCCCTGAAAGTTTTTAAAGTTGTCTTTGACTGCTTCTTTTTTTCTGATCCCAAGGAAAAGAGTTAGAATATTCAAATTATCTGAACCACATTTTTTAGATGTATAGGAAACATTGGGACTTATCACTTCATCAGGGAACAAAAAATCGCTGAGAAAATCAGAGAATACATAAGGAAAAATAGAACATTTTTCTCCTCTAATTCCGAGACTATTCTGTTTTTTAAAGTTCGCAGTAATTGTTGATTGTACACTCAAAAATGAGGGGAAAAAATGCAAATAAAACTAATCAGCATTTTGTCTTGCACTCCGAATGATTATTTTAAAAGAAATTGAGTTAAATTGGGAAAAAACACCGGCATTTTTATCAGAGAATTGAGAATTTGCTCCCGGCAATCAGCTAATGCTGGTTAGCAAAATTGAATATTGTTAGAACAATGTAAGTAGAAGCCACTCTAAATGCAATTCTTCACTACTCAGATGATTTACACAGTTTGCTCTAGATCTTCTGAAGATTGATGCTTCAGGATTAAATTATTTCACATGAACATTGCCTCGTATCTTATCAAAGCAAGATTATTTTGAAACTCTCCTCCTAGCACTCAAAGCTGGGATTTACTTGGAGAAAAATAGTGGGATGTTGAATTAAAAAGACAATAAAAACAATAAAAATCAATGTCAGTTTTATTGGCCAAGTTAACCTTGGTTTTGTCAACTTCTCTTGTCATCCTACTTCATGAGCAGAGCCTCTTTTTCTTATTTGTCTCAATTGGTTTCAATACAAACTTAACCCTAGTAGAGCTGAACTAAATACACTAATTACAGCGAACGTCACGAAGTTCTTTTTTGAATGAACATAGAGCAGTTACTTAAACAAATATTGTGTCTTACTTATGAGTATTTTTCCCCCTGTATTTCTTCTCGCCAAGCAGAGTGGAGTTTGAGCATAGATATCTTTTTTTAATCAGCACCCTCTTTCCCCCTCTCGTCTTGCACTTTTCAAACTTTTAAAACTTTGCCAACATTTTCCCATTATTTTTTTCGTAAGGTGTAAGTCATTGATACTCGGACATCTTAAAATCAAATTATTGGTATCACCATACATTTTACCTTTTTGGAAGGTGGCTGATTAATATTTTTGCATGAAAGTTCATCGTGTCGCTCTTTTAAGAGGATTCTCTAAAAATTCGTACGAATAGGTCTAGTTAAACCTTCAATAATAAATCTAGACGGGATGAAAATCTCAACGCAACTCAATTGTAGGCGTATTCGTAGTTCCACCGTCGAAGCTGACATTCTTTTACTCCGTGCCCGATCTAACGTTATGACAGACGGATTGGTTTTGTAAGAAAGATCAGTCGTTTTTCCTCCTGGTGCCCATGTTGTAATTTCCACGATTCTTGGAAACCAGTCACACATCGCGATGCGACGTATACTGTGCGACGGGGATCGCGAATCGATGAGGTCGACTCAGCGTTGCATCCAGTGATGAGGCGTGAATGATCTATTATCGATATTTCCCCATTTGAAGCTGTGGTGAAGAATCGATTATCAAGGTGTCCGGCGCGAACACCGTGTTTATCGATCCTTTTCCATAGGTTTAAATGGTAGATCAATGGATATGTCGCAAAGCACGACGCCACTGGATGCATCGACGTCAGATCGGGTCTATTTACCTCTCAGTCTATCAATCAGTTGGTTCACCGCTAGCTTACTTCGTCCTGTTACATAGCTATGATTAATTGGTTAAGAATGCGGTCGTCAGTGGCATGGCGTGCTTTGCGATAGATCGATTGTTCTGCCATTTAAACCTATGGTAAAGAATCGAGTATTAAGGCGTTCGCTGCAAACACCCTGTGTATCGATCATTTTCCATAGGTTTAAATGGCGTAACAATCGATATATCGCACTTCACGCCACGCCACTGGCTCACTCAGTGCTTCCATAAAACATTTTTCCTCACATTGCTGAATAGTTCATCGCAATTGTGATGTAAAGATAAAAAAGTCTCTGAGCTGGACGTATTTATGCTAAAAGGAACTAGAGACGTGTGGGAAAGATGGGGTGTGCTCGTTTGAGCTGCGTAAGAAACAATGTAAAAGTGGGCATGATTCCCTTTGGCAAAATGGAAAAGTGGGATTTGACATTAAATTAAAAGGAACTAAGCGCCAAAATATGCTAACTCATGAGCCATGAACATGCGGATTGCATTTTGCAAAAAGGAACCACTAGCATTGCAATGATGCTAAGATTGTGCAACTTCATCTTTTGCAATAAAATTGCGGAAATCGTGAAAAACTATGAAATTTAGATGGTAATTTTTGTCTTAAATTTACAGTTTTTAGCGAGTAAAACAGAAACTATTAATGGATAAGCGGGGTTTTCCTCCAAGACAAAAGAAGTTGCACAATTTTAGCAATATTGCAGTGCTAGTGGTTCCTTTTTGCAAAACGCAATCCATATGACAAGAGCTTTGTGGACAGGGCTCATGAGTTGAAGCGCACAACTGTCGAGCTCGATGTTGTCGCCGAGCCCGGTCGTCACCGCTGACGTCATTGGCGGAAAGCCTGAGTGTTCTCTAGGCTTTTCCCCCGGGAAACGGGAAAAGTCAGAGCACTATCGAAGAACGAAAAATAGACAAATTCTAGACACCATCTCTCTCGCCCTTTTTTCCGGAAATCTCTTACTGGCTAAAACCGTGGAAGGATATCGCTGTTTGGGGCCGGACGGATTCGACCTCACCATAGAATAGTAAGACTACATCCATAGAAAGGACACTCTCTGTATTTTGCGCATTTTGTGTCCAGATTAGGTCAGGTACTCTAGCCCTACGCCGTTTTTGGACTTGCCACTTCTCTGCACGGTTGCAAAATCTGTCCATCCATATGTGAACAAGACTTGCCTGCTCTAGAGTCCCTTTATAGAGAGAGTTAAGACAACGTGGCTCGTGGATTTCACAAACTCAAATAGAGATTACACAAATTGAACGTTTTTCGTAATCTTTGATCAACTCAATTCCAAATTCCTAACTCCGCTCCTTCTCCCAATCCGTTTGTTTCTTGCCATGCCCCCAACTCCCCGGCCCATTCCAGTTTATAATCTTTGCAATCGGTGAAAATGTAATCTTCATTCCCGTTTGTGACACTGCGGAGGCCTAATATACGGGAACCAATCAGAAATGGATTCGTATTCTCTTTACTCTCACACTGGAAAAAAACGCATTGGATCTAGAGTCCAGACTCTTGAAAACATCGACAAGAAAAAGTACTCTTGATTCAATCAGAATCTAGCTTAAATCAAGAGCCAAGGCCTCTTAATTTAAGCGGATTTCGTTTTGATTCAAGCAAAAATCCGATTGAATCGAGAGTATTTTTTCTTGTCAATGTTTCCAAGAGTCTGGACTCTTGGTCCAATGTGTTTTTTTTCCAGTGCAGTATGAAGGGACTCTAGCCAGCTCCAGGTCGTGGTTCTTCCTCTTCGCCAAATATTCCAGCGGGCCGATTATTGAAACTGATAGACAAAGCCACAGACAAAGAAGACATAGGAAGTATGAAGCGATCCTATTGGTTGACATGGTTGGTTCCAATAGACTAAGGAAGAAAATGATGGACTAACTGTCGGGTCTTTGGTGGGTTGCCGTTACTCAGTCCATTACCTACCTCCTATGTCCATTGCCACCGCCCGCTTCCACCAATAGGATCCCTACAAATCCCTTTTGTCGTCTTTGTCTATAGCTTTGTCTATCAGTTTCAATGATCGGTCCGCAGGAAAGTGTCCCTTCTAATGGCCTTATTATTCGATGAGCTCAGCGATCGAGGAGGTCCTGGATCTCGGCGAGGGTCTTGCCCTTGGTCTCGAAGACGCAGAAGATAGTGAAGACGGCGCTGGCGAGGTTGCAAAGGGCAAAGGCGGCGTAGACGAGCCAGAGGTCGACGGCCAGGTAGAGCTTGTTGCTGGCGAAGGAGGCCACGGCCAGGGCCATGGTCATGATGGCCGAGGCGTGGCCCTTCACGCTCGTCGGGAACAGCTCGCTCTGGAACGTGTGCGGGATCTGCCCGACGCCGAACGGGTAGAACACCCCGAAGAGGACGATGCACGCGTGCGGCACCCACACGAAACCCGCCGCGTCCTCCTGAAACAGAAGATCCTAGTTAGCATCATGTTAACTATTTATGTCAGCGAGGCGTTTTTTTAGCTATCAGATCAGAAGGAAAATTGACGTCATCTATGACAATTCCAGGGTTGCCGGCGGTCTGAAAATCAGGGAAAGGCATAGGGAATATGAGACGACTAATTACTAAAACATATCACTGATCTTCCAACTGTTTACCATCTCCGGTCACTTCCAGGGCGTGTCATTTATTAACCAGCCACTGAGTGCCTTTTTCTATAATTCGATCTCGAAAGAAGGAAGTGTTTTCATGTCGTATTAGTCGCTTTTACGGCGTACTAGGACGCTCCGTGACACTTTACAGTACCTACCTGGAATTTGTCAGTTTTGAGATTCCGCGGAAGCTATGGTATCCCTTTATCTTTATTTGGATGGCATTCATCCACATTTTAGCTGCACCCCCTTCTACGACAACTACTACAGTGGCGAAGCGTGAATGATCGGTTGTCGATATTTGTCCATTTGAAGCCATGGTAAAGAATCGATTATTTAAATGTTCGTTGCGAACACCCCGTTTATCGATCCTTTTCCATAGGTTTAAATGACAGATCAATTGATGTATCGCAAAGCACGCCACGCCACTGGATGCCTACCCGCAGGAACTCAATCCAAAACATTTTTCCGCAACATGGTATCGGCCGTCCTCTGCACATGCCCATACCATGCCACAATGCCACATGATATCGCGCACAATTCGTCGTCCCTCCGACGTAAGGGCGTATCTCAATTTCCACGTGAGCCCTGGTATCTTCATAAATCCATGCCTTTCAGGGCTCACGTGGAAATAGAGGTACGCCCTTGCATCATAGGGACGACGAATTGGTCGTATTTCTGTCAAACAGAACTAACAATAAGCGCCATAGGTCGAGGAAGGGAGAGGAGGGCTCGAATTGGCGGGTGTTGCGGAACGCGATGCTCGGTCCGTCCTTCCACGGCGCTTAGTTCCGTTTGACAGAACGCGTTATCCGGGATTCTAAAATCCTCAAAAGGAACTCAATTTGGCGCTTAGTACCGTTTAACAGAAATGGGTCCAATTGTCTCTTCAACGCTCATGATCTCTCGGACACGTTCATTCCTGATACGCATCTCCTTGAGATTCCAGTCGAACTTGCCGAAAAACCTTGTTCTTCCCTAATAAACTAAAAGCGTTACCTGAGCCTTCTGGTGGTAGTAGTAGAAGACGGAGGAGGCGGCGGTGACTCCGGCGAGTCCGAGGCAGGAGACAAGCTGGAGCGGCTTGCGTCCGCAGGAGTCGACGAGAGCGACGCCGAGGAGGCCGGAGACGACGCAGAGCCAGGAGAAGAGCATGACGGTGAGCTTGCCGTCCCAGAACCCGGCGGTGTCATGCGGGAGCGAGGAGGAGGCGTAGGCCATGATGCTGGCCACGCCGCCGGCCCGCTCCAGGATCCCGGTGACGAGGACGATGGCCAGGGCCCGCCGGTTCCCCCGCTCCGAGACCAACGTCCAAGCGCTCTTCTTCGCGCTCTGCTCCTCGGCCACCTTCAGCCGGATCAGCTCCAGCTCCGAGGTCCGGGCCGCCACCTGGGGAACAGCGAAACAAAGCTCCATCAACAAGTTCTAACAGGAAATTTATCAGACTCGAACTATATCCAACATGGGTATTGTCATGAATATATAATGAATATGAATATTATATGAATGTCAACAAGTCCGGAAATAGTACTGATTTTTTAAGGGCGGTCCGGAAGTACTGAAAAAGTGCGGAAATTCCGCCAGAAGGTCCGGAATTGTTGTCTTATTAGTCGCATTTTGAGCGAGAAATTCAAATTTTTGAATTTTTTCGGATTTTGCCAACTGGAGGTACTGAATTTCTTGAAAATGTACTGAAAAAGCTCTGTAAAAGTGCTGATTTTTGGCCAGCCTGTTTTAGTAGACACCCTGTGAGAAAAAGGCCCTAACGAGTCGCTTGATAGGGCAAATACTGAAAGACATATGTGTTCTCATCAAAGTGTCACACAACACATTTTTTGTAGATCTGCTGAAAGTAATGATTTGTCCAAACGGCAACTTTTTATGTTGAGTATTAACCGAGATATCGCCCTTTGAAAAGTCGGGTTTTTGACGTCATCTACCGCGGTTGTGCAAAATATGGCACGTACTACCGTGGTGGATGATGTCATAAATAAAGTTTTTCAAGGCGCGATATCACGTTTAATATTTAACGTAGAAAGTTACTGTTTGGACGGATCTTATTATTTTTAGCTAATCTACAAGAATCAAGCATCAAAACACGATTCTGTGACCAGCACACGACTGACCCATTATTTCAACGTATTTGATTTGCACAGCACCAAAACGCCTTTCCACAACGGTAGGCTTTTGCGGGTTACTTCTCTGCAGGCCGTCATAAGGCTGAAATATCGAAAAAGACATGAGTTAAATCCGAAGAAAATAATGATCTGACCTTTGTGCGATCGCGGACGGCAGCGAGGGCCTTCTCGGCGGCGGCGGAGTCGCCGCGCATGCATCGGTAGTAAGGTGACTCGACGACGAAGAAGGTCAGGAAGAGTCCGAGGACGGGGAAGAGGAGGATGAGCCAGTTGACGGTGGCGAAGCTGAGCCACGGGCCGACGGTGACGCTGACGACGAGGCCGCCGGTGAGCATGACGATGAAGACGCCGGAGAGGGCGCCGCGGATCCGGGGGCCAGCGATCTCGGCGACGTAGAGGGCGGCCGCGGTGAAGCCGGCGCCCTTCCCGACGCCGGCCAGGAGCCGCGCCAGGAAGAAGTGGAGGGGCGTCGAGGCGACGAGGGCCAGGACGGAGGCGGCCGCGAAGAAGAGCATGGCCAGCCGGAGCGTGGGGAGCCGCCCGCAGCGGTCCATCAGGTACCCGGTGGGCAGCGGGCTGAGGAAGTTGCCGATGTCCAGGCCGACCACCGCCCAGGTGATGTCCGACCCGCTCATCGGTACCGGGATCTCCCCCGAGTGCACCTTCGGCAGCACCACCGAGATCCAGCCCAGCCAGACGCCCGAGAGGAACAGGGTCAGGAACGCTGGAAATAGACCGGATTCAATGACGAGTGTAAATATTTTAGAAATCTAGTCCTGCCCAAGTACACTGGAAAAGAAAGAATCTTAAATTTGCCGCCAAGAAGTATTTCTTCTTAAATCAAGAATTTTGTCGGTTAATATAAGCTACTTTTTTGCTTAACCCAAGCATTATTTTTCTTGAATCAAGAAACAGTCAGCTTAAGCAAGATAAAGGCAATTCTTGACGGTAAATTCAAGAATTATCATGCTTGATCCAAGCTGCTTTTTTTCAGTGTAATGAGGCAGCTGCGCTGGGAACAGAATTGTGTTTTGATGCTTGATTCCTGTAGATTAGCCGAACATAAGAAGATCTGTCCAAACAGTAACTTTTTACGTTGAATATCAACCAAAATATCGTTTTTTAAAAAGTCGGGTTTTTGACGTCATCCACCGCGGTAGTGCGTGCATAACATGGTGTGTACTAGAGTCCCTTTATACTGAGAGTCAAGACAATTCGGCTCATGGATGTCACAAACGGGAATAAAGATTACAGAAATTGAACATTTTTCGTAATCTTTGATCGGCCCATTCTCAAATGCCTTTCTCCGTTCCTCCTCTCATTCCGTTTGTTCCTTGCCGAACCCGTAATTCCCTGGTCCATTCCAGACTATAATCTTTGCAATTGGTGAAAATGTAATCTTTATTCCCGTTTGTGACACTGTAGAGGCCTAAAATACGGGAACCAATCAGAAATGGATTCAAATTGTCTTGACTCTCAGTATAAAGGGACTCTAGTGTGTACTATCACGGTGGATGACGTCATAAATCGAGTTTTTCAAGGCGTGACATCTCGGTGATAATTCAACGTAGAAAGTTGCTGTTTGGATGGATCTTATTATTCGTAGTTGATCTGCAAGAATAAAGCATCAACCCATGATTCTGTGACCAACGCAAATGACCCATTCTTCTCAAAATCTCAGTACTTTTCCTTCGTTTACTGGAAGCCCCGGCATGTTCGTGACACACAGTGTCCACCCTTCTTCATTTTAAAGAGTAGGCAAAAACACCTCCTACGCGTCGAAAGAGTTGCCTAACCATTCGAAATGAGGGCGAACTACAGTATGTTACTCACTCGGACGTTGGGATCATGTCCCGTGACTCGGAGCATTTTCCGCCTACATTTTCGAAAACACACAAAATTATCTCTCACGCGTCATAATAGTTGCCCTATTGTTTCAAATGAAAGCGGACATATGGCTACTTTTTATTTTGAAGCAAATCTCTCGACCCCTCGCCCGATCCTTGTGTTTTCGCCCATATTTGCAAATACTAGCAGGATCAGCTCTCATTCGTCGAAATGATTGCTTTACCTTCAAAGATGATGACAAAACATGCTCCATTATTCACTTGAAACTACGTGCCGTGATATTGAGTGTTTTCCTCCTTCAATTTTAAGTGTAGGCAAAATCAACTCCTACGCGTCGAAATTGTCGCATACTTTTTCAAAATTAAGGCCAATCTCACGTTTTTGCTCACTTGCAGTCTGAAATTATTCATCTTTGTACACGATAGATGGGCCAAAGTGCCTCCGAAGCGATGATACGGTCCCATCCCTACAAGTCGACTTTTAAGTAGTCATCATGGGACTGACTGCGACATTGTTGGAATATCAATGTATGGAAATGCATTAATGGTCGTATAGTTATCAGTATCATAGAATAATACTCGAATTGTCATTTTCTCTTTTGATCTGAATAAGGATAAAACACCACAAAAACCAAGATCGGTTCTTTATAAAAGTCGGCGAACGATTGTCGTACCACTTAAAATATATCCCAGATCATTTTTTGTAAATGAGTCGAAAGATAGATGAGTCCTAGAGATTCTGAATAGCAGGTAAATCATGCTATATCGTGAAGTGTTTATTACCCGTGATTGAGGACAGAAGTTGGTTGAAGATGTGTTTTCTAATGATGCTCGCCATCCTGCAAGGCAACAAACGACGCGCTTGGTTGGTTTCACAATTATTGATAATCGTTTACGTTGAAGCGTCTCAAGGAAAAATCGAAATATCTCATAACTGTTTCAATTCCGGCGTTTCGTCTCTCAAAACTTCAAACGCAATCTGAAAATTACGGAAAGATATAATTAAAAACAAAAATAAAATATGCATAATTATAATAATTCGGAGGAAAGAAACTGAGAACACATGTTTTTTTATAATTGCGTGATTTTAACCGGAGTGTGCCTAAATTCATTTCTCGATGTCTGAGTCCCCATTGAGTTTTATTTTTCTACTACTAAATTGAGAGGCTTGGAGGACAAGGCGCACGAGTGCAGTTTTTGCTATTTCGAGAAATACGTGTTTGAAGTTTCGAAATTACATGGATCCTAATGGTGGAAAGAAAGTTTAAGTTTACTCTTTGATGCTTAAAAATTGGAATTTGGGAGCGAATTTTTCACAGAATATGCATTTAGACTAGTTTTACTTGGAATCATCAATATTTCGATTGTTCAAAAACCTCTCCTATGCGCCTTGTCTTCCAAGCCCCTCAATTACGGTACATAATACTTTTAAACCCCCTTTCAATTTCCCACAGATCATAAAGAATATTCTTTTTGACAAGCACTTAAAGAGTGTTTGGTTGTAACTAACCTTCATTATTGAAAGTCCAAAGTTTTTTCTATCTTCGATTTTTTGGTTTCAGGAATTTTCGTCCAATTTTTTTCGTCCTAGAGAATTTTAGTCCAATAAATTTTGCCCGGTATCACTTAGTCCAGTAAGTTTGGTCCGATATTTTTTGGTCCAATCCATAAAATGGCCCTGCGTTTTAGGTCCAATCGGTTTTTTTTCTGTCCTTTGTACATACTTTTTATGGGCGTTGTCCTGCCTTTAGTTCACAAGCTGTGTTCCCATAAAACCGAGGACACTTACAACGTTCTGTACCAACAGCTTAAAATGTATGCAGATTCTATTAAGTCCACCTTCATTTCCAACATGCTCTTACGTTACTCCCTTACGGTACTCCCTTTTCTAACATTTACCTACGTTATGAATTGGACAAAAATAAAATATAATCATTGGACAGATAAGTATGAGTCAAAGTAATAAAGAGGACTAAAGAAGGTAGGACAAATTTTCTTTTGGACCAAACTAACTACTGGACATAAATGTCAAATGGACCAAAAAAAATTGGACACAAAAACATTGGACAAAGATTCTTATAACCGATTTTTTAATCTTTGTCGACATTGCGGTCGTTGCAAATATGGCAGTTAAGGATAAAACGATTGTTAACGAGGTAAACTAGCTTATCAAAGCTGCTGAAGGGGTGATTTAGGCAGAGAAAGAAAATTTGAGGAAGTAATAGGATGAGAAAAACAATCGGAGTATCAGAGACACTCCAGAGAAAACAATTTGAAAGCTCTCGGGATAAAAATTTTAGACACAGAAAAAGGAAAAACGAAAAACGCGGAAGAAAATTAAGAATTTACACGTGTCTAAAATTTGATGAATTGCATTTATAAATAGAACCTACTAAGTGCACTGAGCCCGAGGATATTCCAAATTTTTAAATCGAACAATTAAAAAGAGATTTCAAGCAGAATGATCTAATCTGCTGAAATACATGTGTTAAAATGGAAAATGCCGCTCTCATGAGTACTGAGACGGTACTTTTTTTCACTTTTAAAACTATTTTTCTCTAGTTCTTTTATTATAGAAATTACTTGTGAGTAATGCAGTGAACTCAACTTATCAATCATTTTCACACGCTGTTAAAAATCTCTTAACACACCGGTGTGTTCATTTCGATTATTTGTATAAAGGAACAAAAACTTACCGTTCCCGTCACCCGCGAATGGATAATGGTGTGTTACGAGCAACATATTCTAGCGATTGGTATTTCACAATAATTTAAAACCACACAAGTAATGATCCTTTAAGTTTAAAAATTTACCTGCCCATTTCACCGCTAAAGAGACTTCGTTCGCGTTGGTAGCTTTTTTTTTTCAGTTTGAGCCATCAAAAGCGCGTTCAATACTCGGAGAGAGATGATAATGAAAATAAATGATAAAATAAAAAAAAAAAAGAAATCAAAGTATCACAATTACGTACATTAAAGCGAAATTACACGGTCAATTAAGAAAGATAACACGATGCATCGCTTTCTACGCTTGCTCGTCAAAAGTCCCCCAGATAACGGTGCACTGCATTCAGCAAAAAATGTGTGGAGCAACCGATGAACTAGCCATCACACTTACATCTAACCCTAATCAATTTACTGTTAATTAATGAAGAAACGGAGAATTCATTTGCTGTTTTCAAGTGAAACAATCGTGATGGGCATACTGCGTTAAACACAAAAGCGCAGTTCAATGGTTGAAACCTAAAGATTAGAGAAATAATTGGATGCATTTCTGCCAAACGGAACTATGTGCATTATGACGTGAGCCTTGTTACGCATATATATTCTTATGGGTCTCAGGGCTCATGTCTTGATGCACATAGTTCCGTTTGATAGAAATACGTTCAATTAGAAAAATACATGATCATGCAGAAAATTACAAACACTAGATAGAATACCTCGTAGTTTTTTTGACTGAGGAGTACGGAGATGTTGTAACTTCTCACTTCTTTTTTTTTATGTTCTTTCAAAAATTGCATGGGGCTAGGTCGAATTTGGAATGAGAGGTGCTTAAAATGATTCTCCGATCGCCTGCAGCCTTGTTCCTTCTGTTCATAGCATGTATTCTCATAAACATCAACGATAAATGCATGTCATCATTGAAGATTCCAACAGAGAAAGCTCTCACATTTTCCTTGTCGTGGAATTCTCAAATTTCGTAAAATCCAAAATTTTGCAACCTGTAGAAAGTTCTACCATTTCTTTTCCGTCCACGAGGCAAGCGGCCTTATTATACAAAGACTCAAAATTTTGTTTTTGATTTACTAGAGGAGAGCTCTTTGAAAATTGTGCGACAGAAAACGCCTAAAAATTCCAATATAAACCAAGACTATTATGGTTTGAAATATGCAATTCTAAGTACGCAGTTATATGATTTAATTTTGATCCGGTTCGCTCCGAGCACGAAATCGCCGAAGTGTCTACAACTTATTGCATCCTATCCGCACACAAGAAAACGAAACCGAAAAATTAGAGCGAATTTTCCGCGGCGATCTCAAAATCCGATTTTATAACGCGCCTAATTCCTCGAAAATCGCTCAATTGAAAATTTCACCCTGTAAACCGTAGTGTTCCTTGCCTTATGGGTAGACAGCCGATTTTATTCTAATCGCGTATCTAAAAACTTGTAAGCGAAAACCGGTTCTATATGATCGTGCTGATACACCACTATAGTACCGAAAAATATTTTATTTGCGGATCTAAGCGAATTTTCCGCTGCGATCTCAAAATCCGATTTTATAATGCGTCTAATTCCACGAAAATCGCTCAGTTGAAAATTTCACCCTGTAAACCATAGTGTTCCTTGCCCTGTGGGTAGACAGCCGCTTTTATTCAAAAACGCGTATCTAAAAACTTGTGAGCGGAAACCGGTTCTATACGATCGTGCTGATACACCACTTTAACGCCGGAAAATATTTTATTTGCGGATCTAAGCACCAGACGTTAATGGCACCGGAACAGGCTCTGCAGCATCCCTGCGTTAGGGCTAAGGGAAGTCAAGATTACGGGACGCCCAGAGTGTCAATATCCGCGAGTATTTAACGCAACACTCGGACGGAGAAAACCTGTCGAGAAGACGCGATCGACTAATTGGGACCGAGGTTTAAGCGTTTACTTGCAACCGCACCAGCATCCGGAGTTTCCAGATCGCGGGAAAATCGAAATAATCGCCTCTCGACTCGCATAACGGGCTTCTCGCTGGATCACCCGATCAGCCGCTATTTAATCGCTCATTGTACGGCCGTGTTTAAACTCGCTGGTCTAAACGCTGGTTAAACGCGCTCGTCCCTAAATCTAGGTTTGAAATAAATTCTGTGACAAATTCACCGATGAAATCCAATTTTTAAGCATCAAAAATATAAGTTTGAACTTTCTTTCTGCCGTATAAGAATTCATATAATTTTAGAAACTTTAAACACGTTTTTCTGGAATTAGCAATAACTGCAATAATGCGCCTTATTATCCTCCAAGCGATTCATTGGAACTATGTGCACTATGACTTGAGTCCTGTTCTGCATGTATTCTTGTGGGTCTTAGAGCTTATGTCTCAATGCACATAGTTCCGTTTGGCAGAATTACGGTCCCTAGGAAAATTTGACCGCGAGTCCCGATTCTCAGGGTCATAACCTGTGTGACCCGCCCTTCTTTTAAGGGTCGCATAAAGGCGTAGAATAGGGTGATTCGGATTTTTGAGTGTCTTGTCGGTCAAAATTTGGTGTGATTTTTTATTTTGAAGATCATTTTAAAATTTGGTCGGGTTGCTTCAAAATATCAACAGGAACGACTAACATGCTTTTACATTTTAACCCAAAATATCGTTGAGAACTACTTTGAGGACGAAGATGGATTCAAATTGGCAGCGGGTTATCCGCCAGCCAAGCTGTTACGACGGTCATTAGGAGTTAGTGACAACTGGAATCAAAAGATTGACAAGCTGAGATGCATTTGCACAATGTCAGTAATTAACTCTTGTCTTTAACTTCTGGCCACTTATCATTTAGAGTCACTTTGAAAAAAAATGGTTTTCTTGCTTCACTGATTGAAGTCAATCTGTATCGATAAAGGAACCGACTGATCACCAATCAAGGCAAAATATTAGTAAATATTTTCACATCCTTTCACGTAGAAGTAAGTAGACGACCAGGCTTGTCAAAAACTTTCAAATGTTACTGACAATTGAGAAAAAGCCAGTTGTCCACAGTTGTCAATTCTAAACTTTCCGATATTGTAAACACTCACATTCTACTTCAGTCAACCGGCTGTCGCAACGTTAATTTCAATGTATTTTGCGATAAAGTAATACTTCAATGAACCAAATTTTTATTGATCATTATAAAATTGTCGTGTATTTAAGGCGGAAAAAGTTTTTCAGGGATAGAAATTTCAATTTTTTAGACGTAATACAGTTTGTTCGCGATGTTTGGTGTTGAGTTGATTTTGGTTTTTGTGCAACCGGAAGCTCGAATTCTCTGATTCTAATTTTAATCAATCACACTGCTGTGCTAAGGAGAACGCCGTCTGAGCCTTACGTTACAATATCTCCTTCAATAAATAACGAATTTACCAGGAAAATTCTGAATATTTTCCGGACAATCTTGTTTACAATTTTATTCAAAACATCTGAGAATTACAATATAAAGAAAAATAACTTTCCGTCGAAGTAAACACGTTATCCAAGGAAATTTGGCAACTCTCGAATGTTGGTACGTGAATTTGATTTTTGGCATTTTGAAACATGATCAACGCTTCATTCATGAAATTCTGACGAGGAAACTTACCGTGCGTTGATTTAATATTTACCCAATTCAGTGGTCGATTCTGTCGTTTCTATTCTCGTGCGAACACGGGAAAAAGTCGCACTGGAAAAAAAAATACATTGGATCTAGAGTCCAGACTCTTAAAAACATCGACAAGAAAAAGTACTCTTGAGTCAATCAGAATCTAGCTTAAATCAAGAACCGAGCCTCTTAATTTAAGCGGATTTCGTTTTGATTCAATCAAAAATCCGGTTGAATCAAGAGTATTTTTTCTTGTCAATGTTTTCAAGAGTCTGGAATCTAGATCCAATGTGTTTTTTTTTTTCCCCAGTGCGGGAAAATCACGTGGAAATAGTAGGAGCACTTACCATTCAAATCTGGACCATCCGGTGGGGAAGTTCAAGATGAACGATGACACAGGTTCTTCATACTCTAACAACACAGCACAAGTTCACGGTTCGCTTAAACAATAGGAAGCACCTGAGCTCAAGGGCAGGGTTTCGCTGATTAAATTGAAATAACGAGCCCAGATCAGGAAGCTATTTCCGAACTTAGAGAATCGCGGACGGCGTGAGCTGCAATCGGCGAGGTAATGACCACTGCTATTCACTTGTGCCACAAGAATTTGGAAAGTAATCCTTGGATGACCCGCCACCATCCGGAATATTGAGTATTTTGTCTATCCAGTTAGGTCGGGGTCATCGCTCTTCGATTTGCACAGATTTTACCACTTTTTATCACTCAGTCCTCGGCACTGCATTCGATTTTGCCGATGGGCACCATCTCGGAACTGTGTTTGCGGATGCCCAGTCGTAAAATCTAGACGTGTAAATCATAATACACCGGAAAAAAACTTTGGCCGTGGAAGCCGTACTCATGGGCTATACAGGCATACTGTCCGCGTTCCGGGCTCGGAGGCCGAGAGTTCCGAGCGTAGCACCCGTAGCAAACTAAGCTACGGTTTTAGCACCCGAAACGGACGGGTTGTCTATATAGCCCGTAACTTTTTTTTTTTTCAGTGCAGTCTTTACTTGCCGGCACTTAAAAGTGCACCAATCTAGGTGGCGATATACAGAGAGGAAACTCAACACTAACTTTTAGTTAATACAAGAAGTAATTCAGTTACGTTTGATCAGCCTTATGTGTATTTATTAATAATGTTGCTTTGGAGTTGATCTCTTAACTTCTCGTTGTGTGAATCGCTTTTCAAGCAAAATTTTAAAGAGGAAATATAATGTGTAGTACTTTAATTGGACTGCATTTTGTAATTAGGAACCATTATCTTTGGCTCAGCTTAGGAGCAACGTAAGAACCATTAGTTCCCCTATGCTCGTAAGTGTTTTTACGGATGGACCAGAAATTGTAGCTCCCAATTATTGCTAAATGCAGTCCAATTCATACCCTGTGCAATAGCTCCAGTGTGCATTAGCCCAATGTGCGCCCCCCCCCCCTCTAGTGCTTAACGTGTTCAAAATATCGGTAATAGTTGTAAATGTCCCATTTTAAATGGCCAATGTATAGAACTTTACACACACATTTCACTTTGGACAAAATTAACAGTTGGAAATTATTATTGGCGGGTACTTTTTTTAAAGAACAAACTGTGTATTGGACGTCTTGAAGCAGATTCTGCTGTGAAAGGCAGTATTATTTGGATATTAAGTCAATCGGAATTTTTTAAGAGAACATTTTCGCTTAGCACAAAAATGTTTTGGCGCTGTGACGGTTAAATGGTGTAAATTAGACAAAGATGCCTCAGCCTCATATCAGTCAACTACGTAGGTTGGTGCAGAGCAATTGGTCATTGCAACTCGATTCGATTGAAACGGTAGTCGTTGAGCAGGAAGTATTGCTGAAATAATGCTCGCATTGCAGAGAGGTAGTCAATTTTCTGTCCTCGTTCCACGAGGCTTCACTTCACGTCTCCGGCGCGGCGGCGCTTGGGATCATTTTGAATGAACTCTTAAACACACCTAAAAACTGAGCATTGCAGATTGTATATCCGCATCCAAATATCACATTAAATACAATTCCCAATCGAAAGTTTTCAATTTCAAATTTTTATTGAGAAATTAGTGTTTTTCGCATTCGTCTGTTCGAAAATCAACATTAAAGAGAAACGTACGCATTTGTATAATTATGAATGTGTAAAAACTCTAGTAAAAAATGTCAAATATTTATCGCAGACTAACAACAATTTTAGGCACATACATGATTTTAGGATAATTACGAAGTTCTTCTGGTGGCCCGGCAATCGATCCAACGAAGTAAAACAAAAATTGAACTCGTAACCTCCTCAACTTGATCAGAGATCACTTGAACTTAGAAAGTTGCTTGGCAAATTGTTTGGACACATCAGAGCTTCCATTTTCCGGACTTAATTCCGAATTTCGGAAGTTTTCAAATGACTGGAACTTTTCCCGGAATCTCAAAATTCCTTCAACTATTTTCGGAATTTTGTGGTTTTCGGTCACTATTTGATCAAATGTGAGGAATTCTTGATAAAATTAGACATTCCTCGGAGCTAAGTCCGGAATTTTTCCCCGGAACTTTTGAAAAATCGGAACTTTCTCGCAAATTTGGGAAATTTGAATTATCCCGGGAAACTCGGAATCTTTGTCAAAATAAAATGGCAGCACTGGGGCAGATCTTATTATTTTCAATTAATCTAAAAGAATCAAGCATAAAAACATGAAAATGTAACCAGCGCAACTGACCCAATAATTGGGCGTTTCTCTCCCAAACGGAACTATGTGCATTATGACGTGAGCCCTGTTATGCATGTATTCATATAGGTTTCAGGGCTCATGTCTCAATGCACATAATTCCGTTTAGCAGCAACACGTCCAATTTCGACGACTACCGGCTCAGAATCCTATGGATCTCCGCGAGCGTCTTGCCCTTGGTCTCGACGAGGTAGAAGACGCAGAAGAGGATGTTGGCGAAGCTGGCCAGAGCGAAAACGAGGTACATCAAGTAGAAGCCGGCCACCTGGGCCCCGAGGAGGTAGATCTTGGTCGTGGCGAAGGAGCTGACGCCGAGGAAGATGGTGGCGACGGCGGAGGCCTGGCTCTTGACCGACGTCGGGAAGAGCTCGCAGTGGAGGGTGTGCGGGACCTGGCCGGCGCCGATGGCGTAGAACACCGCGTAGAGCATGAGCCCCACGTGCGGGACGTAGTCCAAGTGGGAGGCGAGGTCGCGGGTGGCGGGGTGCTCGTAGAAGAAGTAGAAGACGGCCGAGACGAGGAGGATGACGGTGAGGGCCGAGGTGGAGACGATCATGAGAGGGCGACGTCCGCAGCCGTCGACCAGGCTCATCCCGATGAGGGCGAAGATGACGCAGAGCCAGGAGAAGACCTGGAACAGTACAGATAGCACACCAATGAAAGAAACTAGGATGTACTCCCCCCCCTCCCGCGGGCTGATTCAGGGTGTCTCTACAAGTCCGGAGTGTCCGAGAAGTCCGGAAATATTACTGATTTTTTAAGGGCGGTCCGGAAGTACTGAAAAAGTGCGGAAATTCCGCAAGAAGGTACGGAATTTTTGTCGCAATTTAAGGGAGAAATTCAAATGTTTGAAATTTTTCGAATTTCGTCAAGCACTGAATTTTTATGTTGAGGCGGCACTGGAAAAGAAAAAAAAACACATTGAATCTAGAGTCCAGACTCTTGAAAACATTGACAAGAAAAAATACTGTTGATTCAATCAGATTTAAGCTTAAATCAAAAGGAAATCCGCTCAAATTAAGAGGCTTGGTTCTTGATTTAAGCAAAAATCTGATTGAATCAAGAGTCCATTTTCTTGTCAATTTTCAAGAGTCTGAACTCTAGATCCAATGTGTTTTTTTTCCAGTGGGTGTTGAATTTCTCGGAAATGCACTGAAAAAGTACTGTCAAAGACCTGATTTTTGGCCAGCCTGTTTCAGTAGACACCCTGCATTGATAACTGAAATTGATAGATGAAGCTATGGACAAAGAAGACAAGTCGTACTTTTTAGGTGTGAGGGGAGGGGGGGTGTCTAGCAGTGGATGGCGGTCGGATACGGTAAGGGAGGGGGGGGGGTTCGAAAAAATTGGAAAAAAAAATGGGTGACGTAATTTATGAACGGCTCTTAAGTTATAATGAGTTCTTTCCCTCTCTGTTAACTTCATCGTTTCCAAGATGTTGCTTCCATTAGGTCTCGATACACGATCAAATTCCCGAACCAATTACCATCAAAGTATCGGTAGTCATCAGTCTGAAAAACGTGATTTTGCTTAGTTATAATGAAAACTGGGCAGAAATGTTTCGTGCAGCTGGAAACGATGAATGGTGGCACTCCGTTCTGATCAAAGAGGAGTGTTGCATGGTGACCATCACTCATCAACAGGTCTACTTTGATCAGAATTGGTTCGGGATTTGATCGTGTATCGAGACCTTCGGACGCTGCTCACCATGACTGTGAGCGCCGGATCCCACGGGTGGGCCGGGAGGGTGGTGGAGGCGTAGCCGTAGATGCAAGAGATGCCGCCGGCCCGCTCGAGGACGCCCGTGACGAGGACCATGAGGAGAGCGCGGCGGTTGGCGCGGGTGCCCACGAGGCGGGAGAACGGGTAGCCGGCGGAGGTGCCGATCTCGTTGCGGGCTTCGAGGACTTTGGCCCGCATCGCGGAGAGCTCCTCGGAGGTGAGGGTCGGGCGGTTGGGGTCGCGGAGGTCGGCCAGGGCGCCGTCCGCGGCCGCGTCGTCGCCGCGCATCAGGAAGAAGTACGGCGACTCGACGATGAAGAAGCTCAGCACCAGCTCCACCAGCGGGATCCCTGAAACATGCGGTTCATTCAGTTACGAAAGCATTGGGGGAAAAACACATTGGATCTAGAGTCTAGACTCTTGAAAACATTGACAAGAAAAAATACTCTTGACTCAATCGGATTTTTTCTTAAATCAAAAGGAAATCCACTTAAATTGAGAGGCTTGGTTCTTGATTTAAGCAAAAATCCGATTGAGTCAAGAGTATTTTTTCTTGTCGATGTTTTCAAGAGTCTGGACTCTAGATCCAATGTGTTTTTTTTCCAGTGAGTGTTTCCTTGCAAGAGAAATTGGACCGCGTTAAGCAGAAAGGAACCAAGCCACGTCAGCTATTGCCTTTAATGGGGAATTTTCGGTTTTTACATGAAAACGGTTGTACGGATTTTCGTGCAAATTGCAGTGAATATTCTGCATAGTACGATAAAAACCACTCAAACGTTTCAAAAGAATTCGCACAAGTCTTCTCTTGTACAAAAATGAAAGTGCCCTGTCAAAGGCAATAGCTGATATAGCTTAGCGTTTCTCTGCTAAACGCGGTCCGACATACAAATCAGCAAAGAGTGATACGATCCGGTAGAGCGTTTTGTTTCTCGGTCTGTTCGGTAAACCTTGTGGTGCACCCTGAATGACGTCAGTCGCCTTACGATTGCGTACCATGGTAAGTGCTCTAACTCTAAATTGAGCATTGTATGACTGTCAAGACTTCTCTTTTTCATTTAAACGGTGTCATTTTCCGCCATTCAATGCCCGATGAAAACGTTTATCTGATCGGAAGTTTAGAGATCATCTTACCGAGAAGAACAAAGTTAAGAGCCTGGAAGGAGACGAAGGGTCCGAGCGTCATGCTGGTGAGGGTGCCGGCGAGGGACATGAGGGCGCAGACGCCGCAGAGAGCGCCGCGTATGGCGGGGCCGGCGATCTCGCCGACGTAGAGGGTGGCCGCGGTGAAGGCGACGCCCTTGCCGACGCCGGCGAGGAGGCGGGCGAGGTAGAGGTGGACGGGGGCGGAGGCGGCGAGGGCCAGGACGGCGGCGACGATGTAGACGAGAGCGGCCGCCCGGAGGACGAAGATGCGGCCGCAGCGGTCCATGAGCCAGCCGGCCGGGAGCGGGCTCAGCAGGTTCCCCACGTCGATGAACGCCACCGTCCAACTTATCGCTTCAGGGCTCATGGCGATCGGGATCTCGCCGGCAGCTAGCTTCGGAAGCACCGCCGAGGCCCAGCCCAGCCAGGCCCCGGACGCGTACACAGTCAGGAACGCTGCAACAACGGCAAATATGAGGTAGAGCAGGGTGTGTACTAGTCCGGATGTTTCGGAATTAGTTCTGATTTGTTAAGGGCGGTTCGGAAGTACTGAAAAAGTGCAAAAATCCTGCCAAAAGATCCGGAATTTCGTCTTTCATACTACGCGTGTTGTTTTAATAACGCCTGGAAAGTATGCAGTCCCCACCACGTTGATTCTTAAAATAGTGTTCGCTTGAAAGATCACGATTGTGCAGTCAGTTTATCCTCACATGAACTTTTGTGTGTACGTCATTTTTATCGCACTTCCAGCGAGAATTTCAAATTGTCGAAATTTTTCGAATGTTGTCAAATGGAGGTATTGAAAAAGCACTGATTTTTGGCCACCCTGTTTCAGTAGACATCCAGGCGGAGGCCAGCATGTCGAATATCGGAATTTTGAGTCCGTCGGGCGGATATAGATGATAGATGACATTGGTGAAATGGCGGCGTGTGATTGGACGGCTATGTTTTATCGCTGCTCTGTCGGGTAGAATTGACGACTTTTTGGGAACTCAAGAAGTGCCTTTAGCTATAATCGGCAATTTTACCCGACATAAGGCATGACAAAGCAGCGATGAGATCTAGTCGACCAATCAAACTCTGCCGTTTCATCTATGTCATCTACTTGTATTTCCGTCCGACAAACAAAACATTTCAATAATTGGCTTGCAGGTCAAATAAGTCTACGAACTTTTAGACTGCGACAGAAGATCGTTTGACGTCAGTATAGCATTGAAGGTTAATGCAAGAAACAAGATGGCAGAGCTTCTGTTGCAATCTAAAAGTGCGCAAACTTATTTGGCGGGGACTCTAATTGGACTGCATTTTGAAATTTGGAACTACAATATCTGGCTCAGTTTAAGAGCGATGTATGCACCATTAGTTTCCCTTTGCACATGAGTGTTTTTACAGATATGGGCTAGAATTTTATTTCCTTAGTGCAAAATATAGTCCAATTCAGGATTAAGTGTTTTGATTTCTCGAAAAATGACCCACCGCAAAATCCGTAATCAAAATTTGAAGTCCTGGTGCTATTTAATTCCATTATGCTTAAAACAGAATACTGCGTTTCGACGTTGTGCTCTTTCAGATTATGAACTAATTAGTATTTCCATTGATGGTATTACCTGTCACAGAGCATAGGAGTTGCTTAAAAATATGTTTCCCCTCAAAATTGACCATTTTTTCTGCGACTGTGGAGGAAGGTTGAAAAGGCCGATAAGTGCTCTCTGAAACGGAGTATGCTATTTCAGTTAGGGTCTCAGTCGTCCACTGGTTGTCGCTCCACGCACTAATGTCGAGAAATGTAGTAAAGGTCCTCCATCAACAAACTCGATCTAAAAATCGTTAAGATAAAAAACGAAAACAAAATATGACGCTGTCGATGTGGTAAACCAGTCAGTAATGTTAATTTCTCTCCTTAATATTCTTTGTATAGTCTGATGTGAAAAAAAGGTCCAGCGACGGTGAAAATTAAAATGGAAAAACGTATATAGTGGTTCGCGACTTGTATATTTTACCATGCTTTATGTTTCAATGTTGGTCTCAATTTATTCCCCGTGTAATTTCGCACATTACCTTCGTTTTTTTCTCGGCTGTATGAAGAATATATGTGATATCCATCTCGCCAGGTGTGTCATATACCAATGAATCAAGCGGAAGTCTGCGTGATTCAAGCTGTACAATTCCTAAATCAAGAACAATCTTTTTGTCGGCAAATTCTAGAATATTTCTGCTAAAATTAGGTCACTTTTTCAGATGCTTTCCTTTCGTTGTTGAAGTAAAGCTTCTGATTAGTAGGTTTTTGCTTGAAAAATATGTGTATAAACCTTACCTATGGAGATCTTCGATGGAACTTAATCCTTTTTTCGAATATCACCATCACTCAATCGTTACGAGTTCAAATTTCAAGACCGAAATTACGCATTAATTCTTGTCGGATTTTTGGATTTTAGAAACTAGAAACTCGCATGATGTTAGTGAGCGGTATCGAGTTTAGAACTGCATAGTGAGGACACAATGGTGTAGTTACAGCAAAAAATACGACAAAAAAAAAAAAAATTAAAAATTTATGCGAACATTATCTTCGAAGGCCAAGGCGAAACCCCTCCATTCTTACGTTCAAATCAGACGGAAAACAAGACCGACGAAATTTCGTCTAACTTGATTGTTTCGTCGCTCATCACTGTCCAAACTCTCGTGAAGGAGGTTTCGACATGAGATTTTGACAAACACGTAAAATTTATCATTAGATAGAACGCGAAATTAAAGAGTTTGAAGATGCACTCTGAAAAAAGACATTTTGTATTTGACGTTCGTACCTTTTTTCGTGGTCTATGCGTAGAAAGGGCCTTATCAATGGCGTGGCGTACCATATAAACCTACGGAAAAGGATGAATAAACAGTTTGTTCGCAACGAACACCTTATGAATCGATTCTTTACCTTAGCGTAAAATGGGGAAATATTGATAATCGATCATTTTTACGCGTCGCTACTGGGCACTATCGCATTTGCGGTCGCTGATGAGATTTTGCAACTCTAGGTGTGTCTCTGTGTCAATTAGAAGTGTTGATTAGACATATTTGCCTTCTAAGATGTTCTATTTTATGAAGTTGTTCTCCTGCACATTTCGTGCTACAGTCACTTGCTAAAGTTGTGTGAATTTTCATTGGAGCAGTAGCGCCGCAGGCATGTCCTTTATTCCAAAGGATTATTCATACGTGATGTCTGGTAGCTCGATCGGAGAGCAAAATATCGCATCCATTAGATAAGGATGTTTCGCAACATATACTGCGTTTTCCCTTATCACTACAAAATAATAACAAGCGATTACTTAAGAGCATATGTGCAGGAAGAAGTATTCAAAATCTCAGAATATTTTTTATAGACTATATAGACAATATAATTTTCTTCCAGGTTTTTGTTTTTCACTTATTTCAGTGCCAGAGCCCTCATTTTTAATATTATGATTAATGTATGATAGGTAGTGAAAATACAATGAAAAATGTGTTGATTTTTTCTGCTTCGTCATTGATATAAGGAAATGAATTTCAAGAAAGTGACAGCTGTAGACTAATAACCTCTCTAAAGAGATACTTGTCAAAGGAAAAGCTAAGATTTGTTCACCTTGAAAAAATATTCATTTATTGAAATTCTATCAATACAATATAAGAAAATATATCCGTTACAATCGAAATCAGTCTTCAAGGTACACTAAAAATATGTATTTGACCTGAGTATTTACATTGCAAAGCTCCTTTTATTTCCCCCCTAAATACCGACTGTGAAATGATTTTATTGAACGATCTTAATTAAAAGAACACTCACTACTGCTCATACTTCTTGTATGCTCTTATCTTAGGGGCACCGCCGGCCGTGAGGCCAGTTCCTCTAATTTTTCCTGACAGTCGTTAGAATAACTTAGTAACTACAATAAATGAGAAGCAATCATCGGAAGATGGTCTCTGGAAATAGGCAGTCTCTTCGGAACTCACTATGTAAAAAATACGAAAGAGTGAGATCCAGAGGGCATTGCAACGTTTCAAAGATTTACTTGACTGTTTTTTTTTTTTAATAAATCTACACGACGAAATTTTCGGCAAATTTTCGACGGATTCCGAAGAAAATTCACAGAAAATTCCTAAAGGATATGCAACCACCCTTGAGTAAAGTAGCAATGTGTAGTTTCCCCCAGGGAAGAACTTAAATCCATCCTAACCCGAACCCCTTGCAAATTGCATATCAACCAGGAGAATCCTGGGCATTTCTAACTGAAGATTTCTTTGATTCTTCCTCAGATTTCATAACAGAATTAAATGAAAATCGCACAGGTACATTTTTGTTAAATAAATTAATTGTTTAGTCGATTTGGCAACCTTGGATTGGAGGTACGTTCCTTTGTCCGGAAGACGTCGAATTTTCACGTGATACTTTGCAAAATGGGCCTTTTCGAGTTGATTGTTGAATCGTTATCGAATGACCTTGATCGATCTACAGCATAGTGAAGACAGGCAGTTATCAATCGAGCTCATTCGATAACGATTCAACAATCGACCCGTTGGACAGGGTATGAATTGGCCGTATTTATGCTAAAAGGAACTATGTTACACACAACGCAAACCCTATGCACATAGTTCTTTTTATCATAAATACGTCTAAATAAAGCGCAATGTGAACACAACATAACATGTCGTCCAATTGTACTCTAATTGAGTTTCCTTGGCTCATAAACTGTCACCTAGCGTCACCTCTTCAGATGAGATGAGGTGTTTCTGAGGGAAGGATGAGCATGAACTCGTCCTTTATACACGATTCCGTGACGTTGACGCGCACGAGAGCTCATCTGCTTGAGTCCCAGAAAGCGTGGAGTTCTACTTTACTTTTTGAGGAAATGCTGAATCTCCTCGAGTGTCTTGCCCTTGGTCTCGAAGACGTAGAAGGCGGTGAAGACCATGCTGAGGAAGTTGCTGAGGGCGAAGATGAGGTACATGAAGTAGACGCCGAGGCCGCGGTCGACGGCGAAGTAGACCTTGTTCACGATGAAGGAGGAGATGGCCAGGGCCATGGTCATCAGCGCCGAAGCTTGGCCTTTGACGCTCGTCGGGAACAGCTCGCTCTGGAGGGTGTGCGGGATCTGCCCGACGCCGACCGGGTAGAACACCCCGAAGAGCACCACGCCCACGTGGGGAACGAACATGAACTGCGAGACGTCCACCTGAAACAGACCACAGGAATCTTAGTCATCGGGAAGACTGGACCGTTTAGTTTCAGGCCTTGTCTCCACGGGATGTTTCACGGGATTTGTCCCTGGGAAAAATCCCACTTACGGAGTTGGGAAAAATATTGAGTTAATCAAAATTTTTACCAGTACCAAGTATGGTCCTTGTACCCCTAGGACCCACTGAGAAAGGAAGAAGAAGTGAAAACGAATTGTGCGATATTTTGTTGATTACTCTATTGTTCATGTTTGGTTCGTTAAAATACTGTGTCTAATTGTCAATTGAGTGCAATTATCATTTTAATCCCGGTTAAAAACACGACTTTAACTAATTTATCTTCCCGCGCAAACTAGTCGCAGGACCGTGTTAGCCCCGTCCCGTGGAGACGGTAACTGGGAAAAATCCCAGCAGTTTCATTCCTGCGATTCGAACTTGAGACAAATCCCATGAAAACGTCCCGTGGAGACAATGCCTTAGGTTATTTTGTCATATTTCCTCCAACAATCGTTCAATTTCGAAATCAAGGATATCCTCGCACTCAGTTTTCCTAGCAGTTTCATTTTAAACATGAAATTTACAAAATTCAGACACCTGCCAATTCTCCATTCATCCCAAAATCCGATGTAGAAACGATCGGTTTACTTAACGCTACGCATTATTACCTCAGTCTTCTGGTAGAAGTAGTAGTAAACGGCAGAGACGCCGGTCACGAGGGTGAGGCCGACGCAGGAGATGAGATGGAGGGGTTTGCGCCCGAAACGGTCGACGAGGGAGAGGGCGACCAGCCCGAAGACGACCATTATCCAGGAGAACACCATGACGGAGATCTTGCCTTGCCAGAAGGAGTCACTCGGCAGAGTCGTCGAAGCGTAGGCCAGGATGCAGCTGATCCCGCCGGAACGTTGTAGGAACCCTTGCACTAGGATGATGATCAAACCTCTTCGGTTACCTTGAAAAAAACAAGAGAAAAGAGAAATTTTTAACCTGCGCGCATGTCATTTTTTCCGATGGCCACCAGAAAGACTGACTTAACTGGTTTCAGGGTCCGTCTTCGAAAAATAGGAGGAAAGTGGACTGATATCAAGCTACTCAGTAAAACATTACCGTAGCGTAGCATTCTGAAATCAATGTGATTCTAGAAGGACTAGGTTTTAGAAATGTTGTCATCATTGAAAAAAATCTAAAATGGTACCAGTTAATTATAGAAACTCAGATTATCGGGGTCTAAACACGGCTCGGAAGCCGAGAAAAACGAGGGCCTTAAAAGTGAAAAAATGATGACTTGTAAGTAACCTGAAGATATCAGCTAAGCGAAAAACAAAATTAAACAGAATAAAATATTCTCTAAAAAACTTTTTCATCAAATTCCCTTTTGAGATAACCGGAATCCTTGTTGTTTCGATGCAATTCTTGTCATGACAATGAGATGGGACAGCAAAGACTCTAGTTGTTTCAAGAAGGCATTCGATGTGAGGTGTACTGGAAAATTTGTCTGCGTGTGCAGGGAATCGAGTAAACCTACATTTTTTTCTCTAACGATTTACGAACTTTTAAATACGAAACAATCAATGAGACCCACAATCACAGTCAGGCGATGAAAAGAAATGTAAAAATATGCTTGCGCAATTTAGTCAACGTATAATCAGTTGGATTGATATAGCTTCTAACTTGGTGTCGTGCCAGCTGATTGGTACTAACTTAAGACATCACCGAAAAATAACATTCAAATCTCAGTACTTGTTATTCGTTCGTCGGTAAATAGTGCTTTTTTTCTAGTCGTAGGAAGAAGAGATAATCAAATGAAATTTGAAACTTGTGTAAGTTTGTTAATCCTGGTTATCCTTACCTTTCTCAGTGAACAAGTTAAGGATGCTCTTCTGACCGCTCATATCCTCGGCGACCTTCCTCTTGACGAGGGCGAACTCGGCCTCGTTGGCGGCGCCCTTGGACTGGTCGCGGACCCGGGCGAAGGCCTCGCCGGCGGCGGCGGGGTCGTCGCGGATGAGGTGGTAGTACGGCGACTCGACGATGAAGAGCGTGAGGAAGAGCCCGACGACCGGGCAGACGGCCGTGATGACGTTGAGCGTCGTGAAGGAGACGTAGGGCCCGACGGTCATGCTCACGACGGTGCCGCCCATGAGCATGACGATGAAGACGCCGGAGAGGGCGCCGCGGATCTTGGCGCCGGCGATCTCGGCGACGTAGAGGGTGGCCGCGGTGAAGCCGACGCCCTTCCCGACGCCGGCCAGGAGCCGGGCCAGGAAGAGGTGGTAGGGCGCGGAGGCGGCCAAGACGAGTGCGGAGGCGGCGACGAAGGCGAGCATGGCCAGCCGGAGGGTGAGGAGGCGGCCGTAGCGGTCCATGAGGTAGCCGGTCGGGATGGGGCTGAGGAGGTTGCCGAAGTCCATGAGCGCCACCGTCCAGGTCAGGTCGTCCGTCGTCATCGGGATGGGGATCTCGCCGCCGCGGAACTTAGGCAGCACCGCCGACATCCATCCCAGCCAGATCCCCGAGAGCAGGAGGGTCAGGAACGCTGCCGAAGACAAGTCAATTCTATTAGGGGCCGTCCCTGAATTACGTAATGATACATTTGCTGTTTTTTGACTTCCCCCAATTCATTCCCTGTAACGCTGTGCTAGATCTCCCCTAAAAAGTGTTACTTTGCATTCTTAAATTGAAAATATGGGACAAGAGGAGAAAATGCTAGTCCTGCGAAGTTTTTTGTTTAGGACCTTTAATTGGTTACATATCCAGGAGTTTAACATACTGTCCTGGAAAAGTGTTGATCAAAATTGGAGCAATACCCCTATTTGAATTCCTGGCACACCTCAAATATCAGAAATGCACAAATATATATGTCTGAGATTGAATTTACTTCAATTAATTATTCTTTTTCAGGCCTCTTAAACCATTTGATTTCCTCTTAGAATGCTTACTTCATTGAAATGGAGCGGCCAGGGTGCTTTTATCCACTCATTTTTAGCTTTTCATCATCAACCGCATAGTGCAACACTAAGCAATTATTGAACCTGAAATTGTTGGCTTATTCCCAGTATTGAATAGTGATGTATCAAGTACAGGTCCCCAACTTTCCAAAATTTTGATTTGTAAATTTTTTACCTGTGATCGACGAAACGATCTGGTTGAAAATGTGTCTTGGAATACAACGAGGCATCTTGACTTTGTAAAATTAACAGCTTTTCTCCGAAGTCCCGAGTAAAGGTTCCACCATTCAGTTTCCCATCAACTCAGAGCTGTGTTCTCCATTCAGTGGGGATCTTCCACTGATTTCAAATTTTGACAAAAGGGTCTGAGACTCAAAGGTCACCTGTAGGCATAATAAAATTATTTTTAATACTGTATTTAAGAGTGCCCTTTGTTTCTCACAGAAACAGCGTGAAAACTAACCATAAGAATCCCAAATGAAGATTTTTGACTGCATCTTAGCATATGAAATGTTTAAATTGCATTGGATAGTTGTAAGTCGTACCGAAACTCCACGTTTTCGCTGTGACTAAAATCCTCTGTCATATTTGATGACCTTCTTCACCAACACAGTCAAGCGTGCTTGATCGTCTAATTCGTGGATCTCGGGGGACTGTGTACACTCCGGCAGGCGCAGTATAGGCAATTTGCACATCGGCACGTAAATGTGACGGTGTGACGTTTGAGGTATATCTACAATATTGAAGGCGCTGAATCGGGTGCGTGTGGGCGCGTCATTTATCACCCGCTGCAGTAATTTGCATTTGCGGCGTCAGCGAACTGAAATTATAACAAGTGCATTCTTCTCGCTGGAAACTCTATAAATGCTTTAATTTTGATAAAAATGTATAAAGTAATGCTTGCACGCTGATATTTATGTAAATAATTACTGCTGCGCTTATGTTTGGTTGATATTATCCAGACTGCCTTTTTTCGATACACTTACCTCGACCGCGCTGATTTTTTTTTTTTTTTTTTTTTTTTTTTTTTTTTATTGTTTTCAAAATTACCTTCACTGCGGAAATTTTTCTGTGGATCGTTGGTGAAAACGTACCTAGAAAAATTTTCTGCATCCCTGTCAAAACTAACAGTTTCATTCTACTTTTCGTATTTATATCGTGCCACTTTATATGTTGTTACTTCAATGCTGATCGTCGTTAAATAAAATTAACTAACTAACTAACTAACTTCACGATTGACGAATTTCATAATCGGGATAACTTTGGCCTCGTTTCATCATCACTGTGGACTGTGGATAGTGTCACATCCTCCCTGCCCCCGGATCGAGAATACCAAATACGAGAGGCGCGCACCGTATATGAGAGTGGAGGGNGGGGGGGGGGGGGGGGCTTCAACTAATGCAATTAACCAGGAGCAATTGGAGTCATACCGCTCCCAAATGAAAATAGAGGGAGCTCAACTCGGAAATGATGATTCGACACCGGGCGACGAGTCCATGAAGGTCATACGTGAAGCGATGATGATGGGCCTGACGCGGAGTCGGTTTTAAGTGCGGTGCGAGTCCCGCATGGCACATGGCGTCGGTCCGGACCCCGGGGTTCGAGACAACCCCGGTGCATTCCGATCTGTTCAAGGGCGAGGTGACACATCGCCTGAGGCGTTGTGCCGCATCTATAGGGGCGAGAAGGGTTTATGATGCGCTGCGTATCGGTGCATCGATCGCTGTCGACTTTCTCACGATTCAAGTGATCAAACCGCATTGAAGAAAATAATCAAAGTCCTTTTTTTTTTACTTAAAAAAAAGCAATAGAAACTTTGATGTATAGAGAATTTCTTTTCTACCTAAACTATCTCTCGTGAAAGAGATAGATATATGTTTTCTGCTAGTAGACTTTTTTTTAGTATGGAAATGTTTTTCTTCTTATTTCAAATGTTCGTTTTTTCAAATTTTAAATTATTTATTTTCTTTTTAATTCAAATAATTTTTCTTTCACAGAAAATTAAAATTGTCACTGACAACAGTGTCACATTTTTTAGTCTGGGTATAAATAAATAAAACGGAGAAAGAAATTATTTCACTCAAAAAAAATTTTACCAAGCAAAAAAAGCTTCTTTTTTTTAAAATCCAAAACGATTTTTTGGGCAAAGAAAATGTCTACACATCACAAATTTTTGTCAGATCTAAAAAACTTCTTTAATCATTGTCTTATCGACTCTTCCTCTTATTTTTGCGCCGAAAATTACTTGACCAACCGCGGATTTTGGCGGTTAAGTCTTACTCGAACTTGCCGTCAAGAAACGAACTTATCAATGAACGCATTGTTTGCGCTACAGCAGTGAATAAATAACGATCAGGAAGCAATCCGCTTATCATTAGAAACGTCAGTGTTTACGCTCGCAACTGGTGAACTTCTAGTCATTTTAGAGATGACCTCACGGAGCTGTCAAGTATTACGCACTGAGGAGGTTTAGGTGGTCCCGGAGGCTACTTTACTCGGGGGTAGGTGGGGTAATTCTAAATCCTGTTCATGATTGTTTTTTTCAAAAATCGTGAATTTTGCATAGAAGATAATATTTCTAGCTAGATACTGTCAGATATTCGATGTATATTGAAAACTTTGAATTGAAGGTCTATGGTGAAACAGATCTTATTGGAGGCGTCCACAGGCATAATATTTTTAAAAATCACAAGAAAGATTTTTTGGAGGGAAACAGGGCAAGGAGAGCTGTATATTCCCTTACGCCTGTAGATAAGGGTTTGCCGTGGGGGTGTCTTGTAAATCAAAGAAGACGGGGGGGGGGGGGGGGTGGAGATTTGCACAAGTAAATTCCAAAGAGTGAGGCGACGAGGCCAAAATGGGGAAAATTAGTAACAAACTTTTACTGAAATATTGAACAGCGAAATAATTTTCAACTACATTATTAACAAGCTAATCCAGAAATTGAGTTCTAATTGTATCTTTGCAATGCAGGTAGAGCATATGGTCGCAACCCCTGCCTCCAGCCTATATCAAACAACATTTCTTTCGACCTGAGTAAGTTGAAAAATGTTGTAAATATCCTTACTTTTGATTCGGTTCGTAAGCTCAATGCAGTAGAAAGCCTTTGCTTTTTTTACAATCGGTTTACGAGCTTTTCCCAAGGAAACGATGAAATAATACCATGGCAACGGCTGTCAGCACATACGTTCAAATTGATGACATAAACAAACGCCAAAATTAAACTTTAAAACTGCGCGCGAACCAAACTCTTCAACGAGGAAATGTGTTGAACCGGATATTTGTAAACAAACACTGATTGATAGTGACGCTCTATGCAACTACAACTTTATGTTATCAGTTTGACGCACAAATATCACCAATTTCATATTTTTTTAATGATTTTTTCCATGAAAATACTTGTAAATTGAGCAACACTCACGTGAACGCGGAGACTTTTCTAAATGTCGCGTCGCTTTACCTGCGGAGGAGGATGGACTGGAGAGGATACCCATCCGGTCTTCAGCCCAAACGACCCGTTGGACTCGCGTTAGAGGCGCCAGTGATAATACCGATGCATCAATGCGTGTACCGTCCGCCGCACAATGGATTGAGTCAATGGGGGAGGTGGGACAAAATTTGGAAACTGCACTGAAAAAAAATCTCGGTTTATTTACTGAGAAAAGGGTAAAATTACTAAGAATTCAGGGTTTTATTTGATCCCAGTTTTTTCTTGGTAAAATTACCATTTATGGAATTGGTTGACTTTCTCGGTAGTTTTACTGAACCTTGGTAAAAACGCCAATAATTGTTTATCGACTGTGGTAGAATTACCGAGGTAAAATGGCAAAGTTACCAGGAATTGATTACCAATAAAAGTGGTATTCTTACCCGAAAAAACAGTAAAAATACCGGTTTTAAGGTAAGCTTACCAGTCTGTATTTGTAAAATTACCAATAATTGGTAAAAAAAAGTGAGATGGTAAAGGTACCAACGGACCTTGGTAAAAACGCCGATAATTTTTTTTCAGTGTGTTAAAGCTCATAACTCCGTTTCTGCAAAACTTTGAGGTCCTAAAAGTGATTCCGTTGGTTTCCACGTAAAATTTTCATCTAAGAGTATCCCTTAAAATTTAAAATGTGACGAATTAACCATCAAAATTTGCAGTTTTACTAAAAAATTTCATGTCCGACATCTCTAATTGACTCGATCCACCGTGCGCCGTTCGCAGCTCCATCGGCGTCGCCAGCTTGTTCTGGCATGCTAAGGAAAAAGGCCGTATAAACTTTCCGACGTTGCCTAATTTCTTCTGATAAAATACGAGTTTTTAAGGAGACTTGTATTTATTTTTCTCTCGATTTTTCATAGACTTTTATTTGTATTTTAATCTACAGTACCTGACATTTTCAAGGAAAAGTATTCATAGATTGCCTAAAAAATGAATGTTTTATAAAGACACATTTGGCAATATCCGTATGTTCATACGACGTTTCTCCATAGCTCGGCAGTGTTGGGATCAACACCCGCATCCTCTCATAAAAGAACCCGGTTCTTAAAACGGAATATGTGTATTTGGGGATTGACTCTACAGGACATGAGAATACAAGTACTCAAGGGCTAACTTCGTGATGCGTGTGTATGTTTTCTGTATATGATGGGTTAAAGAATGCTCGTAAATATATTCGATGTGGCCATCGGGGTAACCTTTTATTTACTATCCTCCGCACTCCGCAGGCTGGTGTTGTTGTCTTTCTCAACTGCGGATGACAGCTTGGAAGAACTGGTGCCTCTCTTTGATATTGTGTGGCATATGGCAAATAAGGCGGTACGAGAAATAGAATACTGCAGTGCTAAGGAAGAACGCCGTATGAACATCCGAGGGTTGCCAAATTTTCTCCAAATAAATGGTTTATTTTTGAGGAGAGCTATGAATATTTTCTCTCGAAATTTTCAGATAATTTAGATTTAGTTACAAAAATAATTATCCAAAAAATTGAACGGAAAATATCCACGAGCATTCCTGAAGATTCGTATTTAATCAAAGGAAATTCGGCAACTGTCAAAGGTTCATGCGGCGTTTTTCCTTAGCACGGCAGAATAAATGTGACGATTTAGGCGCGAGAAGTAGAGACTTCTTTAGTAACTCAGTTATCGTGAACTGTTAATTTCAGGGAATCAAAATTTCCTTATGGGCAAAGATATTGCTCCAGCTCTCTAATAAGCTTCGGATTAAGAAGTATACCCAACAAGCCCATCACATGTATACTTTGGAGAGTATTGTCTCTAAATTGATCTCTAATTGATTTACAGTTCTAGGCCTTTCGTGAAGCAACCACTCAGATCAAACATGACCTAGAGGATTATATATTTTCCAGCGAAAAATGAATAGCTTTTACACAATTACTGTGAATCTCGGCAAAAATATCGATCGAAGTTCGTTTAGGACTAATGCAAAATCTGAATATCCTTATCACGTCTCAAACTGTTTTAACATTTCTTTTGTTTACATCGGGTCCTATGGGTTCCATGAAAGTCTGAAACTCACAGACCAAGCAGAAAGAGGCACAGCTTTTCGTCTTTAAAAGAACCGAGATACCAATTTGCTCTCTATCTAGCCATACTCTGTTTAAAACACCTCAAATCGGAGGAAGCAAGTTATTCTCAAATTGTTCACTGCTTGAGCATAAAAAAATGGTTTGTTTTACTTTGAATTTTGATGAGATAACGTGTAAGAGAATCAGTTTCTTAGTAGTTGAACATCGCAACACGCAATGTTTCCGAAAAGTTTTCATTTACTCGGATACATTTCATCCGTAAAATTAACTCTTTCTTGTTTTATAATTTTAGTTTTAATCTTGCAGTTAATGATTTGGTTGTTTTTATGATTTTTATTTTAATTTTTCTGATGATGAGCCTTGTCCCTTCAAAATTCATTCTAGTGAATGAAGGAATTTCCGTAAACATTGTGTGTTACAAAGTACATATACCTAATCCTCTTAGTTCCAATCACAAACGAAATCTGAGTTGACATGACATTAAACATCCGTTGTAGTGCTTTATTTCGTTTCTCCTCCAGTGATTAATTGGGCCACATTTTGCAGTTAGGAGCTTTTTCTACGTTATTTGTAAAAGCACCTATCTGCATAGGGTAACATCAGGTAACTTTGTTTCTAAAATGAGGCATGAAAAGTAAGTCCGTGTTGCAAAATGCAGTCTAATTGTTATGCGTGTGGTTTTAATAAAGATGCACAAACCTGAATGTGGCGTGATCCAATGCACTTTCCCCGGCTTTGCAGCACTGCACCGCGTATTACACGATTTTTGGATGTAATTTGAGGATCGATGTGATGATGACGGAGTTTGAAGATATATTTGAATACCTTATCTTCTCTAAAATTTCGATAAAGAAGCGTGCCCGACTGTTGTGAGTCTTTGAACCTTGCTCGCGATTAAATTCGACGATTACATTCATTCGGAGGCAGTGGCGTGGCGTGCTTTGCAATATATCGATTGATCTGCCATTTAAACCTATGAAAAAGGATCGATAGACAGGATGTTCGCAACAAACACCTTTAGAATCGACTCTTTACCACAGCTTCAACTGGGGATAGATCGATAATCGATCATTTACGCCACGCCACTGTTAAACTCGACGATTACATTCATTCGGAGGTGTTATATTGCTTTGTCACACGGCGCTATGCAGTGATCGTTTCGTTTATCAGCGGGTTTAGCTGTAGCCCTGTGGAATCCTCCCGCTGCTTCACTTGAAAATTATGTCTTTTTTCCCTGTTTAGAAGCTCTCTTAATTGAGGCGTTGGGTGTACTGCCTTGCTAACATAGAGTACATAGAGTCGTAATGTAAATGGGAGAGCTGGCGCCATGTTCAGCTCGCCGAGTTCGGGTCACTTTTTCGATACATTTTCGATCCAAAATGGCGGTGTGGAATACGTGGTGATTCCTATCTTCTTTGATTTACATTGGATGGCCGGATACCCGTGTATCGCAAACAATCGATTATGTATCGAAAAATTGACCCGGCGTCCCACAGGAGTCTCGGAATTCGGGACCTGGAAAATGCTTAAAAGTGGCGCCAGCTCACCCACTTACATTACGACTCTATGTACTCTATGCTTGCCAAGGAAGAACGCCGTATGAACATTCGAGAGTTGCCAACTTGTCTCCGGTAGAATGTTAATTTTTAAGGAGCGTTACGAATATTTTTCCTTTAAATTTTCAGAAATTGTAGATTGACTTGCGAATGAAATCATGTGAAAAATTGGGAGGAAAATTTTCACAAGTTTTCTAGGAAATTCTCGGAAAATTTCAAGAAAAATGCCTGCCTTTCCTAAAGAAATTTAATGAAAAAAACGAACGGTGATTACCAAATTCGCAATCGGAGGAATGCATTTTCTCAGTCTCAGGAATTCAGGAAATTCTCGGAAAATTTTAAGGAAAATGTCGGCTAGTTTTCCTGAAGAAATTTAATAAAAAAAACGAACGGTGACTACCAAATTCGCAATCGGAGGAATGCATTTTCTCAGTCTCAGGAATTCAGGAAATTCTCGGAAAATTTTAAGGAAAATGTCGGCTAGTTTTCCTGAAGAAATTTAATGAAAAAAACGAACGGTGACTACCAAATTCGCAATCGGAGGAGTGCATTTTCTCAGTCTCAGGAATTCAGGAAATTCTCGGAAAATTTTAAGGAAAATGCCGGCTAGTTTTCCTGAAGAAATTTAATGGAAAAAAACGAACGGTGATTACCAAAGTCGCAATCGGAGGAATGCATTTTCTCAGTCTTTCTATTGTTTTTTGCGCTAAATTATACGTAAACTGTAACAAAATCAACACAAAATGTATGCTGGTTCTTAAATTAACCAAATGTAACACAAGAGTACAAATATTCTAGTACTCGTTGTCCCGTCGTACATATTTTTAGTGCCTCGTTTGTATTGTATGGTATTCTGTCCGGATCCGCGCCGAAACCATAGCGCGAAATGTTGTTTCACGCCGAGGAAAAAAACGCCTGCAATTGTACCCGCTGCATCCAGCAAAACGTGTTGTCTCGGTGGCGATGATCCAATCGTATATGCTGCTATTTTGCATCATAAAATTACCTCTACTTTCCTCACAACTGAAAGTATTATATTCGATCCTAATACCTAGCAACCCTAAATTGCAGTGTAAGCTGGACGGACGCAAGCTTCTTTGAAATGTTTCACCATCACCAAGCATGCCCTCTACTCTTTTGCCGATCAATCAAGTGTGTTAAACTTTATATCCAATACCTCGATCCGTGTCATCTACGAGAGGATTTTTTAACCCACGTCAACTGCTACACCTAGAAAAAAAGCGTTCCTGTAAACATCAATAGCCGACGATTTTACCGCCCTCCAACCTACTAACCTAACCTAACTCTAAATTTTTATTCCAAAGCTTATTTTTCTATTGCGTGTAGAGGATGGTCTCCGTGATTCCATTAATTTTACGTAATCTGTTGAAAAAAAAAAGTACGTAAAAGTGCAGATAACAACGACGGTCACAACAGATCGTATCAAATTACTTAGTAAAATTAATATCGGCTCCCCATAAATATTCATCCAATTGTCCTCGCAATTCTACACAACTCGCTTTATATTTTTCAAGTTTTTTTTTTTTTTTTTTTTTTTTTTTTTTTTTTTTTTTTTTTTTTTTTTTTTTTTTTTTTTACCTGGATTTTCTAATCAGTTGTTTCCACTCAAGGGTCACTTTTCCCTGCGGTGTCCTTTTAAAATGAACAATTTCATTCCGTTGAAAAGATTTTCTAATTTTACCATTTTAGTAAACAACGATATTAAGATAATGACTGATGGAAATACATTCAGTAATAATTAAATTATATTCTGAGTTATAGAAATTGAATAAACCATTAATATAAATACTATTATTTTCCATTGTTATCATATTTTTCTCTCTTTCTGTTACAGGTAATGACTGTGTTTATCGTTATCATGAGTTTTCAGCCGTAAGTGATGCACTTGTACTTTGAATGCATGAATTACTAATCTTATGAAAACGATCGCAAGTTCGTTTTGGTAAATGAAGACCGAGTAGCTCCTGAGACGTGATTTTAAATTAGAACTGTGTGTTTCAATCTATCAATGTATTGCAGATTCTTAAACTTTTCCCGCGCGGGTTGTCGCAAGAGCTCTTTTTGAAATTAAGTATATAACACGGGGAAAACACATTGGATCTAGAGCCAGACTCTTATAAACGTCGACAGTAAAAAGTACTCTTGATTCGATCAGAATCTCGCTAAAATCAAGAACTAAGTCTCTTAATTTAGGCGGATTTAGTTTTGATTCAAGCAAAAATCCGATTGAATCAAGAGTAATTTTTCTTGTCAATTTTTTCAAGAGTCTGGACTCTATATCCAATGTGTTTTTTTTCTCCAGTGAACGAATACGTAATGTGCGAGCTCCGAAGAACATGGGGTCGAGCCTTACTATTCCCCTCCCCCCTTCTCCTGAAAGGTAAATTTCTATAAAAACTCGCACCCGACCGCAGGAAAAAAGTCCCTAGTACTAATAAACTCACAACTGCGATATTTTTATCTGCGTAATGTCCCCACCGCCGCCGCCGCCGAGCGACTTGTCAAATGAAAAAGAGACAGCCGAAACAAAGACTCGAAGCGTCACGGACGAAATCTGAAACACTGAAAGATGACAGGGACTCAGGTAGCCGACAGACACCACTCCGACTTCATTAACATGCAAATTGTTCGTTCGTAATTGAAAGTGCTCAAGCTCACGACCAACAGTCACAGAGCTATAGTTCCCGCCGCAGAACTTACCGGCGCACAATGGATCGAGTCAATAGGAGAGGTCGGACACAATTTGGTAACTTTAAACGCCTATATCTCCGTTTATATAAAGCTTTGAGGTTCTGAGAGTGGTGTCATTGGTTTTCTCGTAAAATTAGATTCCAGAAACACCCCTTGCAGTTGAGGATGTGACAAAATCAACATCAAAATTTGCAGTTTCAGTCAAAAATTTCATGTCCAACCGCTCTAATTGATCCGGTCCACTGTGCGGCGGCAGCTTGAGCGCGAATCCTCTCGCAAAAAATCGATGGTCCTTGCTTTTAAATAGATCGTATTCGATGCATCAAACAGGTGAGATTGGATCGATATCGATTGGTTCAAAACATAAACATAGCCTCAAACGCCAATTCAAAAATCTGAGGGAACGGGTCTTTTGAAATAGATTTTTTATTCTTTTGAGTACCAAATGCCAATGCAAAGTGAAATTGTGAGGAATTTTCTCATTTTCAGCTTTTCCAACCTAAATCCTAATTGTTTTGTTTGAGGTTATGTTCTATCGTTTTGAACCAAACGATACATCGAACCACTATCGAATACGGTCTATATCGATTGTCCGTAGCTTTTTATTTTTTCGTACACTCCGAGCAGGAGTTTCTCGTGAAAAAAAACGATCACCGATCATTTCCAGTAATACGAAAAAAGCGCGGTAGGAGTGTAGGGTGGTGATACAGTTTGGAAAAACTTGAAATACATGAAAATTTCCGCGAATTGAAAGGAAATATCAAAACAAGATTTTAAAGTTAGATGCAAAAGTCAAGGAACTTTGGTGGAGGTATAATGAGTTTTTCTCTTTGAAGTGAATATCGCCCTGACCAGAGCGGCTGCGGATTTCTATTTTCTCGAAAGTCATGGTATTTCTCTAATACTAGCCATGCAGTGAGCTGATTATTGAAATTGATAGACAAAGCGATAGACGAAGAAGATACCGGAAGTATGGAGCGATCCTTCTGTTTGAAATGGGTGGTTTCTATAGATTGAGGGAGAAAAAGATGGACTAACTATAGGGTCTCTCGTGGGTTGCCGTTAGTCAGCTTAGTACCTACCTCCTTTGTCCACTGCAACCACCCGCTTCCACCAATAGGATCCCTTCACGTCCGTTTCGTCTTCTTTGTCTATAGCTTTGTCTATCAATTTCTATAATCGGTCCGTAGGGAATGTTAATGTTCGCGGAAAATAAGAAAATTTCGATGTTTGATTTCAGTCGGCACCCTAGAGTGCTCGAACCAGAAAAGTTTTTAGTTTTCATCCTAACAATCGAAACGTTTAACTATGATCTTGAATCGAAGTTTTCAAATTTGAACGCTCCAGAGTCTGCGTGTATGAATTTGAAACTTAAATCACAAGAGAGGCAAAATCATCTTCACATTGCGTTGATTGATGATTGTTAAGTGTCGATTGTCGAACACGGAAAGAAGCTGGTTCCTAATAAAAGCTAGTCGTAAGAGTTTCTCAAGTTTTAATTTCTGAATCCCATATCTTTTGAGTCGTTAATCGGTTTACTTAATTATTCATAGAACGAGTGCTTTGGAAACAAACGTGAACGCACTAGAGTACCCACTTGCAGGTACTTACCTCTAGCACCCTGCCATTAACCCCGGAGAGTTGACGTACGGTGGAAAATAATTCAGCACATCGAAATGTTATTTCAAAACTTCATCCGAATATACACGTGGATTATTCAGAAGTGGTTCAAAATAATTCGGACCCATTACCAATATACCAGGGAGTTCTTCATGGCCGCCTCTGGGCAGTAAACAAACCATTCGGAAATTAGAGCACGGTTGAGCCGATAGCTGCAGAAAAATCACGGAAATCGTCCTTGTATATATGGACTGCATTTTGCAATTTGGAACTACAATTTCTAGCTCAGTTTAAAAACAACGTATGTACCATTAGTTTCCCTATGCACATAAGTGTTTTTACGGATGAGTAAAAAATTGTAGTTCCGAATTGCAAAATATAGTCCATATGTAGATGCAAGGTGTTCTGGAGACCTTACCCTTACCTGGCTTTCATTTTTCAAATATTACAATTGAATCGCTTTTTGTCATATGGGCGTATGTTCAAAAATTCATGAGCCCTAGCGCCCTGCGTGATCAACGAAAGCCAGGGCTCATGAGTTTTTGAACTTTCGCCCGTCTAACGAAAACCGATTCAATGTTAGAGTGCCCCTTAATTGTGCTGCTCGGAGAGCTTTGTCAATGCCTGATTCCTCGAGGACAGTTTAGTTGGAGAACCATTTTTTCTTGAGCTCTTACGGCTATTTAGCGACTTGGGGTGTTGTCGAAGGGACTTGATCTATAGGAGTCAGTATTTTCGACGGAAATGGGCCGATTTTGGACTTTCCAGCATTCAGTAACGTATAACTTTCCTGCATTCACTGAATTTGACCTAATAAAACGTCGACATTTTGACTAGAAACCAGACTTTAAATGGACTGCATTTTGCATTTTGGAACTATAAATTCTGGTTCCTCTGGAAAAACACTTATGTGCATAGGGAAACTAATGACACACACCTTGTTTTTAAACCGGGCTAGAATCTATAAGTCCAAATTGCAAAATGCAGTCCAAATGTCAGAACTCCTAGACAATAGAATTCAGATCCCCTGATTCCGTACCCCTTGACTTCATCCAAGTTGGATTAACCTAGATCAAAGCCTGTCACTTCTGGCATGGGTACTTGGGATACCCTTGTGTGTACACATGATGAAAAATACATAGTTGAAGGATTAACAATAATGCTTGTGCAAAACTTACGGTGATATTACTTTTAGATTTTCAATGATAACATCTCGCCGAGAAAATGGAGCTATGCAAAAAGATGTTATCCATTTATCATTTAATACTTTCTAAAATTATATTTTATTTCTTTAAATGACTATCATCAGGAAGTAATATCATACAAAACAAAATATCCTATGTACAACATACATCAAATAGTCTTACCTTCATAGAAGGCATCATTGTAGAATTATGACAACTTTTACTCCTCTTTTTCCTTTGAAGCAAGTCTGTTGCTCTCAATGAAGAATACATTTTGTCCTCGTCCAGAGAAAATTATTTTCACTTATGATTTTATGGACTAATCGCACACATCGACGACCAAAGTGCGAAACCACGCATCTCCCTTTGGAACGTTGCAGACTTTCCGTCTTATTATATCTTTATTCTAGAAAACTAGTCAACGTAATTGCTTGAAATCTTGCTCGAATTTTCCTCACTGTTAGCAGAATATTCGGTTCAAATTTCAACTAAAGTTGGCTAGTTTTTCCTTGAAAAAACAAAATAAGAGCGAAAATTTTGAAACACTCAATGGATATACGTGCTTTCGCACCTCGGTCATCGACATACTGTCTTTGACATAAGCGAGATATTGTACCTTCATTGAAGGTACAGCATTCCGCAATTGAAGGTCCTTCAATTGCGGAATGCTGTCCGTCTAGACGCGTAGGTGGTTCCGCTTGCCAAATTCGGTATCGGAGATGAACGGTTTAAAAGAAGGAACCACGTTTTGGTTTCCACTGGATCACCGCATTCACCGCACCGTGTATCTACCAACGAGCTCTTACAAACGCACTGCCGTTTTCCAAAAAGCGGTCGCTTTGAAGTGACCAGATCTTTTCTTCTCCGACAAACTTAGGTTCCTTTTTTCATAATGTCATCCGGTCTAGTGCTGCAATTTCCCGGAATTTCCAGCTATTCTCGAAATTTTCCCGGAATTTTGGGGGGTTTTGTCAGTTTGACCGTTAATTTGATCAACTTTGATGATTTTCATCTTATTAATTTTTTTTGTTTTCATCAAATTTAACGCTCTCCGGAACAAATTTCGGGCGTATCTCGGAATTTTTTCCCGGAACTCTTGAAAAAATCGGAAATTTTCTCGGAACTTTGGAAAATTGGAAGAAATTCCGGGAACCCCGGAATCTTCCGTCAAATAAACTGGCATCACCGATATCACGGAAGAATTTGTGCTCAGTTCACGCTAGGATTCTATCAGTGACCGAGGATGGCTTGGATCTCGGCGAGCGTTTTGCCCTTGGTCTCGAAGACGCAGAAGAGAGTGAAGAGGGAGCAGCAGAGACTGCTGAGACTGAAGAAGAGGTACATGGCGTAGACGCCGATGCGGTGGCTGACGGTCAAGTAGAGTTTGTTGGTGGCGAAGGAGCAGATGGACAGGACGATGGTGGCCAGGGCCGAGGCGTGACCCTTCACATTGGTCGGCAGCAGCTCGCTCTGCAGGGTGTGCGGCACCTGAAGATTGTCAAAAATGAAACATGCTGTATACAATTTTGTTTTAAAAAATTATTCGCAAAGTGTCTAGTGGCCGGGAAATCAGGGAAAACGCCAGGGAATCCGCAATAATTCGGCATGTCAGGGCATTTTATTTTGCAAGCGATTTTCGTGTCAGTGAAATGTCAGGGAAATCGAAAAACACGGATATTTCGGAAAATGTGTTTTCTATTTATTTTTCTTCTTTTTTTAAGGAATTTTATTTAAGTATAACGTAACTACTACAAGTATCTCTTTCCCTTGTATCTATCTCCATGATTTAAAACTAAAACTAAACGAATTGCATTAAATTTACAGAGTAACGTTAGATAATACAACGATTATCTGGGAAAATGTTCAAATTTTACTCTTGCGGAGATTTCTATCAGAATTTCTGCTGGTGTCCTTTGAATTTTAAAAGTGAGGCAAAAATATCTCGCCTAAGTTTAGGCATCCTATATTATGCTCTATTTATTACAATATATTCCTAAAACATGGAAAAATTCTCACCAACATCTCATGTCTTCAAACGTGTTGAAAAATTAAGAATATTCTTCCTGTTTGTCACGAAAATGTTAGGGAATCAATTTTTTCCGTCAGTCAGGGAATTTTAATTTTTCCAGGTTTTTGGCCGTTTTTGTCAGGTAAATCAGGGAAATGTCAAGGATTTTTTATAGTAAACATTTCTAGACACCCTGAGACGCGGACGCGGCCGGGTCAAGCGCGTTCGTTATAGATTAGTATTCTTCGGGCGAAATTACGAGTTCTAGAGTGGTAAAATAGGTACATCGATGGCCAACCTGCAAATCTAGTATAGATACTACCTTGTTGCTCTAGCTGAAGTTTGCAACTGGTCCATTACCTAAACATCCCTGCTGCGTTGAACAATTGGACCACATTTTGCATCAAGGAACCACTATTTCTGGCTCATTTTGGAAACAGCATACATGTCATTGGTTTCCCTATACAGGAAGGTGATTTTACGGAAAAGCCAGATATAGTGGTTCCTTATTGCAAAATTGGACTACATTTTGCAATTAGGAACTATGAATTCTGGCCCGGTTTAAAAACAACGTATGCACCATTAGTTTCCCTGTGGACCTGGGTGTTTTTTCAGATGAGCCAGAATTTATAGTTCCACACGGAGAAAAAAACTTCGTGCGTGGGACCCGAAGTTTAGGTCTTATGGATCTCTGAAGTTTTCGGATTGAGCATCCGAACACTTAAGGTCCAGCTGCTGAGGTTTGGATCACACGTCTGAAACTTCAGTTCTTACATCTGAAGCACTTCGGGTTTCACATCCGAAAAACTTCGGTTCTCACATCTAAAGTACTTCAGATGTAAGAACTGAAGTTTCAGATGTGTGATCCGAACCTCGACAGCTAGACCTGAAGTGTTGAGATGCTCAATCTGCAAACTTCGGAGATCCATATGACCTAAACTTCGTGTCCCGTGCACGAGGTTTTTTTCTCCGTGCAAATTGCAAAATGCAGTCCAATTGATAGGAGAACCTTGGAGTCTTACCTGGCCGAGACCGAAGGCGTAAGCGATGCCGAAGAGCATGATGCCGAGATGGGGCATGAAGACGTAGTCGTGGACGTCGTAGGGGGTCTGGTAGGCGAAGTAGTAGTAGATGGCCGACTGGCCGGTGAGGAGGCTGAGCGCGAGCGTGGAGGCGATGAGGAGGGGCTTGCGGCCGAAGGAGTCGATGACGCTGGTGGCGGCCACCCCGGCCACGGCCCCCGCCCACCCGAACACGATGAGCGTCACCCGCGGGTCCCACCACTCCCAGCCGCCCCCGCCGTCGCCCGACGGAGCCGGCAGGGTCGTCGAGGCGTAGGCGAACACGCAGCTGATCCCGCCCAACCTAAGGACAAAAACCCTCGTCAGTTTTGGGGTATGATGGCCAGGACCAGAAATGCAAAATGAAATCTCATGGAGTGAAATTTCTAGCAGAGATCGCTAGATAGAGAGGGAGAAAAAGGGGGAAGAGGAGACAAATATGTAATAAGCAGGGAAAAAATTAGGGAAGATGGAAGAAGGATAAAAAGGAGGAAAGTTAGAAGAAAAGTAGTAGAAAGAAGTTTTTATTCCTATTCTTCTTCTCCTCCTCTTTCTTCACATCTTCTCTTTCTCTTCTTATTTTTCTTCTTCTTCTCTTCTTTCTCTTCCCTTTTTTCTCTTTCTCATCTTTTTCACCTCCTCTTCTTCAGCTGCTTGTCCCTTTTCATTTCTTCTTCTTTTTTTTAATCCTCTTTCCAGAGATAGATAGATTTTTCGATGGATTTAACCTGGTGTCTGCCTCTGCCTTTCCACATGTTACGTCCCTACTTTCCTCTTATGCCGTATTTTGTTTAAGCAGCTCCAAATAACATAACACTTTGAAACTGTATGTGACTCCCTCGTAGCGCCCCGTCTCATAATCCAGGCGCGCTGAAGCAGAATCTTTTTCTGTTTAAACGGGGAAAAACTCACACAATTTTAAGCTGTTATTTAGATTTGAGTCGAAAATAATAAGATTCAAGAGAATGACAGGTGGCGTCTATTGTAGTTAGGCCGAATCTTGTTGAATTCGTACAATTGAACATCATTAGCAATTAAGAACTACAATATCTGGCGCATCCATAATAACACTCATGTGTAAAGGGAAACTAAAAGCGCACACGTTGTTTCTAAACTGAGCCAGAAATTGTAGTTTCTAATTGCAAAATGTTGTCCAATTCATCCTCATCTGACATAATATGTTAGGCCTCACGATCTAAGTCCTCTCTGACCAAGGTCAACGCTATCCCAGTAAGAATACTACACTGAGAAAAAAACTTCGTGCATGGGACCCGAAGTTGAGGTCATATGGATCTCTGAAGTTTTCGGAAAACTTGAGGTCCAGTCACCGAAGTTCGGGTCACACATCTGCAAGTATCCGGTACATACCTAAGTACTTCAGATGTCTGACCCGAACTTCGGCAGCTGGATCTCAAGTTTTTGGATGCGTGATCCGAAAACTTCCGAAATCCATATGACCTCAACTTCGGATCCCATGCACGAAGTTTTTTTCTCCGTGTAAATGAAGATTGTAAGAACCTTTGAAAAGCGTTGACGACGAGGAGTATCTTGAGGGCCTTCCAGTTGCCGGCGTCGCGGAAGAGGGTGCCCCAGGTGGCCGGGCTGGCCATGTCCATCTCGATCTTCTTCTTGATGGCCTGGAGCTCGGCGTCGTCGCTGGCCCGGGGGCCTCGGAGCCGGGCGAGGGCGGCCCTGGCGGCGGGCTCCCGCCCCTGCATGAGGTGGTAGTAGGGCGACTCGGGGACGAGGGCGCTGAGCAGGAGGATGGCCACCGGGAAGAGGAGGGTGATCCAGTTAAGGCTCGCGAACGACATCCACGGCCCGAACGTCATCGAGCACGCCGAACCCGTCTGCAGCATTATCACGAAGATCCCGCTCAGAGCGCCTCGGATCTTCGCACCTACAAATCGAAAACAAAATGAGATCACGAAATATTTCACGAAAAGTTCAAGCATTCATAATTTTCTTTCGAATAATGCCGCTGTGGTTTCCCTCCATTGAGAAGTACACTAGAAAAAAGACACATTGGATCTAGAGTCCAGACTATTAAAAACATCGACAAGAAAAAATACTCTTGATTCAATCGGATTTTTGCTCAAATCAAGAACCAAGCCTCTTAATTTGAGCGGATTTCCTTTTGATTTAAGCTTAAATCTGACTGAATCAAGAAAACTTTTTCTTATCAATGTTTTCAAGAGTCTGGACTCAAGATCCAATGTGTTTTTTTTTTCAGTGTCGGAGGAAACAACAAAAAGAATCGAAGGAGGAGAGGAAAAAAAATTATGAAAAGAAGAATCATGGTACAGTAGACTCTGGATTATTCGGATTAATTGGTGCCGGGCCCGATTCGGATGAAAAAGAAATCCGGATATTAATAGTAAACACAAACACCACCAACCAACACCACAGTATTCTTATTATGTATACATCATGTATATACCAACACGTATTTAAAAGGTTAACGCCAAACTGAACGACTCAATGGTGATTGTGAATTGTAGCCGACAACGATAAATTACAATACAACGATTAAAGCGCGCAATGCGTGAAGTATTCATGCAGTCTTGTAGCCGCTAATGTGCGTTTTAGGCTAACCAATCGACTGCACTGCGTTTGGCGTAATGCGAGAAGTATTTATACAATCTAGTAGGCGCTAAAGCGTTCCACGCCGACCTCACTGTTTGGCGCAATGCGTGAAGTATTCCTTCAGGCTTGCAGGCGCCAATATGCCTTGCGACTGCTTCTCCGCGGATCCGCTCACTTATCGGAATGCGCACGTAGTTACATGGTTGCAAAATCGATCCGGATAATCCAGAGTCCGGATAATACGAAGCCGGATAATCCAGAGTCTACTGTATTATGAATTTTTATTCGAGATTATTTACTTACATGCTGGTTACGAATGGTCTGGCCACTGTAATTCCTGTGCTATTCGTTTTATCTGCCAGTTATATTGTTAATAAATTATTTTTCTTTTGCTTGTTTATCTGTCTGATACCACCATGTAGATTTTATTTTCTATTTTCTCTGTTTGCTCTGAAGATGGCCCTGACAGGCTGAAAAGGCTTTCAGCATGTAATCATTGTAGCCATACATGTAACCAGTATGTATAGTACGAAGATTCTTCTTTTTATAATTATTTTAGCATACGGCACTACTCAATCAAAGATGTTAGAAGGATAGAACGATTGGCGTGCAATAATACTCGATAATCTACAAACGTATTACCTGGAAATACTTGATCTTAACTAGAATTCTATTTTTAATCCGGCTATGCTCGTAGCTGAAAAAACAAACAAATACGCGATAGTGACGGCTGAGTGGACGGATCTTACCTGCGATCTCACCGACGTACATAGGCGCGACAGTGTAGCCGATGCCCTTGCCGACACCGGCAAAGAGGCGGGCGAAGTAGAGGTGCTCGGGCGTGGAGGCGGTGAGGGCGAGCGTGGAGGCGGCGGCGTAGGCGAGGGCGGAGAGGCGGACGGCGTTGAGGCGCCCGAGGCGGTCCATGAGGTAGCCGCTGGGGATGGGGCTGATGAGGTTCCCGACGTCCATGAGAGCCACCATCCAGGCCACGTCGCTCTCCTCGACCTGGATCGGGATCTCCCCCGACCGGAGCTTCGGCAGCACCACCGAGACCCATGACAGCCACAGCCCCGAGAGCAGGATCGTCAGGAACGCTGGGACATAAGGACAACGGATCAATCAGATCCAGAGACATAAAGACGGAGTGCTCGTATCTAAAAGCACGGGGGAAAAGTGAAGCCTGGTTTGGCGCTGGGTGCTTGTGTGAGTGTGTAAATGAGCGCGGGAATCCATGGCGGCAAACGGAAATTTGATTTGAACTTGTCCTCTTGATTTTTCCACATTTCTTCTTCGAACCGTATTTTAAATGCCTAAAACGAATATGGTAAGAAAGTTGGGACTGCGTCCTACTATAATGCACCTACTTTTGCTCTGTAACAGGCAGTAATCTCAGATAAAGTTAGTTTTTCTTCTGCTCATGGTGGTTCTGCAGGTTCAAACAGGCCGTTACAGTTCTAGATGAACGTTACTCCCAAATGAAATTAATCGGTCGACGACGGACCAAAGCTAACCTAAAGTTAAAGAAATGTGAGTGGGTAAGTGAATTTGGGCAAAAATTAACCTAAAATACTTTGTTTCCGCAATTTTATTTAGTTCCCGCCCTACATTTGAATTTCAAACTTGTCCCGATTTCGCCGCCAATCCTCCTGCCAATAGTAGAGGTGGTTGAAAAGAAGCTTCATTTTTTGCTTTTAGCCCTCCGTCTTTATGTCTTTGATCAGATCACATTTGGACCGCGTTTAGCAGAAACGAACCAAGCCACATCAGCCATTGCCAAAAACCGGGAAATTCCAGCTTTTACAAGAGAACGTTTGTGCGGATTCCTTTGAACATTGCAAGGAATCTGCCTCGCACTATACAGAGGATTCTCTGAAATTCGCACAAAAATCCGCACAACCTTTTTCATGTAAAAAATGAATTTTCCCAATTGAATTTGGACACAGATGTTGTGGCTTGGTTCCTTGTTGCTTAACGCGGTTCATGTTGCAATAACGTAATTTTGTGAATTCTGCCGCGATAGCGAAGAGAGCCACAAGGGGCCGTCTATAATTTACGTAACTCGGTGATTTCATCTGAAAGAGTTTTCAGAAATTTTGAGGGGAACTCGATTCCAAAAATTTGAGAGTTACGGCTCTCCTCGTTATTATGGCAGAGTTGGTGCGTTAAGTTCGCCTTCAATTTAGTGTGATACTGTGCCACGCTCGGGTGGTCGAATAGTTGCATTGCGTTTTCGTGTGTTAACTTTAACTATAGGTCCAGTACACTTTTATTGTTATTTCTAAAAATCCAGCTACTTTGCCAGCCGTGGTAGGAATAATTAGGAACTACTACTCCCAGCTCATTTTAGAAACAATGTGCAGATAAGCAGATGTGCAATATGCAGATAAGTTTTTCTTTTACAAATGAGTTCCCTAGAAATTGTATGCAAAATGAAGTCCAATCAGACGTCAACGAAAACGGAGTTTATTTACAATCCTACTTTAGGTATCGAGAGACCTAAGAGACAAGTAACGAACACATTTTCGGAGATGCTTTCAGAGGTAGCGCAGCACCTCTATGTGAAAGCACCTCCAACTTGTTAGCTAAACAACTCAGCATGCGTCAGGAAATTTTCCATCAAAATTTACAGCAATTAGTTTAATGCTCGATTCAACGCAAGGAAACCTCGGTTCACTGCGAGCGAGAAATGTGAATTGACGCATTCCGAAACCTCTATTTTCTATTTTGTGCATGAGATGAGTTTGGAAGCTTCTGACTTCGTCCATTGTGCTCTGCGAAGATTTTGATAAGGAAGCATAAACTGTCGTGCTTTTTTTCCTACTCTGATAAGTGATTCACCAGTACTCCCACCTAAAACAAATCTACTGACTTGGCTTGGACAAAAGAGCTCGCCTGGTTTTTTTTTTTTTTTTTTTTTTTTTTTTTTTTTGGGGGGGGGTAAAAATTTAGAACTGTTAGAGAGCAGTAAGTTCGCTAAACTCGGCATCATTTCCGAAAAAACAGCAGTGAGTAAGTGAGTATACTCAGAGCCGGGAAAGGGTAGTATGTCCTGCTTTCTTGTGCAAATCGGCACCTTTTTTGCCGACTTTCAACCTTAAACTTTCTTCGTTATTAGTTAAAAATCTAACCACGTACGGCTATTTTGTCTACCATGTAAAATTTTTCAGCTACTAAAATTAATGACCCAGGTGTTGATTGATGCCTAATTTCAAGTAATTTGGCTGTAGAGCTGTTTAAAGTGTCAGGGAAAAACAGTTAAGCCACCCTTATTTGCTCTCTAAAATGGGTTTAATTACGTTTTGAACTACAAATTTTGCGTGAAAACTATTTAAAATTATGTCTTTTTAATCATTTGGCATATTTCCAACCGTCAGGGAATTTGACGAAAATGTTTCAGGGAAATCAGTGGAATGTCAGAGAAATTCAGTTTCTAAATTTTCCGAGCAAAATCGGAAGAAAAGACATGAAAGAAAAACAAGGCCTACCGGTTAGCGCGGCGAGCAACTGGGAGAAAATCCCGTGGAACCCGAGTTCCATTTGTGGTTTGGCGATTGGGCGTGGGCAAGGGTGAGGGTGTTGCACTTTTTGCAGTCCATCCAAGGCCCCCTCGAAGCGCGGAACGAAGCACCGAACCGGACTCGGGACTCCAACTGTGGCATTGAACCGCGGATTTCGCGCGAGCTTCCAAGACGTCCCGCTCCGGACTGACGCCGGGCCTAGAAAAGCGTCTCCCACCTGTCAACTAGCGCCTCGTCGGAAACGCTTGTTTGGATTTCCTTATCGACGGTGACGAATCGTTCGAGTGTCCGAGATTCCGCCGGAGATTCGCGTAGAGAAGGGTAGGAATACGAACTATCTGGCCAAAGATGATTTCTTCAGCTTCCGGGCAAAGTATCACAAGCGCCATGCGACGCTTCAAAAATTTCGCCGCCTCTTTACTTTTTTTACAGAGAAATTGTTTAAGAAAGCTGTCCGAAAATGTCACTGAATTTTCTTTGTGCTGCCGATAAAATTCAGTGACATTTTCAAACAGATGCAACCAACAATTTCTCTGTAAAAAAATAAAATGGCGGCGGAAGTTTTGAAAATGCTGCATGGCGCTTGTGATACTTTGGCCAGAAGGTGAAGATTTGCGCTGCCGAATCATCGGTGATCAACGAATGGTGTTATCGCTGCTCATGGAACGTGTTTTTTGAAAAATTGACTCAGAGATCGAGATCAGCCGAAAGAAACCTAATCTTATCGAGACCAAATCGACGAAATGAGGAAATGTTCCTAAACTTTTACTCAACTTTCTATATTCGTCGATTGCCGGACGAAGATACGAAAATCCATTCCAAGGATGCACTATTGGACCGCGTTTAGCAGAAAGGAACCAAGCCATATCATCCATTACCAAATTTAATTCGGCAATTTAATTTTTTACATGAAAAAGGTTGTCCGGATTTTTGTGCAAAGTTAAGTGAATTCTCTGCATAGCACGAGACAGGTTGCTTAAAATTTTCAAAGGAATCCGCACAAACGTTCTCTCGTAAAAACTGAAATTACCCGGTTAAATTTGGCAATAGCTGATGTGGCATGGTTTCTCTCTGCTTAACGCGATCCAATTGACTCGAAAAATTCAATTCTTTCCCAAGAATCTACCTGTGCAATTTCTGTACAACATTTTATCTGATTTTTGAATGAGATCAGAAGAGAAATGAGTATAATTTTAAGTTAAAGATGCCCACGATTCTCCTGATAAGAATGTCATTTGCGAAGGAAAATTTTATCACACTGAAATCCAGGTAGGTTCTTTCGTAAGGAGAATGACGATATGTTCATGGGCCGATCGAGAAACTTATCGTGGGGTGGCAGAAAGGCACCTAATCAGGGGGCGAGGGAGTCTAGGGGGTTATAATAAGAACCCCGCCAAGTCTCCTTGACTGTTGCAGATCCCTATCGAGAGTTTCCTAACTCAAAAGGAGGGTTTGGGGGATTTATTTTGCTTCAAACAAAAAAATATGAATTTTGAAAACTTTGAGTCGTTACAGGAACAATTTCAGCTTTTCGCACCGTAAATTTAATCCAGTCACAATTTCAAAGATGATAGACATGTCACGCACGCATTTACTTAGCAAAATCCAGCTCAGCTCTCAAGAGGGTCCGAGCAGATTTCCGTGGAGCAGACCCCTCTATTTTTGCCCATGTATAAGTCATTCAATACCAATTGAATTTTTGTGCTACATAATAGTTCTAAACGCTTAGCATCTTCCCTCCTTCCTCCTCCCTCCCTGATACGCTTTGCGTACTTATGAGCGGCCACGCCGAAGTATAGAATTCTGATCGATTTTCCTCGCGGATATTGTTTTTCTTTGACCTTGACGCAAACGAGCAAAACTCGAGCGTGAAAATTCGTCGGCCAAAGCGCGGTCGGTCGTCGTAGAATAGCTCAATCACACAATCTCATAGGCGATGCCTGAAGCCACGGCCCGTAGATAGCACGCGACGCGAAGTGTGCCGCGCGACGGGTGCAATGATTTTAAAGCCACGGTTCCACCGGGTGTTTGCGACACCACACCAAGTAAACCGCGCAGCTTGCTGGGCCCGGTTCTGTCACCTCTGGTTAAATTAAATCTCATATTAAAGCCAAACCTTTATCGTTAGTTTTGGAGATTTTGTGGCTTGCATGTTTATGCCTACTGAAAAGAGAAGTTCGGTGAATCCGAATTAGTGAGGAGCATATTGAACAGAGACAAGAGACCTTCCACTGGCCTCCTAGCGACAGGTGGAAGATTTTACTTTCGGGGATTCAACAGTTCCTTATGAACAATTATTAGGGAGCAACAGTCATCACCTCAATTTCGGCTGTTGACCTACCTACATGGTCAATGATGAGCTTCGGGTGACGTCATGAGCCAAACAAGTTTCGCAAACTTCGGCCATTTTCGACTTGTTTGCAAAACGAAACTGCCAACACGTTGTTAAACATCAACCATGTAGGTAAGTCAACAGTAGAATGCTGAAGTCCCGAAAGTAAAAGCTTCCACAATGGCCAAGATACTAGTGGAGGATCTCTTGTCTCTGATATTGAACCAGGTTTTGTTCGGTACACACAAACGAATTATTCGGTCATGTCAACCAAACTTTTCGGTCCGCTCGACAGAACTATAAGCCTTATAAGACTATCACTTATAAAGTATGAAACATCTAGCAAATTCCAGGTGGGACCAGAAAAGGTCCCTAACGCAACTCCTCTTTTAACAGGCACTTGGTACCCTGAGTGCCTGTTATTTAAACCAAACGATAAATCCGTAACATGAGGTGATGGAACTAGACCTCATTTGCAGAGGCAGCCCGAAAGATGAGCGCTGGGTCATCGCGCGGCAATCTTAGCGTCGCGATTTTCTTGTGGAAACACGGATTGACGTTTCAGCGTGTGACGTAGCGTCGCGTCGCGTCTTCTTCGAGTGTTGCTCGAAACTAATGAATTAGTTTACTGTCACGTTTGTTTGTTATCTTATTTTCTGTTTCGTCTGCGACCGACATGACAATACGGACATCGTTTCCGTGGCAAGTTCCGCGGTGTTGCCAAGAGTTTATTTATGTTCTTTAGCACTCTTATGTGGACGGAGTTAAACAGAAAGGAACCAAGCCACATCGGGACCGAACCGAGAAAAAGAGGTTTAAAGTTTGGCTCCTGCATAAGAATCAATGTAAAAGATCAACTTCAAGTTCAATTTCTGCAAAATTTGCTCCAACAAAAACTTTGAATTTTTGGTGATAGATAGTAAAGCAGTGGTTGAGTTCAAAACCACTCCTAACTCAATTTTTTCCAAAATGTGGGTTGGTTCCTTTCTGCTTAACTCAGTCCATGTTACGTCGGAACTTTAATGACGCGTGCTTTTACTATCCCGGAGTTGGGTCAATGAACCTATGCACAAGTAGCTCGCAACTCATTAAATGGGCTACATTTTGCAATAGAGCTCTTGCTTGTGTAGGTAATTTGCGTTTTAAGGACAGATCCGTTTGTAAAACGCGAGAAACCCGATGGTGCCACTGGTTTTCTCTGAAATCAACTCGAAAGCTCCAAAAAAGCTCTCAAAGTTGAGGCCGTAATGGAGGGTATATCCCATGATACCCTGAGAGCCCACCTCTATATTTAGTTAAACTCTCCATGCAAAGTTAGGGAGCGAACACATTAGCAGGGTTACCATGTATTCGGTTTTGGAGTCCCCAAAGTGGCAACCCTGTTATTTGTATTTGCTCCCTATCTTTGCATTGAGAGTTTTCCTTGTACAGAGGTGGACACTGGATCTTATTTAAAATTCTGTGAAAAATTCGAAAAGAAAAATTGACAAGTGTCTTAAAAATTCCGTTAACCCCCCCCCCCCACACAGTTTTCATCCTTACGTATCAAAACTATTTAAGAATCTTCACGCATTACGGCACAGAGGATTTCTTCACTTGATTCTTTTTACACAGTTCTCATCGCTTCAGTTTTTCCTTACGGAAAGTAAACTTCTAATCGCTCGTCCAAACCTTTTACCCCCGAACTCCTTTTTTTCATTTTGTTATTGTTTTGAACGAGACGTATTTGTATTCTACCAATGAATTTGCAGCCATCTCTTTGTGAATCGTTCATTTTTATTCCATAGCTTTTAGACCTTAGACAATTATAGAGATTTATCGAAGAGAGTCGTGCGTCGATAAGAATAGATCACGCGAGTGGTTGGCTCTCTATGGGCTCTTTTCCAGGTTTTTTCCAAGTCAGATAATTTTCAGTCAAGTCTACTTTTTACATCGCACGTGTTCTAGTCGAGAGCTAAACAAATAAACTGAAAAGCTGATTATAACGGTTTCCATTCTCCCATCCAGAGCAGCATGTTGGATCGGAAGACTGGGCTCAATCGACTCTCAAAAAAAGAAAAAAAAAATCAACCTCTGACAGTTTTAATGAGGTTTCAAGCTTTGTCATTATTGAAGAGTCGGAATTCAAAACATCACAAGTGCCATTAGGCGTTGCTAAGATTGCGCATCGTGTTCTTGACTGTTGAAAGAACTTAAATGCTTTCTCTTCGTAAACTTTTTACTGGGGAATTCTGTCTAAATTTGGTTATTATTTTTGGAAAAATAATCTTCATACAAGAGCCCCAAGGTTTTCGCTAAGTCAAAGGAGCAATTCCAGAATCTGTGGAACATTTGATGGTATTTGGCATGTTTTAAATCTCCTCTTCCCAGATAACGAGATTAGCAAGCGACACGCCATTTTCGTGTGTAAAAAGCCTTGTTAACCAGTTTATACCCTTCACTGACGAATATCGCACGAGCAATTTACGCACTTGCAATTCAGATTATGAACATTTACATAAGCATCTGCTAATCTATTTTGATAAAACACGAATCAATATTAAGAATAAAGCGTAGAGTACCAAACTGAGTTGAGTATTATGTCGTATTTATTACGAAAGCCATTTTGAGTGTCTAAGATTTTGGCATCGAAACGGTTACATAACTTACAACAAAGCAGATCCTTAATCGAACTTTTTGAATTGAATGGATTTGGGCGCATCAGTGCGACATGAGTCCATTCAAATTAGTAGATTTAAGAAAGAACTTATCTGTTCTAATATTGATCGGACTTCTTGGCTGGAGTTAGGAAGCCAATGCAGAGCGGTTTTTTGCGCAAGAGCTACGATAAAGGCAGGACTCGGAGAAGGAAAAACACTTCAATCACCCTGAAGCTCATAAAG